ACTGGCTTGCGGCGCTGGTCGGTGACGGCGATAGCCGTTATTGTTTCAACCCTGTGATGTTTGTTTACGGTAAGTATCGACGATTGAACGCAATTGCACTTCAGGCAACTTGGTGTGAAAGTTTATTCACAATATTTCGCTTTCAAGTATGTTAACTATACATATATATGGCGGAGATAAATATTCAATAGCGTTCAATACTTACAAAACTTCTTGTAAAATTCCGTACATAAGATAAAATACGAATATTCCAGTGGCATAGCAAATCAGCTGAGGTATTTGGTGTTGCCTTGAATATTTCGTCGCTCGAGGAGACAGGTACTTTTCTACCATTCGATCCAAAATGTGGCTTAAATCGAGAAACCATATTCGTTTTTCCGATGCTGTCGACGTAAGACCGTTTGCACTGTCGCCATGTATTGCAACGATCTGATATTCCGATGAATCGGGCTCAACTTTCATCATCTTTTTCAATATGAAATAGAGATATACAATCGTCCACGACGCATAACTGTAACTGCTATCGAATCACAATTTGAAAATATTGATTAGTAACAATGACAACTTGAAACTCAGCTGCGAGTACTGATTTAATGGTCGCCCGTTCCACTTGAGCTGCGATCGATATCGAGAGGAAATTTGCTATTTAACGGTTATCCCGAGTGTACGCAACAATACCGCCTTCTTTTTGAATATTGTACTTGAATCGTTTTCGTAAATCCATCAGGGAAACTATATTATTATCGCCACGGTCGCTTTCGTCATGTGGCTGCCCGAGGCCATGAAACTAACAATCCTAGGGTGGGATGCGCCGTGCGTTGCTGTTTAGTCGAAACCTTAGAATACATATTCTAATGCTTACCATAGGTGACCGTACATTTGAACCCATGTGTATATCCACGGGTTTAATCTATATGCGGGTGCTAAAACCCATGGGTTAGGGTTAGTATGGGTTCAACTATCCGAAAAACAAAAAAAATTCCATAGGTGCAATAGCATTCAGGTGCAATTGTCATGGGTTCAAATGTAATGGAACCCTTACCATATATCTGAAGCAAAAACGGGATAGTGCGGATTGGACAAGCCAACCTTGGTTCGATTCCAGAGGCTTAGTACGGTAAAAGTTTACATGTTTTCCATACCATTGTGGGTAGATAACGGGCATCAAAATCAGCTGTAAATCCTATTAAAATATCCTCTATTCTTCTATTGGTCTTAGAAGACTTGGACTTTGTTTTCCGGCATTTTGATGATTTACCGACAGTACAGTTGATTGTTGAATGAACGCATGGTTCATACTTCATACCAATAACATAATAATTTTCTTCTCTATCTCAACTAGTGAAGTGAGAGTGGTGAATCGGCTGCATCCGTTAAAATAAAACAATTTTGTGATAGTATATAATTCCGGGGTCGCCAACACGTCGATCGCGATCAACCAGTCGATCGCGTCTGATATTGGTAAATTTTATAACATACCTCAAAAAATGGCCTTGAACTAGTTTCACGCCTGTTGTGTGTTTTAAAACATGACCAATGCGGTACTTTACATGTATAAAAAAGATACAGTATATATATATACAATATTTGTGGCTGGGCAAGCCCGATAAAGCGTATTATTACATAACAAATATAAGTTTCGCCACTGCCGAGGGGTAAAATGAACGTGCCGAATATCGTGTGTCTCGACTAACAAATGACCCTACAATAACATCAATCAATTTTATTTCGGTCGCTCTGGTATAAAACAAAACAACGACAAACGAACAAAAACAAAACTGACAAAACGCAGAGGACCTGGAGGACGGGCATAACTTAAAGACAAAGTTAAAAACGTGAAAATACGCGCCCGTCCTCTAAATACAGTCAAATAACACAATAAAAAATAAAAATACACGATACAGAATCGGGCAATAACTTCAAATAAATTGATTCAATTATGCAAACACTGATCAGAGGAAGAACAGGGAAACACTTTATAAGAAATAGAAAAATTGATAGATTTTTTGTTGACACGATTGTGATTTTGTGCAATATTAGTGGGAATACAAAATGTTACATAAAAATTTTGTTGCAACTATATCAAGAATTATTAATGCATTGCCAAAAACACAAATACGACTAAATTTAAGAATACAAGGTTTAAAAAAACTTAATATAGCATACGAGTGAGCTTCTAGCAATGTCACACGAAACAATAATGTAAAAATAATGTGTAATTTTGTCACACTTCACACATCTAAAAAAATTAGCATATCAGTGATCTAAACATTCCCTGTTGCACCCAAACGACTGCAATTCATATGAACAAACTCACACACATAATTGTTAGGGCTGTCCAAAATCGAATAATTTTTTGATTTGAATCGAATATTTTCGCCGAATCGAACCGAATAATCGAACATTATTGCACAATCCTAAATCTGTCTCTATTATACAATAAACGCCTGCCCTTCGATGTTGTGGTGACGTATGTGCAGTTACATCTTACTTACTGCAATACAATATTTTGCAATACAATGTTTTCAGATTTATGAAAGGAGATCACACGCTTGTATGAACTGGTCAAAAAAATTTGAGAACTCCAAAATTTGGGTCTCGAAAATTGTTGAGTGTTAAGGGTAAAAATTGCAATCTCAATTCTAATGGATTCAGTTTCAATAGGACATGAAACTGAATCCATTAGAATTGCGTGTGATCTGAACATATGCAGTATGCCAAGTTATTGTATCACTGTCAAGAGTAGTGTGATAAATTTTATTTGCAACGTAAGCAGTGACATCAGTATGCCCATTTTTTTCCAATTTCAAGCCAGCAAAGAATCGGATTTGGAGAAAATTGGATATTGAAGTTTGAGCAGATAATACATGGATACTTGGCAAGGCTTTTGAAGAATTTTCGACACTTACGACTAAAATCAGACAGGCCTCAGATCTGAATTTTATGATTCGAATATATCTTAAATAAATGAAGACATTTACTCCGGGAACAATTACATAATGAAGTTAACAAATTGAATGGAACGTAAAAAATACAAATGTTTGTGGCGATTGTATAAAGAATGCGCCCACCGAGCCGAGGTTATTGACAGCGGTGCATTTTTTTGTATGCGTGCGTGCAGTTATATCTGCATATTCATTCGATTATGTGTATGGCCTTATTGCCGATCAGTCGATCGCGAACCATTTTTAAAACTTTAGTCGATCGCGGTCGAAAGAAGGTTGGCCACCCTTGATATATCAAAGAGAAAAATTATTTATGACTGCCATACTGCAAAACCGGGACATTTAGGTCTACCATCGGAACGGCGGAAAAACTTGCTAACCTACATATTCTAGATACCGTAATATACTTAATAATTGTTTGTTCGCCAACCACCACGATCAAAACACGCTGGTCACGTAGTAAGATAAATTCATCCTCGCTGTAAATCAAGCTCAGGTAAAGATTTAAACAACTCACCGCTAAAGGATGTTTCACGCTAAGACGGTTGCTTGCAAGAGGGTCTTTAATAGTGGCAGAAGTTTCGTGGTTTTTGTTTATTTATTTATGTTATCGTAGTGCTATTTTTCGTAAATTTAAGTAGACACACAGCATCCTGTTTTGGAAGCAGCGGATGTCTGGTCGGAGCTGAATTAATAATGCTAATTACATACGTCAACTTATGGGCTCATTTTATTTTTTTTTATTTAATATCATCCCGAAATAGTTTCTGATCATGTATGCATTGCATCAATTTGCATGGACACATTATCATTCTGGTGTAAGTCGCTGATCGACTATTAAGGTAAATTATTTCAGACGCTACATAACAGTGGTGGATGTTTGAAAATGATATTGAATCGACAATATCTTCACATTGCTATATCTTACGATTCGTGCGGAAGAGCACGTTGCACGCGACCTTATTTTAAAAAAAACAACCGCATCCGGCGACAATTCAGCGCTGTGGAGTCAAAGAAGTTTTACATTCGAACTTCAATCCACGGTTGACATAATTGTGACCCCGAAAAAACAACAACTTTGAAATCAATAATTTTGGAGAGCAAACAAAGCCTTATTTTATAACTTTCTATAGCTCAATTATGCTCTGTTTCTGTCGGGGATTTGACATGGACTATTCCACCTTTCAAAATCAGATTCAGGATAATTCAAAATTTCGACTCCAGCATGTTTGAAATAAGGCCCATTTATCAATAGGAACATGCCAAATTCGTGACTCCATAGCCCATATACCTGTAATCACAACGATAATATTCCGCAACAGCCTTTACCCCTTATACACCAATACCTTGCTCCAAAGAGCAGTCAATGTACTAAAACATATATTCATTTCATATAAAACTCAACACAATCAAAGATTGAAAACAGTTCCTATATTTAAATATACAATGAGGGGTTAGGTTACAAATATAACAATTCCTTGGGGTACCCATAAAACGGCACTTCTGAAATATGCCCACCAAGATGTCGCACAACCTGAACCCTAACTTGGTACACAACCAGAGTTCAGGTTGTGCGCCATCTTGGTGCGCATACTTCAGGAGGCCCCATAAAACATTGATGTTTAAACAGTACTCCAGCCGAAAAAGAAGGAACTATACCGGTTGAAAAAACATAATTACCAAAATACTTGACAATTTTATAAAAAACAATACCGCCAGCTGTAAACAGCCTGAAAAATAGCTTGTACTGGTTATCATCCATGTGTTTTGTGACACATCTCAGAGGTAACAAATATTGCAACAGATTCATATGAAGGAAGTCGGTTGAAGGATAAATACACAAAAAATAAGACTGAAATACGCTCAGAAAATTAGGTGTCTGTACGGATAAGTTGAATCCCAAGTCTAACGAATAATAAGTACAATCACTGAGTTTTCCACAGTTACCTCAAAAATTGAAGAAAATTGGTGTGGAAATTTTCTCATGTTAGACTAGGGCTGAATTTTGACAAACTTTATTCACATAAAAAGGTATATTTTCTTGAGTCGTGGAAGTGATTTCTGTCAGCGTTAGCCATGATACAATTCCGTCATTGAATCTCTTACTTGCATAAAAGATTTGTATGCAAAATATACATCTTACAGCAGTCACTAAATATATTGACAGTGGAGGCAGTTATAAACGGTAGTCTGACATGGCTGAACAAATCAATAGACTCAAATATATATTAAAAGTACTATTAAATAATATCAAGGTGAATGAGATGAACAAATATGGTCAAAATTCTTCCTGGTCATCGGAATCCCATTCACAACTTCTTTCATCATCATTGTTTCCAAAATCAACCTTCAGTAAAAAAATAACAGGTTTGCACGTTTAAAAGTACTCAATGTAAAATGTCCCCTGCAAAAGCAGAGTCAAAACTTTTTAGCGATTGTTGTAGCAACAGCATTGTATTACCATAACAATCAATGCCATGTTATATAGGAGTGTAAGTATTGGCAATTCAGTAAAAAATTGACACAAAAAGACTGCAACGCTCAAACATATGAACACAAGCATCAAGTCTCGAAGAAAATTTGAATAAAAGCAAAAGCCTTCTAGTGACTTTTAAAAATTTGAAATCAATTTGTCCAATAGTTACAGAAAAAAGTGAAATTGAGCGTCCTAAAATATACTTACCGCATTACCAGTAATTGTGATTGTACTTGTGTAATATTTAAATATTGTAATTGTAAGGAACAGAAAATCAAACGCAAAAGACATACGATACCAATTTAAAAAAGGATTGAAACAAAAAAAGTTCACATACATGTTCAGTCATTTCAAATTGAATTATGATTAAACTATTTTGAAATAAACTATTATGACTCTGAGGCCTTTAAATATGGTATTTTGTAGACATGGATGTCATAAGTTTGCAGTCATCCCAACATATATTGCAAATATTAAAATCACTTTGTTTAAAACTGCTGATTTCATTATTGGAATACAATGTGGTAGAAACAAAAACCTATGCATGAGATTAATAAAAACCACATACTTCGATGTCATACTGAAATCCTGGATCTTCAGGTTTTATTCTATGGCTTTCAAAACTTTCATTCATGATTAATTTGGCTCGTTCAATCTGAAAGTGAAGGGATTAGAAACACAAGATCAATATGATTTTAAGAGATCAGTCCATTTATATAGTCTCGCATGATAGTGATAAAGTTGATAGCAAAAGAACTGTTTGCAATACCCCTTGAATACAATTTGGCTTTTGAACTACTCGAAATGATAGGGCTTATTGTCCAAAATATAACATTTTACTCATTTGTATTATTAAAATTATATTCAATTACAGTATTATATATTTTTAACAGAATTGCTTAAACATTTCTTGTGAAAATAAAAATACTGTTGTTGTAATGGTGTACAGTGATACCTCGTTAGTCTAACTTAATTAGTTCAGGATTGGTGTTTGACTACCTATTTGTTTGAGTACCGAAACTTTTTTGCCATAAAAAACGATGGTAAATATTTTAATTCGTTCTTGCACATTGGAAAATATTGACAGAAAGTGTACCCAAACGACAAAAAAGTTCTGTGGACTCTATGGAATTCGTTTTTTTGTGTACGATGAGGTCATCAAAATGTATACACCTTGCAGCGGTTCCGCTCTCTAGTTAGTCATGAAGATTGCCATACCCGAGGTCTACTGTGACTTGTAATAGTTCGTTTTGGCTTTTGTGTCCCTATATTTGAGCATAGCTTTGTTGAATGGTCAATGCAGCCAATATCGAGTCGATCAACTACCAAGGTATCACTGTATATTAAATGGTATAAGAAGTTAGAACCTCCCGTGTCCCAAGCAAATTCAAGTCTTTCTCCGGATCAACGGAAAGTTTTGTCTTTGCTTCTTGAAGTGATTGCTCGAGTGTATTTCCTTTCATATGGCCTTGAATAGTTATAAGGAGTCTTTCTAGTTGGGCTTGTGATACAGTGTTTAGTAACGTTCTGTGTCTCTGAGTAGATTTCAAGTCTTCGGCAATCCTTGCAACATCTAAATAGTTGAACAACAAAGATTAAAAATGGCAGAAGTGGCGGATAGAAAGTGAAGAAATATATTATTTAGATTAAATAAGATTACACCAACCTAATATAAAGTTAACTTAGTTTATAAATTAGTACCTTGTAATTATGTCAGATGAGAATACCTTAATACAGTAATAATAAAAATGGTCATAATGGAAGAATTCAGAAAATGTTAATACAGTAATATCGGTATTTATCTGAAACAGATATGCCTAGGACTCCTTATTTCAGTATTTACAAACTATGGTATGCCATTTTCCCACAGGCTTTTGTTTGTAGGCCTAGTCAAAGTGAATTTAACATTACACCTAATTCCAATCAAAGACCAGAAGACAGAAAGATGGGGTATATCTTCAAATACCGTAGGTTTGCTGCAGTGATGAATAGAAGCTGTCATATATATGTATTGGCTCGTAAAAGAAAGTTGTCACAAAGATCATACCGGTACTGCAGTAATGTCATACCGGAAAACTGTGCAGTACCGTACCGGTACCGTAGCTACCCAAGCTAGTCTCATCCACATCTTACTTGTGCTTTCTTTCAATTTTTTTATCGGTATGGATCTACACCTTTGTTTTTTTGTTGAGTTGTCAACATATGTCACGAGCAATGTTGCAGGTTTAAACTTTACGCCACAGCACTTGACGGTGTACATTATTTTGAATCATCGATGTTGTTAACCAGGTAAGGAACGCAATGTAGTCTACTGGCAACGTCAACGAACAAACTGGATCTGGAGTTGATTTTCAATACTCACTTTATCGTAATTAATCAACGACAAATAATACTTTGACTGTATGCTAATATTTTGAATAAATCAATTTTTTATGCTAGATATTACCGTATTCCAATACTGCTAATCAGGCCTGGCAGCCTGGGGAGCTGGCTCGAAATCATCATGGCTCCAGCTCCGGAGTCGCAGTATATTCAAACTTTGGCTCCGGAGCTCATTTTAACACCTTTAGGTCGGTGTCATGATGATTCTTTTATTGTTCTTGCAAGTAACTTGTGAATCCACTTAACTTGTAACGTAACTTGTGAATTGGAAGTTATTATATACCGCATTTCCGGCGACGTTAAGACGAGACACGTTTTTAAGCTTACAAAAATGGGTTTTTGCATATAGCTCCCCAATAAGACGGGCAGGAATATCGGCTTCTGAAGTAGTCGCGGCGTTTGCGCATTCGTTAATATAGCTCATATTGATCTTTTGTGTCGCATAATACAGTATTCAATTCATGACAACTGTCTTTCTATTTCAATTTAATTGTGTCAAACATAACTCGCGATTGCACCGACTTTCAACCAAATAAAGCATTAATCATTGGCGACCAGTGAATACACAATCCAAATTTTCTTGATTGAAAATCTAAAATCTAAACAAAACAGTGCAATCTAGGGATATAATTTTGTAAGATAAACTGCTCGGTTATATTTTGTTTATTATATTCGCTCTTACGAATTCGTTATCCCGTTATAAAAATTACAAGATCTGCCATGAATCCTGTAAAGTACAATTTAATCAAGGACAATAAAAATACACCACCTACATGAGTTCGTTAACTCACATTGTTATGATATTGTTTTGTTGCCATGGCACCCCTTGTATAAATATGCTTGCAATTGCTGTTCTTGCTTTAGTTGAAATATGTATGTCTGAGGAAGTTTGACCGTGGTCAGACGAAACGTTACAGAAATATATTTGTGTTAGTGTGCAGCAAGACTATTTATTGAATTACTCAGAATAAAAATACATATTAAGTATATATTTATATATCAGAAATACATCTTTATTGACTTGAAATCTCACGATCTTTAACGGATATGATATGATTTTGCTGTTGCATAAAACATTTAATTTATGACCGATATGGGCATATTTAAAATGTTTTTTTTTTTTCAATTTAATTGTGATCAATTTAATCTACGATTGCGACAATATAAATAAAATACCATCACTAAGCCAAAATACCACAGCAATCCGTGGACATAAAAATGTGTCGTACAGTGTCCGATTATATTTTGTTTTGAATCATATTTTGCGAAATCGACAAATCTGAGCCGTTCCTGTTACACTTAGCTGCTCTACTGCAATGCTGGCTCATTATTTTGAGAATATCACCATAAGAAAAATCTTTAAGTCTGCGATAAAATCCAACAAAGTAAAATTTATTTGAAAAAAAATGAATATACCTTACAATAATTATCTTATATATATCTTTATAAATCTGGTAAAACTCCGTCAGGTCCCCTCGGTATTTGTAAAACACAATTTTGCGAGTTGTTTTGTCTAAAAAAAGCGCCTTTAATCAGTCGCGGGCCATCCTAAAACAAAGCTTATGGTTTAGCCGTTTTATTGTATAGATATTTTATAATGCCGCTTTTTGATCAAGAAATGTGGGCTGCTTATCCACTACTCTATTTTTCTTACCATTTCGTCGCCGATGATTTCTCACAGGTATGGTGCGCGACACAAAAACAGGAAATGTCAGGAAATTCGGGATTTAGGCAGAATAAACACTGAAATAAATATGTTTAATGGCTATGGTGAGAAAAACAATCGGCAATTTTCACAAAATGCAACACATGTGTGATAGTTTCGGCAATAGCCCTTCACTTGTGATGCACTAATGCAGCAATATGATAATATAAATTTTCCACATTGGAGCGTTATTATAAAATAGTAGTGGCGGCGCGTCAATAGGGCCAACCGGGGCAATGCCCCAGTTGTTTTTTCGGTATAATAAAAAATATTCGAAAAATACCTCAATATCGGTTGCACAGACTGTCTACACTCTACACTAGCCATATTCTCCCGACATGGTTCATCTTTCGCTCGCAAAGCCTTCGCCGAACGTCGACGGGGCGACGCCGGTTTTGCCCCGGTTGCTCATTGTATATCGTATTCTCTCTTTTATCTTCCACTCGCCGCGTTTGTCTCGTTTGTTTTCTTTTTCTTTTACTAAATCATCGGGGCTGGCCCCGAAATTATGACGACACAATGCCGACGTTTCTTACAACAACGTGTTGACATATTCAAGTATTCCTTCTCGTTCGTTGGTTGCTTGAAGAGTTGATAGTTTCCTCGCCTTCGTTTTTGTCGCTTGTTTCGCTATTTGAATCAGTTAGAGACCTTTAGTCCATTTGCTTTCGATTTTCCACATTCCTTTTGAGCTCCTCACTTCTTTCCGGCTTCGCATTTCTTAGCCTTAGACCTCATAATGAATAAGGTTGATGCACTACTTCGCACTCCGTTTTCGCAGCTGCCGCTGGAACAAAAATTAGAGGTACAACGTCTTGGGCCTTATCAACCAAAAAATTGTTCACTGGAACAATCCCATGACGGAGGAAAGCGTCGGCGTACATTCTGCGCAGAAACTTGGTATAAAAAACACGAATGGTTGTGTTACAGCGAGGACAAAAATGCACTTTTTTGTTTTTATTGCCTACTTTTTGCTACCGCCCGTGACTCACGTTGGTGTAAATTTGGTTTTAGAGATCTTAAACATCTTTCCGAGCGTGCCAGGGATCATCAATCTTCTATGGAGCATCTGGACAATGCAGTAAAATACCGAACATTCGGAAATGTTAATATTGCAGCACAGTTGGATGAAGGACGCGCGGTTTCTATTCGTCGGCACAACCAAAACGTCGAGAAAAACCGCCATGTTCTCGGTCGATTGATAGAAGTTCATTGGTTGTCACGAGCTGTCCCTCCGTGGGCACGATGAACGGGCTGGCTCTTCTAATAGAGGGGTATTTTTGGATATGGTGGAATACACCGCCTCCCTAGATACAGTATTGAGAGATCATCTTGATGCCGCAACTGTTTCGAAAGGGACATCTAAGGATATCCAAAATGATTTACTCGACTCAATGTATAAAATTTATTTACAACATTTGGCTCTGGAAATTGAGAATTGCCAGTTCCTTTCGATTCAGTCTGACGAGACAACTGACATCACGTGCGTTTCCCAACTGGCTGTGATTTTTCGGTTTGTGAAAGATGGTAAACCTACCGAGAGATTTCACAGCTTTGTACCAATCGTTGATCGCACGGCTTGCGGAATATCGGCTGTACTGAAAGAAGTGTTACAGCCTTACAACGCGAAGTCAAAATTGATAGCTCAAACTTATGACGGCGCGGCAGTCATGAGTGGGTCGAAACATGGTGTTCAAGGTTATATAAAAGAAGATTTTCCTCATGCGCATTTTTTACAATGTTATGCACACTAATTTAACCTCGTTATTTAAAAATATGTGTCTTGATACCCCTCTCGTCCGTATATTTTTTGCAAATGTTTCGGGGTTTTCTTCATTTTTTTCCGTTTCTTCGAAGCGCTCTGACCTCCTTCGCCAGATATGTAGCCGCCGTCTCCCAGCTTGTGCACCAACACGTTGGAACTTCCAATCACGCGTGGTACAGGGCGTGTCCGAAATTAGGTCTGAGCTCATTGAGTGTTTCAATGACATTCAGAGCTCTCCGGTTTGGGACGAACGCTCTGTGAGGGAGGCGGCAGGTCTAAAGCGTCTGCTAGAAGATGGTGAGTTTTCATTTTTTCTCGCTTTTTTCTCCACAATATTCTATCACGTGGATGTATTATACGGCGCATTGCAGTCAAGGCTAATGGATGGAGCGTCTGTGCAGTCGTGTATTTCAGACTTCTGCGATGCTGTATCTCGTATCCGGGAAACAATAAAATACGACGACACATGGAGTGCTTCTTTACGCCGCGGGCAAACAACGCAGCGTTTGATTTTGTCTGCAAAGGAATGCTGTGACATTCTGGTGAATCAAATAGGCGATCGTCTGCGCACTGAACACCTTGCTGCGTTCTCTTTGATGAACCCCAAAATTTTTTCAAAATTTGCACGTCAATTTCCCATCCATTTGTTGGCTACTGTCTCCAAATTTTACCCCATGATAAACGTGGGTAAATTGAAAAATGAATTGCGATGTATATACACCAATCAAACTTTTTTGAACATCACATCAACTTGCGCGCTCTATGGGTTCCTCATAGATAACACTCTAGTAACTACCTTTGCGGCGTCTGCAAAATCTCTGGACATCATTTTGACGACGCCTATTTCTTCCGCCGACGCAGAGCGAACATTCAGCACGCTGAAGTGTATTAAAACGTATCTCAGAAACACAATGAAGCAAGATAGATTAAATTCCTTGGCTGTTTTATCCATTCATAGAGACGTTATTTCTGGGATGCATGACTTTAATCAGCGCGTTATTGAGCATTTTGCTTCCAAGAAACCGCGGCGTGTTGCATATATGTTCAAGCAGTAGAAGTCTAGCAGCATATATATCTATGAGTGAGCGACGCATGTCCTTATCTTTGCATTAACTTTCCTTTCTTCATAGTAACGTTTTAAACCTTATTTTGGGTTTTGTCTGCTTTCCCGAAGTTTCTGTTAATATGTCATTGTATTTATCTGGGTAAATATTGCCTTTCCTTTTGAAAGAGGTTTCAAAATAAACTATGTCTATATTTATTAATCCCTTGACTTGGACCGGTTTTAAAGACACTTTCTTATCGTTAAAAATTGTCGCTTTTGCCGATTGGTTGCTACCGATGGAATGGTTTTTATACTCATAAAATGATGGGAGAACTTACAGCGCTCATCCTGTCCCCGTAGATGGGGGTGACTTGGTCCCGCAGTAGCTTGCCCCGGTTGTCAAAATGACCACGCGCCGCCACTGTAAAATACTCAAATGAAACGGAAAACATTATAAACTTTGATCTAGTAGACCCGGAGATTGAAAACGCCAAAATATCATAACTATGTGTGCCTATGACACATATTAATTACTGGTTGGCTTTGGAAATCATACAGTCACTGGAATAAATCTAAACGCAATCAATCATGTTCGCGATGTAGGTACCTTTTTATTCATTCTAAAAATACCGACGGAAACTGATGAGACTTTCCTCCATAACATGATATGAATTGGATTGGATATTTTATTACACAAACAAATCATAATATGTTGCACGCAATTTAAAATTGATGCATGGACGACAGCATATCATAAAAAGAAACACCTCCGATGCTTGCTATACTCTCCGAACGAAAAATATGCCTCAACAAAAAATGACTCACCTAGCTCTTTAGTGAACACAAAAAAAAGATGGCGGCGATTCAAATTCAATTTTCGTCATGACCGATTCCACAATTACAATTACTTCGTCTATACCCAATAGTTTAGCATGTTCCCCTTCATGCAATCATTGAAACATCTACTTGCAGATTTATTTTTCGTTTTTCAGGTTGCTTCCCAATGATCAAATAAATAAAAATTAAACAAAGACTCTTCCATATTATTCTCGAAGTGATCCTGTGAAATAACAATTCTAAATCCTATATTCTTGTCTCAGGCCAATGTCTAGGAATGGAAAAACCCTTACCCACACCCTTGGTGACCATTATATATATATATTTCCATAATAACCTATTGTCCTATCTTAATTTATTATTACTAACTTATACTGTTACCGGTAACTTTAAATACTTATTACATTTCTGTACTATAATTTGGCAATAATTGGGTCTAATTCGGCCATTCGGGGAATTAAGTGGTCTAGTGAGCTCGTCATGCACCGAATTCTGGCAACTTAGACCATTGGGCCATTAGACATTTGACTCCAACTATAATCAGCAAGGAAATATAATTTTTATATATACCGAATTGTTTTTCCTTACTGTTCACTCATGTTTAGAAAATCGATCAATTTGACCGTGGCAACCCTTATAAATAAAATTATTAATTTCGTGTGGCAAGTAATCTTTATATATATTTTTATTATTATTTTGTTTACTATGTAATTTATCTTAAATTTGTCTCGTTTCCGCACTTTATAATATTTCTGTGGTTGTGTGTTGGTGCGTGTGAGCGCATGCGAATTGATTTAATAATTTTAGGTGAGTGCGACTTCTTTGTCGCGAATATTGTCGCAATCATATGCGGTGCACGGTCGCAAAATAGATAACAAACAATTAATGTACCGATTCTATTTCATCGTCATTACAATACGTGAAAAAGCGCAGAAAAACCTCTGAAGATTTCCTTCGAAAACGAAACGATGGCTAGTAGCTATCCTACGGAATTATGCAAAAATTTTCTGAAAAAAGAAACGAATACTTTGATACATAATTCAAAACTTCGATTCGTTTTGGACAGCCCTGCCTCGAATTATTTTAGCCTCCAAAAAAAAAAAAAACGTTACTAAAGGTAATCCGCGAAGTAAAACTGCGTGAAAGTGGGCCGCGGTATAGAAAAGGTTGAGAAGCACTGTAACTAGCTAGTAGTGGCAGTTGATTCTGTTTTTCGTTATGGTATCCTAAAGTAGAAGTTGCACACGAAAACTAAAGGTTTTCTCACATGAATGACATTTAATAACGAAATCGGTTTTAATAAAATACTTCCATATGTCCGAATTACGCTGCTTATATCTTACAGAAAAGCGACCATGAAACAAACTATCTCGATCATTGAATAAATTTCGAGCGATACCAGTGCTTCGGTACTATTGGGACGTAACAAGCTTAAGAAAGCAGTTCTGGTGCACTGGAGACTGAAAACTCGATAGATTAAGATTTAAATATGTAGCGGGAATGGCGAAAAAGTGTATGGAATCTTTCGTAAAAACTCACCTAATGCAAAAATGTGAGATTTAAGAAAACACGCCCTCCACGTTTTTTAAATAAGAAATATTAATTATCGGTAGTAGTTTTCGATACAACATTATTCCACATGACGAACAGTTCTCAATCATTTTTTTTTCGCTCGAACTATCTGCGAGTTTCAAGTCAAGCCTTTTGACGATTCTTTTCATGTCGGCGAATCGAGCCACTTCGAAAACAGTGACTACAGTGCATGTAATACCCTGCCGAGCCGAAAATCTTCTTGCCGATAACGGTCGTCGTTAATCATGATGCGCCAACTCATTCCTTATTCGACGTGACTTAAAATTGTCTGCGCATTGGTTGCCCAATTTTGAATAAAAATTGTGTGTTTCTACTTTTGCTGTGTGTAGTTTTTATATTTTAAACCCATTTTGCTGCACTAATAAACCTCAATCTCGCGTGCTGTTAGGTTAGCGCATCTTCTTCTGCCTTGTGCGATTTTATGTTTAGTATTTTACCTGCAAATTCAAACAGGGTTACTAGTGATTCGATGGTACGGCTTGTTCCCAAGGTAGAACCATCTATAAAATAGTATGAAAAAACGAAGACTTTTATTAAACGCGAAAACCATTCCGTTTGCTGCAACTTTAAATAAATCAACATCGACCATATAAATCTTCTGCAATTTCTATCGTGAGACAGTTCATGATAGGTCTTATGTTCATGGCACCTTTCAGAGGTAGGCAGGGCACTGCCAGTGCATTGAAATGGATTGTAAAAAGTCTAAGGACAGGCGATCATTGGAGAAAAGACTGCTATGCACTATAATGGTACAAGATTTTTATTTACACTACTTTAATTTTGAAAAATATTACTGTACATATGAAAGAAGTTTAAAATATCATTGAAATACTTCAAGTTAACATAGTTATGCAAGCACCAACATTTGCCTAATTGTTTCAAATATCTGCAAGTAATAGAAACCTCTTCAATACAATCCACAACGCACAGGAAGGCTCTCAAGGGACAGAAGAGTGTATAAAATATATGATAAATCAAGTCCCTCATTGAAGCTGGAATAAAAAAAACCTTCACCTAGTATTGTGGGCTATGAAATACATACAACAAATAGAATTACCTGACACAAAAAATGATTATTCAATTATTCCACTATTGGTAAAAAAGAGGAATCATTGTAAACTTAATGATTCTTCATCATTCTTGAAATTCTAATTTGCAGGACTTTTACGCTACCAATTTTTTTGTTTTTTCTAAGTGCATTCAGTACAAACAACATTGAGCAGTTTCTCATTTCAGTATTGGATAAAATTAGATTGAGTCCAAGACAATGTTTTTTTTTTCAAATTGGACATGAATGGAGCCTAATACAGATAAAACGTTCAAGATATAATAAAAGGCAGTAGTAAAAAAAAACAAAATTTAGAAGTAAAAATAAAATCAATTATCTTGATAGCACATTCGTATTATGGTAGAAACAGTTGATTATTCAGATGCATTTACCCAATTGTTAGAGAACTTTATATTTGGAAATTTGATGAACAATCCTCATGATTAAATAGACAAAAACATTCAATCTATATTGCGGTAAAACTTGGCATATTCTGAAAGATGTATCTAAATTGATTGAATACATACAAAATGGCCCTTTGTTAATTTGCTAGTTCTTATTTATGGCCATACAATATCCAAAATTAAAAAATGACAGTAGTTGGCAAAAATTTATTCCATGAAAGAAAATTCTTGCTTTTAACATATATTGGTTAAAATTTTTTTATATTGGCAAGTCAATTGTCACTCTGGGCAGGAAACATGGTTTAATACGTTCCAAACTTATTGGATGTTTAACAGTTGTTGCCGCAGATGATTTAGGCATTTTCTATTTGTTCCAAAATTAGTGTTCATTAAAAAGGAACGTTTCACCGAACAAAGCCAATATTTAGAGGAGTTCTTTCAGGTAAGATCAAGTCATAGTTTCCATACTGAAATGAATATCTGAACTAAGTGGTCTCCAATCTAACATTGAGCTCTGACGATCAGAACTTCCGTTATGTTTTTTGAGTAAAGCAAATCATTATGCCGGCTATCAACAAAGATCCACAATAGGTTATTTTATAAATCACCAACTTATGTATTCGACTAATTCTCAGTTTGCATGGTGAAGAAAGAAATTCAAAATTAAGAAAAAACAAGGATAGATTCAGGAGGTAACATCCTGATCTAAAAACAGACTGCTGTCCCATTTTTCCCTTGGTTAGCCGAAGTGAAATCCTGGTGGAACTCGACATGGCGATAGTACCAGTTTTCAGTTTATTTGTATTAACAAAACTGTATCAACATGGGATCAGCTATGTAAACTGTCCTCGAGCAAAGAACTGGTAGTATCTAATGATAACGAATTGTTCGGGTCGATAGATATATTGCTTGTATTATTTGGATCCGTCATCCATGATGTGTGAGTATCAGGTGATGATGAAGATGATATTTCCATTTGTTGCTCTGAAAAAGATTGAGTTGGACAATTAGGATAAAAGATTCCGTTGTTAGACGAGAACAAGAAATAAACTTTACTTAATTTGTGTCTTTTTAATCTCCATTTCTTGCAATGTATTGAATGTTTCACTTTAATTGACAATTGCTTGCGAATGTAAGAATCGTTCATATGATCTTGAAGAACTGTGAACCTGTCCATTATCTGAATAAATGAAAAAAACATAATTGACAAATATGGGACACGCAAGTAGATATGAACCAAACTTCTTTAGTACACACATAATGCTCTCAATGTTACTCACCAAGATGGCAAAATAACATTTACCAAAAGCAGATATTTATTATTAATTCAAACATTATAAAGACCTTACCAAGCAAACAGCATCTTGTACTCTGGCATCTCCCGATTCAACGATCCCAGTTGAATCAAGAATGGTTCGAATGGTATTCTGAATGTGAGAATATAATAATGAACAATAAAACAGTTAGATTAATTAAATTTATTGGGGGCTAAAGCTTTCTATTTCCAAAATACCGTAATGCATATTTACATTTAAAGCATTTTGTTCAGATGATTTCCTTTGTCTGGCCTTGCCATGTTGCAACAGTTGCATAACGTCACATGATCCAGACACTGGAGGTTCCTAAAACGAAAATAAAATGAAAATACTCAATTCAAAAATTGCAAGACAACCCAATGAAATAAAATTACAAAAACTTGTTATCTTGAAATCATACCTTTTTAATTTCGGGATATTTTTGATAAAGATATTCCAAGTGTTCTGGAGTTATCGTCACCAATACAGTTTCTGAATTTTAAAGGCAATAAAGTACCTAGTTAGTGGAATGTGTTCGCAAAAAATCAGAAAGAAGATCTAAATTCTATAAACGCTCACCCTTCAAAATTAAAAAAAAATAAAATATGTATAAAATCTAGAATATTTACAGCATACCGGCAAGACTTCTAGATTTTCTGACGTTGCTATGTGCATGCAGTTCGTGAGTGTTGCCGGTTCCATCTTCAGACTTTGAAACTCTTGATGGTGCCCTTAATAGTACAGTTATTATCAGGAAAGGCTAAGATACAAAAATGTGATTTTGAATTCAAGTAACACGTGTTAAATGTTTACTTCTGTCAATTTTCCTGAAACCAAATTTTGAATAAGATTCATAATCAATGACTTCAACCTTTAAGGCTAGTCACAGTAGATAAATTTTCATAGAAGTCAAATTAAAGTTTCTGCTAAGACTTGACCTACTGAATACCCGTGGTAAGTCATCTGCTTTTGCAGCTTGGATCAAGTCAAATTTAACCCATCACGCCAGAGTTTAGGATGAAAAATAGACTTTGCTTTTGCAAATACCTATATTCTTCCAGAAATGTGGCTAAACAGTGAATGTAGATAGTAGGTACTAGGTACATTAATCATCACTATGAATTTCCAAAATGATTCACACTCTTGGAAAATAAAACTGACGAACATGGACATCCTGACCAAAATATAAAATACTCTAGAACAGGGGTTCTCAACCTTTTTTCTGTTAAGTACCTCCCGAGTCACAAAACCATCAACGCGAACCCCCGGTAATCAGACACCGAACAAAATTGTGATATATTGACTAACGATTTGTTGCAACACCAATTCATCGAAAATATCTAACTAAATTAAATCGTCTTGTTGATATTATTGCCCTTATCGTCTGCCTAACTAATGAATTCTTGAAATCTCTCCCAAGTTTCAATAAGCATAATCACTTCTCCAATGCTCGTAGCACACTGTTTTTAGAGATTTCACAGTTTGTACGCAAAGCCTTGAATTTCACATTGTTGTGTCACAATCAAAACAACGCAAGATCAGGGAAAATCTACGTTTAAATTGGCGTCTAGTTTCAATTGGCACGCATTTTCCTCTGATGGTAATGAAGGATATTAAAAAACAGCAAAATACAAAAGCTCGACTGTCATCCAAGTACCCCTAAAAATCTTCTCATGAACACCTGGGGGTTCGCGAACCCCAGGTTAAGAACCCCTGCTCTAGAATAACTGAGATTATACACAAATCACATACTTTCTTTTGCGTTTAGAGGTTGCAAGTATCGCTTTAACAGCGTCTGCTTGCACAATATTCTCAGCAGGAGTAACGGGCACACCATTCTCTGATTCCATTTGCTGCAATCTTTGTAACTGCTGATGTTGTATTCGAAGTTGTTCAACTTCAGACTAGAAACAGAAAATTACACTAATTCAATATGTCCCAAGTACATATATACTGACAGACTATCACCATTCATAAATTCCCCAACAGTGCCAATACCACATTTAATTTTTACAAATGAGATTAATTTTAATTTTCTTCTAATTTCCTTTCAAGTTTGTTTAATAAAACTAATTATGTTAAGGGAAAAGAAATAGATTTTTTTTGTACTGTAAACATGTCAGACTTGGCTTATCAACTCAATATATGTCAACTTTTTGTTCAAGGGGATATTTAGCAGGTTTTAGGTCTATTTAATTTGCCATTTCCATCAACTTTACTCTATAAAATGCATGATGATGTGGAAATGTGAAAAGCAGTAAGTTTTACAGTAAGAGTGATATTCAGACATATCTTGTCATAAACATTTATCGGTACTCCTGAAGTATGCGCACCAAGATGTTGCACAACCTGAACCCTAACCTGGTACACAACCTGAGTTCAAGTTGTGCGCCATCTTGGTGCGCATACTTCAAGAGGTCCCAGTTATCCTACCTTTTTAAATAGAACAACGGAATTGCAAAATATTCATGTTGTCATATTGAGAAGCATTAAAATTAATACCTGCATCATTATTGTACCAGTATCACATCTTGTACCGTCATCTCCACTTGAATTAGACATTGTTAGATTATTCATAACAGCAACATGTTGAGGAAAATTTGTCGGTGTTGATGTGACAGGAGCGGACGTCAGTCTATTCAAAATAACACTAGGCGTTCAATGTAGTTGAAGCGTTAGATTTAACTACATCCCAACTCAACCAGGGTGTAATAAATTGGTTAGGCAATTCTAAACAGGAAAGACTTCTGTCATCCCAAACTATGGTAGCTATCTACCTAGCAGTTGTTTAGAGCCTCTTTCTATGCAAAATGCATCAAATAAATAGAGAAAATACTGACATGAAACTGAATGATAGTGATTGACTTACTATTTCTTTATTTCACTAATAAATCTTTATTTATGTTTCTAGTGGTTAGTTGAATCTCAATAGAGTATAGATGAGAACTAAGGGTTAATTATTTAAATAAAACGCCAAAAACCTTTTGGATAAGGGAGAGTGAAGACAGGAAATTATAACTGTGACTGTGAGTGCTCAAGATGGACTGTTTATAGTCAGAACTAATCAGAATCTTCCGTAATTAGAAACTATTGCCAATTATCACAAACATCTCTGTGTAAATCTGTTTACCTTTGCTGGGCATCATCTGTTGATATTTGCGTAAAATGGATGTTATCGAGATTCAGTTCCGTTGGTATTACGGGCTGGTGTCGCTGGTTGTTAACAGGAGTACGAGATGGCACAAACACAGTCAAGGCCTGGTTTGTTTGTGTGTTTACTCCTGATGTTTCGACTTGAGCAGGAGTAGGCTGAATATGTAGTACAATAAAAGTGCATGAGAGATATTAAAGTACCTAATCATCTAGATCTGACACAGTATTTCCGTGCCATAACTGCCATTTAGGGAGATATCTATACTGGAATATTGTGACATTTGACATATAAAATTTTTATTTAAAAAAATTTTAAATAAGCTTTGTTAACAATGAAGACATTATCTAAGCCAAAATGAACTTAAATGTGATATAAATCATGATTTCGTAGAAAATAAAAAATCCTTATAAAGCGATACTTATAAAAAAAACATTTTGCGTAGTAATTAACTCACAGTTTCAACAGGTGTTGTATCAACTTCCACTCTAGTATCAGATTGGGGAGGATCTTGTGAAACTAAGGATAATGTTGTATATGACATCGGTGAGTTAGATCTTGCGCCACCAGAACCTCCACCACCATTGTCCGTTGTGTTTGTTGATTCTTAAAAATGTAATCAGTCAGAATAAATATTGATCAAAGCTAAATATGGGGATAAGTAATTTATCATTATATGGTTTTTCATTTATTTCCCTTCATCCAGAAACACTAATTATTCCTACTATTTTTATGTACAGTGTGTTTTGTTGGAAGTCAGAAATTCAGACAAAACACTTTACCGTTGATTGAAAATTCACTGGTTAACCGTAGTTGGTTTATCATAGGCTCTACATTAGTGGTTCCCAAATTTGGTTGACCAGGGGCCAAAATTAGAAGCGGAAAGATATTTTTGGGCTGAGAGAGGGGAGCCGAGACCGATACATATAATTAAGATACTGATATAATTGAATTGTCACGGATGATATATACAAATGTTTAAACTGTGATAATGACTTAACAATTGGCGGTATCCACAACGCAAAAAGGTAAAAACATAAAGTGTTTAACTGTTTCAATTTAGTTTGGCGGGCCATATTAAATTGTTACGCGGGCCGTAATTGACCCGCTGTTTGGGAACCACTGCGTTATTACACGAAATAATGTTACCTCAATTTGTATATAATGTGGTAGACCTATCTTGATTTTTTTGATTGTTTGGGTATTGCTCAAAATTTCAACAGATCAAAATAAATAGTATCTCTGCTAAGTCTTATACAAAAGAGATGGAGTGTATTGTATACTGTAGTTCAGTGCTGTTATAAATCGCTGATCAAGGCACCTACCGGCACCAAGCTGTACAGCAGTTGCAGGTGTTGGTTCAGGTTTGACATGAGAAGCGATAGGAATCACCCCAGTTGTTACAAACGGTCCTTTACCAACTTGTACCTGGGCCCATTGTTGCTGACTTGAGTTCCATAAGTTTGGATCAACTGGTCTAGAAATAAACTGAAATAGCTGAAAACTATGACATATTTACATGGTGCCTTACATAAGTTGGAGAGAAAGATTACCGATTATTTACTCACCGTGACTATATCATGAAGTAACAGCGAAGACACTCTTCAGTATTGCTTTATTTTCAGTAATTATTTTATTATATTCGCTATATCAGATATCATGAATGCTGCTGATATATACCTTAAACCTCTAAAGTCCAAACTTAATGTTTTTATCAATTGAACCGGATTTATTAAATTACATTCTTCAAAAACTTAATGGCAACAATTTGGTACAATACAGTGATACAAATTTTAGCATAACACAATACATAGAAAGATTAGTCAACATTCAGAAAAAAACGGGAAATATGTTTAACATATGCTGCACAAATTCTACTGGGTGAACATTACAGAGAATCTTATTAATCAAACCAGTAGAGATATTTTTATGATTCAATTCACTCTTAATAATAAATGTGTATCTTGAGACTTACTGATAAGCACCATATCCTTGTACAAGATTCACAACAACTTGTGGCACAGATGATACCGGCAGCGTCACTGATGTTTGACCTGATGTAGAAATTTGTTGCTGTCCATAGGGATTCCATGCAACGACAGCGGTCTAAATTTATTATGCATCTTATGGGAAATCAAAATTTACTGAACAAATTAGATACAGTTTACCTATATAAAATGTGATAAATTTGACCAGTTTACCAAAAATTTAAAACTCTACAATCTTGTTGGTTTTTACAGATAATATTAGTAAAAAAGAATTACATCATCTCCAGTCATCAACTTTGCCTTTTTAGACGAGTTTCTCGCATTGATTGTTTTTGTGCTCGCATTTCCAGGATTCTCCCGAATTTCAAAAGGTTTTGGTGCTGGCACTAAACATAAATATAATGTAAACATCCTATTACACAAAATAAAAGCATAGCAGTAATGCAAATATTTCAATAAGTGATAAAAATTGAACTTTTTTCAGAATGAATAATTTAGGATATTTTCATATGCTGATATACTTTTGCAAAATTTTGGCAAATTATAATTTTAATTTTTTTTATATATTCCATAATACAAATGTACTTCACTCATTTTAAAATAAGCATCTCAGGTACCAGTAGTTAACTTGGCAGTGAAAGTTGATAATTATCCAAAACGTTGAATCATATCTGAACAACTAACCAACAGTTCCTTTTCCAGTGTTATCTCCGCTACCCTGAATGATTGCTTCTTTAGGATTTGATTTTACAATGCTGTTTACTTTGGGCTGAGTAAGAAAAAATGAAATAAATTGTACAGAGCAATACGTTAATATTATCCTACTGCATAGTACATCATATAAATGACCATTCTGGAGTGAGAATTTTCTAAGGGCGACGATGATAAAATATTTTCGTCAAACAATTCGTGAATGGGGACTAAATTGTAATTACCACTAATACACAGATAAATAACCAAAGAACACAATTTTAACAAACTGAATGTTATAAAATGATGAATTTTCGGCCAAGTTTATTCGGGCTTGAAAAACAAATTATATTTATGTCTTACATTCATACGAAGGAAAGCACCTTCTATTTGCTTTGAATCATGACAAATTCAATTAGTAGGCAATGTATAATGAAATCATTGTAGAGGTTGAGAATGATCCTACATTCATTGATTCTCATCCGTGACACCAGTTTACCTGATGTCCAGTTTACCTGGGTGTTCGTAGTTGAAATAATAGTGGAAGTAGAAAGTTGAGCAGCGACCAAATTTCCTGGAGCTTGAATGGAAGAAGGAGCAGCAGGAACATCCTGCAGAACAATGATATTCCCATTACTGTTCACGTCAGTAGGATTTGCAATTGCCATGTCCTGAAGTGCGCAAATATACTGGTAAATTTAAGCTTAAAGACGACTCACACAAAAATATGTACAAAAATGAATCTTAACATTCCTTTTGCTTTGTTTAAATGCATTGATTTTAGCTCGACTTTTACTGAAAAAAAAAATTTGACAAATGACGAGCACTATCTGTATAATTTCCCTGAAACTGCAGCAAACATAAGATGTACTTTTAACTATGAAAACAACCTCTTGTTATCCTTGAATAATCATTAGTTTCATTATAATATCAAAACAAATTATATATTTTTTTACAATGCAATCAGACAATATGACTCTGAAATTCTGACAACACCAAAAAATGTGGTGAACTCATTTCGTTTCAGCATATAATTTGTCCAAAAACCATTATAACGAAAATAAATAAGCATAAAATATCAGACCTCAGATTCAGATGCTGGAACAGCAGATGCTTTTGGATGGGCAGTGACAGTGAGTGTTTGCTGGCAATAAGCATTACATCGATTGATAATATCAGGAAGACCGAGGTACACAGCAGTCATCCATGTGTTTGTCACTGTTGTCGGTTCAAGGCGGAGAACTCCAGTATAGAAGTATTCCAGTACGATCTGATATACAAATTTGCACAATTTATGTTAAACTTACTTAGATAACAAATAGACTCTTTGATAAAACTTGCGTATTGCAATAACATTTATTAAAGTTTAATTATCGCTCTGTGGCAATATTTTTCTAATATCAATCAGAATACTGTAGCAAAAAAGTATATTTATATCTCCATACTATCTGAAACCAGTAAAGCAGCAAGAAATACTGATATATAAATTTGACAGAATCAAAATAGGATAAAACTATGCAATTGGTCTCGGCATATAGAAAAATTCTAGCATGTGATTAGAACATTTACAAAATACAATCACTAAGTCTCAAGATTTGTTGAACAGCTAAATAGTCAACAGAGTTGAGTTCATTATAAAATGATTGGAAAGAATATAGACTCAGGACTAGTGATCATTGTCCCTTGAAAGTGTTGAATAACTAAATAAAATCAATATTATATCTTCTAAAATTAATATAAAACATGAATCACCTCAAATCCAACAGGACTCACACCATGAATTTCAATCTCGATATCATGACTTGTATTATCTTCATCAGTTGCATCCTGAAATTAAGAAAAAATATCAGAAATTTGATAAAACTTCCTGAATCAAATAGTTGAAGCTCCATCCTCTTTAATTTAACAATCTCCCTTCCCAAGCAAAACCTAATAAATATGATCATGCATAGGCCAGTTTAATTCAATATTCTGAAGCATCTTTTGTTATATACCTCTATACCGTAAAATAAAATGCTACAAAAGTGTGTTTATTATTATGCAGTACATTGTGTTGTGCTGTGAATTTTTGCGATGGTACAGCAGGAGCCCATAATATTTTCTGGTGCAGTAGCTGAAGGACCCCTCTATGTGTTGCTCGAGTTACTTATTGTAACACTGTAAATCCATGCCAATAGTGTGCATATTGTATGTGACACTACAGGACGTGACACTACAGGACATTTTCCCACTTCGGAACAGCGGCCTCTATCATCTCTTAAAATTCTGGTAACAAATCGTTAAATGGGTGAAGAAATGTCCTACAGCACTGCAGACATTTTAACTTTATTAACTTAAGTCCATCCAGTGCGTCTATTTCATATGAAACAACTGTATAACACAATCAAACACTTTGTGTCACGAATCATCACAAAATATCTCAATTATACCAAAATTTCTACATCTCTGGCCATTTTTTATAAACCATCAAAATCCTGGGTAAAATTGTAACTTTTTCGGTGAAATGAATGTCCAAAAAATTCCAATGTCATTTGATATAAAAAATAAAAAAAATTACTTTCACGACACTTTTAAAAAAATTGATGGAATTCAACTTTTGCTTGGAATGGCCCAAATAATAACATCATTTGCTCATTTTTGACTATGCTGAGTCATTACAGCATTACTAGAAATTCCGTTACAATCGAGCCATTCAATGTTGGTTCCTTCTCTGACATGCAGACGTGAGGAATGATCCAATTTTTTTTTGTGCACCACAGAATTTGATTTGTGACTTGTCAGAAATAAATCCTAATTATGATCTATGTATTTTTCACAAATGTGAAGGTTATTCACCAGGGGTGGCCAACCTGCTTTCGATCGACTGATCGGTAAAAAGGTCCTACACAAAAACGAATAGGCACTGAATGTGCAGATAACTGCACACACGCATACAAAAAATTCCATCGCTGCCAATGGGAAGGCTTTGCGGGCACATTATTGTTAAAATCCATACAAAATTTATATTTTTTATGTTTCATTTAAGTTGTTGATTTAATTATTTAATTGTTGTAAATGTACATTATTTATTTAATCCATGCAACCTTCCATGTATTATCCAAACAGCGAAAATTAAATATTCTCGAACCATGAACGTTACATGACTGCCCAAACTTCAGTATCTAAATTACAATTTCCTCCAAACGCGATTCTTCACTTGCTTAGAATTGGAACAGATCGGGCATTTTGCCACTGTTACCATTGCGAATAAAATTTATCACACTAATCTTGGAGTGAGACAATAACTCTCGAATATTGCGGAAGGTATTGTAGGATCGTTTGTCAGTCTAAACACACGATATTCGGCACTTCATTTTTAACCTTGGCAGCGGAAAAACTTGCATTTGTTACGGAATAATATTCTTTGTCTGCTTGCCAAGACTCAAATACTGTATGTGTATATTGTATTTTGCGCATGTTAAGTACTGTATTCTTCATGTTGTAAAACACACAACTGTTTCGAGGCAACTTTTGAGGGTATTTCAATAAATTCACTCACTGACATCGCGGTATCTCAACTGTTATATACTGACTAAGCAATTGATAAGATTTATGATGATAATACACAGACTAAATGACAAATGTTTAGTCATCGATAAAAAGATAAATGATATTTTAATCTTCAGAATGTCACATCAGCGATACAGTAAATAAGCTGCCAAAATTGAGCGAAATTGAGGCTGAATTGAAGCATACACTGATACGATTATAAATTTCAATCAATAAGACGTACCAAAATTAATGCATCAAGCTGGTCGCTGTTTGCAGAAAGAACACATTTATGAGCAAGGAATCTTTGTTCCACAACGCAGACACAAACGTCGCAGTATTTTCCTGATGCACGCTGCTGTGATAAGTGCGTGACCTGAAAATGCAAAAAATTATGATGTCAGTAGTGGAGAAGTACCGATACCACTTTTGTCGCCGATACCGATCCGATGCCATCTTAAAACGCCGATACCGATACTACAAAAAGGCCAATATTTCCGATACCGATATTATGTAATTATTACTTAATTAGGTATGCTGTGTAGGGCAGACAGGTTAAAACAATGGTCTTTGAGCGTTGTTCATAGTACACATTATTTCAGATCGAAAAAAAATATATATCACATAATATGAAATTCATGTTTGGTATCCATATGCTTGTATGCTGTAACTGATTAAGATACATTGTACAGTAACGCTAGTAATCTCGGTGTTCAATTAGAAAACTCATAAGCCGGGATGTCCAATTTGAATTCAATATTAATATCGCGAGCTTCGAATATCGTTATTCGTGTTTAAAAGAATATCGAATATCACCCACACATTCTAGCGCCGCCGTCCTACGTTCAAATTAAAAGCATTTTACAAATATTTTATTTAGTGGCTAATCGTAATCGTCGACGCAATAAGTCAAAGCCAACATGAAAGAATATCAATCAGCACCGACAAAAAGAAGGCCCACCGATAACCGTTGAGGATGTTTTTTTACTTCACTATTTTATAATATTTTATAATTGCTATCATATCATTGCATTTTGAGACAGTCTAGGGCTAGGCGGTCAAGTCAATATATCTATAAAGAAATCGTGTAGTTAAGCAGAATTAAAATTAATACTTGTGTAGTGGGATAATTGTGTCAGAATTTAGTTTATCGATGTCGACGGACTAAATGACACTCGTACTTGACGACAAACAGTCAGAATTTATACCCGTGCCAAAAGTCCATGTGCCGTTAATAAGGAAGGACCCCAATTCCACTGTATGATTTAAAACTGGGCGCCTAGTTGCTTTTTGTTATGTGCTGTGTTGATATATTTCTTCATAAAAACTATGTAATATTAAAAATGTCAATATAAAAATTTGACAGCGAAAATAGCCAATTAGTTGAGCTAGTTCTGTAGTTTAGCTGATAAATAGCTAAAAACACGTGAATCCTATTCTCTTGCGGGGGTGGACATGTATGGCTCATAGCTGATGATCTCTTCAGACAAAAATAAATTAAAAAGTAGTATACCAACTTATATTTTAAAACATTCTGGTACCGATACATGGCCGATACCGAAAAATGGCCGATATTGCCGATACCGATACATCTCTAGTCAGTAGTACTTATATAAGTATGCAGCTGATACCAGTACAAATTCTGAACTTGCAATGAGAAACGGTAAATATGTAAACTGCCCAAGAACTTACCAGCCTAGCAGCATGTTCATGGTCCACGGCAGTCATTTCTTATTTGTTCAGGAGCTTAAATTCAATATAGTATAACGATATTCGGCTAACAAACAACCCCAGCGACCAGGCCCTCTAATATCAAACTAAAAACGAAGATCAAGGAGGAGTAACGATAAAACGGGAGACTTCCCTAGTTTTTGGATGTTTACTCCAGAGGCGACCCCGATGCTGGTACCGGAGTCAAGTCTTACTATTCGACGGCGTTCGGTCATTTTTATCCGTAATATTCAGGTATCAATGTTGTAATCATGATATGTTTGCAATGCTCACAAGCTGAAATCATGTTGAGAGATCATCACATTGTATTTTTTCTTTATATTCTGTGTCAGAAAGTGAAATTGCCCATATAGTAATTTTTGGAATGGTAGGATTTCATATTTACTTCGAGGGACAGGAAAGTTGATTGTTTGTCTTAATCGTCCGGCGTACGATCAGCGGCGTGCCAATCTTTTATTCTGCACAGGGCGAGTTTTTGATAATGATGCCCCTTGTACATAACTTCAAATAGGTTCCATTACATTTGAACCCACGTACATTTGAACCCATGACAATTGCACCTGTATCCTATTGCACCTATGGAATTTATTTTGTGTCACGGATAGTTAAACCCATACTAACCCTAACCCATGGGTTTTAGCACCCGCATATAGATTGAACCCGTGGATATACGCATGGGTTCAAATGTACATGGGTTCAAATGTACGGTCACCCTTCAAATATGATTCGGAAGATAAATAAATTGCAGATGTTGTTACCTTGTTATACATTTAATGTCATTGATGGGAGTGAATAAATTAAAGATCAAGTGAAAATGAAATGGTTGTATTATTAATCAAATCATCAAACTAGGCAACAAATCCACATGTCTAAGATCAGACTCTTTTATTAATAACAAAAAGCGAGTCACCTGCTTTGATGTCTAATCGCAATAATCGTAGCACTGATATCGAACATAACCAATTAATTAGCATAGTGAACGCGCGAGTAGTGCGCGCGAGTGACAATATCGTCATAATCGATTGCGTTAAATCTACAACTTGGATATGCTGGCCCCTATAGCTTGCTACCTTCCATGCCCGCCCCTGCGGCTTTTTGCCCGGTGAGATGTATCATGCTAAGTGTTAGGAATACGCTTACCACCGCATTTCCGATTACCCTGCGTGGGTTCGCTGGTTAGAATCCCGGCCGTTGGGGGTATTTATGAGCGAGAGGATTGCTGGACTGATCCTCGCCGCAGGGTGGTTCAAGTTACCGCTGGTCGGTTACGGCTCCCTCCTCCATCAAGTCCATGCATTTGAAACAAATAACTGGTAATAACTGATAATCCCATAGCCGACATGGACTGGTAACCGAAGCAGAGGCCGTGATTCGCCATAAGATAATGCCGTATCATTCAGCCTTCCTTTCCTTCAGGATAAATATGTAAATCCTATCCGATTTGCCAGGTATTTGTTTCGTGTGCCTGGACTTGGTGGTGGAGAAAGCCGTAACCGACCAGCGGTGACGTGAACCACCGAACGGCGGCTAGGTAGGCTAATCCGTATTTTATTTTATTACCATGTTGAAAAAGCACTCTCGAAATACATATTTCAATAATACATATATAAAATTGCATTTCAGGGTGGAGGAAGACACGGAAACCAATATTGGTTTGGCTTTGTAACACTGTAAATATTGTCCATAAAATGTAACTCTTTACGTCACACTTACATGGCCCGCCAGACTAGGTGGGCAAAATTTTTGGCACCTGTTCCAAAAACCTTGCTCACCACTGCTCTAGAATATAATTATCCCCACGGGTTTCAGACCTGCAGACACAAGCAAGGTAATCAGAAAAGCGATGGCGAGCGTATTCCTGACGCTTAGCACGATGCGCCACACCGCCGATCTTATTTTAAAGTTTTGCAACTTTATAGTACAGTGGTTCCCAACCGGTGGGAAATTTACCACTAGTGGGAAATTTGGAAGTTGCCGGTGGGAAATAGAATGCTCATCTAAAAATGTACGCACAACAACACAATTATTAAATATTACACAATGAAAGTCACAATATATGCCATAGAGCGGAAAAAGATTCTCATTCAATTAATGAAGCTTTAGTAAAATATCACGTTGTTGGGCATGATATTCTGATCGTGCTACGAAACTCATTTTAATTTTTGGTCGGCCGATAACAACCTCACAGGCATGTCTCGAACGAGCACCAATGCTACGTTACGCATGAAGATTTTCATTGCAGATCCGCAAAAGAGAACAGTTGTTATTCAAATTTTTCAGAGATATTGGGTAGGCACGCGCTCTGATGAACAAATATTTGACCCGTCCCTCCATTCTGCTTAATTGTTAATAAAAGGTAATGGCTTATGTAAAAATATAGTACGATCATAGTCATCTCGGCTACGTTTCACGTTTTCAACGATATTCTGCCGAATAAATCTGCGGCGTCAAAGATGACGGATCTCCTTGTCCAATAGCAATGCGCATTTTCAAAAATAGATTCATACTTCCGGTCTGTCATATAAAAAACAGCAGAATTGATATGGACGGTGTAATGTAACGTAAATTTTGATGCGTTTTTTGTAATTTTAAGCGTTGAATTGTTCTATTCCAGGGATGGCAAACCTTTTTCAATGGATGGGTCAAAAATTATATTTTTATCGCGTAACAGAAGAGAGTGGGTCACAGTTACTTAATCAATGTTTGTATCTACAATTATGAAACTTCTGGAACAAATCTTATAAATTTTGTTGGCGTTGGTGTAGTTTTGGGCTTTACTTATGCAACGCTTCTAACAGGGAGTTTATGTGGCACTCGATTTTATGAAATTAGAGTATAAAAACACGCATATGAATTACCAAAAACGTTTATGATGATGCGGCAAACTATTTTAAGGTTCCAGTGTTTGGAGGGAACTCTAATAGTGTTATATATATTTTTTGATCAGCTTTCAGCCACATTAAGACACTTTTACACTCCCCCATTGTTATTTTAGATTTCTAGGTTTTTATTTAAGGTCTGAAATATTATGTTTTCTCAATGGCATTGCAGGCGAGAAACTAATAAAATGCAAAGTAGCATCTAGTTCTCGTATAACCCCTAAAACAGTATACAGATGCACTTCCGAAAGAGATAAGACGTGGCGAGAAATGAACATTTTAATTGCATTGTTATTTCATAAACGATGTAAGAGCCAATAAATGAATAACGGTACACAGCAGTGCAGACATTGAAACATGCGTTCATTTGAATCCACATTTGAATATGAGCTATCTCAGTCCTACTGCCCAACTGACGGTGAATTATTTATAATAGTTTAGTTATTGTTAAATTAATTTAAGGCCGGTTTTATAAATTTTTATCACTGATATGTTAGCACTTTTTAAATTTTATTCGTACCTTGGTGAGATGCTAGACGGCGCAATGAATGTTTTCACTGGGTTTCAACCTCTACACAAATTGAAAGCTTTTATCATAGAAAGTCATACCAAATATTATTGACATGAAAATTATTCTTTTTAAAATAAGTCCATATGTAATGGGAAATAACAGCTCAGCCTAATCGGAAGTGGGAAATTGAGATAAAAAGGTTCGGAACCCCTGTTCTAGTACCTTCCGTCGTATGTGTTTGTTCTGTATATTTCAGTCTTTCAGATTCAGATATTTATTTCGTCGTGCAGGAAGTATTGTAACGACACAATTAAACAAATATAATAATAAAAGATCAATTTCATTAAAGGGATATACAATATTTCCGCAACTGTTATTAAGTTATTAAACGCGAAATTGACCTATGGATAGCTTTGTTATTTTGTTGTTGATCATCACGTTAGTATTTCTTATCGTTTTCTTTTTGTTTCATTATCTATACATAATACAGTACATATAGACTAAAGAGGATTTGCACCGATCACGTGACTTTGTTTACACCGCCCTTTTGGACGGCAAAAAAAACGTCCAGACCCTGCTCTTGCCAGTTGCAAGTCGCGTTATTCGATTCCGTTTTGTTGGGCTGCAAAAATGGTTAATTCGTATTGTGCCCTACGTATAAACAACAAAATAGATCTTCAGTTATATTCCATTGTTATCGAAATATCCGGAACGTCGCGCAAGGTGGATATCATCTATTGAGAGAACTGGTTAGTGTCCCAGCCATCTCGCTCGTGTTTGGGAACAGCACTTCGTTGGTGGTGGATGATGATGTGCCGTTATTGATTTATTTAAATATTCCTAAGCTCCGTCATTTTAATGGCAAACATATGACAAACTACCGTTATTGGTAGGCATATTTGCGTTTCAAATTGGTAGGAAATCTTCCTCAATGGTCAGCAGACATTGTTTCGTTAGTTGGCATGTAATATATTAATAAGCGTGAAAAGTTAATTAGATCAAGTGGTCAAATGGAAACCCAAGTACGCCTAGGGCCCTAGGCCTGGACCAGACTAAAATTTCCAATGCGGAGCTAATGAATATTTGAAGAAATTGATAACGGCACATTATCACTCACCCCCAACGGAGTGCTGTCCGCAAACACAGGCGAGATGACTTGGACATCAAGCACTCCTGCTAATAGATGATATCCGCCTTGTTCGACGTTCCGAATCTATTGGAAACTTATGAAATATAACTGGAGATCCATGTCGTTACCTATAGGCTACGTACAGTCAAACGGCACAATACGAAATAACCATTTTAACAGCTGAGCAAAACGGAAACGAATAACGCGACCTGCAACTGACAGAAGTGAGGTTTGGACGTTTTTGTTTTTTTGCCTTCCAAAATGGCGGCGTAAACAAAGTCACGTGATCCGTTCAAGTCCTCTATATCAGCGGTTCCCAAACTGTGGGTTGCGACCCACGATGGGGTCGCGTGAAGATTTTACGGGGTCGCCTAATTTCTTTCAAACATGCGCACATAAGTGACTTGAACATAAGGATTTGAAAGTTGGAAAGTGAAATTTGTTCTGGTTGGCAGGTACCATAAAAGTTCAGAAGTTTGATAAGTCTTGACCGAGCAATTATTATTCTTTAGGTTTCGATAGCGCTTTATTAATACTACTAGTAGGCTACGTGTTTGGTCCACACCGCCTCCACATAACAGTGACAATTTTCGTATTGCAATTTACGTTTTTCAGACGTTTTACACAAAATTTCGAAGCGTTCCGAGTAGTCAAACACAAAACCACAACAAGTTCTAGCATAATAAAGGCACTTAAAAGATGTGATTCCGTACACTCTTTTCTTATTTTTACATTCATGCCATGTTTTACTTTCGAATTAAAAATGGAGCAATCTGTAATATGTTAATATAGAACTGAAAATAATAAACACGCTATTGGAATATAGCCTACTAAATACTACTACTAGTACGCGTCCTTACAATCTACTACATTTTATCAAGTACATCTATGTTTTGCCACAAAGAACCGTTATAATTTTGATCTAAGAGATTATAACATCGTGGTTTTCATGCAATGCCATGTGTTGTCAAGTCTTCTGAGGATTTCCCGTTTTTCCGACAAATTGCCGGACTCGTTCGTATATTTTTTGGGCCAATGTTCACCGACGCCAACGTCTACTTGCAGTCGATATACAGGTACGTTGTAATTAAACATATATATTGATTTTTAAATTTGCTGAACGTTTCTAGTTGTGGGGTCGCGAGTATCTGTAAGCTTTGATTTTATGAAAATTGGGGTCGCGAAAAAAAGTTTGGGATATAACCAAAACACCGCGAGGTGACAGCAGCGAGATATTTTTTACAGATTTCTACTGTGGTTGTATTTTCGTTACATTTGTTTTTCTGAACGTTACACAAGCCTGACTTTTACAACAGTCTGACAGTACAGTGCGAGGAGCATGGCGCTGCAGGATGTTTGGTTACCTCACGGCAAGGAAATACTAAATTGTTGGTGCTATATGCCATATGTCTGTACGTCTGTATATGAGTCGTTACAACGTTAATTGTGATTAGGTTCATTTCAAGTCCATGCTTGCCAAAGAAATACTAAAATAGCCTAACTACTGGTAGCTAACTAATCCCATACCAGTACCGTTATACTTCCATACCCGACATAGGACTGTAGGATAGGATTTACATATTTATCCCGGTGGAAAAGAAAGGCGATAAGGCAACTTTGGTTGGGCAACTAGGCATTTGACTCCAACTATAATCAGCTTGGCAATATGTTTTCAATAGAATCTTTCTTTTATATCTTAATTAACGATTAGAAGATCGATCAATTTGGCAATGGCAATCATTACAAAAATATCAATATGGTGTGGCAGAAAAAAATTTTTTTTTCTTTTCTTGTATTTATTTATTTTTTTTGTTTACTGTATAGTATACCCTAAATTTATCGCGTCTTATTCTTACTTAAATAAATTCTCAGTGGTTGTGTATGTGTGTGTGTGGCTGGTGGGTGCATGTGAGCGTGTGTGAAATAACTTAATAATTTTAGGTGAGTAAACACGTACCACTTCCTCTTGGCAAAACCTTTCATCTTATATTTTGTACGTTATAAACCTTATCTAAGGTTTTGTTTGCTCCCCTGATTTCATAATCAGTTTTTATTTATTTGTTTTTATCTGTCAAATGTATTGTTATGCTGATTATGGAGTCGAAATAAACTTATACTTATATACTTATACTTATACTTATAAGGCGGTTTAATCATATGGCGAACCACGGCCTCTCGTCCGGTTGCCATTCCATGCCGGATTGTCGGGTATGGGATTAGCTAATTATTTGTTTTTGGAAGCGTAGATTTGATGGTGGAGAAAGCCGGAACCGATCAGCGGTCACATGAACCACCCTACAGCAATCCTCTCGCACATAACTATCCCGCGTGGGGTTCGAACCTGCGAACCCACGCAGAGTAATCAGACTGTCAGGGGTGCGGTGGCGAGCGTCTTCCTAACGCTGTAACGCTTAGCACGATAAGCCACACCGCCGCGTGACATGGATCCCCGGATTAAATAGGCTATGTAAAATCCTATCTTACAGTCCTACCTAACCATTTCTTGTTGGCTTGTATTTTTTGTCTGTTTGTCTCTTGTTGACTGTCTTATTGTGTGTTTGTATTTTACACCTCTGTTATTGATTCTTGATTAACTGATTTATTCAATTTATTTTTACAATGAGTATGATAATACTCAATGAATTCTATAATGAGTACAATATACAGATATACTTGATATGATCATATTGTAATTTAATCTTTTTAATTTGTATTGATCAAATAATTTCCTCATTAGTGCAGTAGTGTGTGAGATAGGCTACTGAGATACAAAATATTTTGTGATGTAATCAATTTTAATTTATCAATCAGCAATTGAAATATCATTTTTCATAATTTCATGCTGCTTATAATAACGTCAGAACTTGTTTTAAATGGGGTTCATGCTTGATTGGTCCTAATACTGTAATATACTATATTTTTATAATTTGTTGCGAACCATGCATTCAAATACATTTCTAATAATTTGAAGCTATACAGTTTGTTAGACTTTCTAATAATATATAATGAGTATATTCAATTTTATCAAGCCCAAATTTTCATCCTTGATTTCAGTGTTAATATATGCAGTAGAGTATTTTGAATTTGCAGTGTTTCGTTTAATTGCGTTGAAAGTCAAGTCAGCCATGCTGATGGTGTGATCTTACTACTTATTGACTGGACCAAGAATCCCAAATGGCATTGGTCACCAACAGACAAATATCAACTAATTCCCAGGTTAATTGATTTGTGTTCTGGTTATATATGTTTTCATTTTCATGCTATATAAGTTAGGTTTTTTATGTTAATTGTATAAGTGCTAAATAGATGATTAATATTTACGTTCAAGTCAATGTATTCTATAGTCAATGTATATCATCAGTCAAAACTAACCTTGAGAGTAGGGATGTAAAACACTTAGTTCTTAATATATGGTATTTTGAAAAAGTTGCTTTTAAAAATCAGTGTTTTTGTGTAAAATTTAACTATTTGTGGTGAAGTTGTGATAAATATCAAGTAAAAGTAGATCCATATAATGTTTTATTTGAACATTCGGCATATTTGCCATTCCTAATATTTTCATTCTTATTTTATCTAGTCATGGTTGGGAGCTGTTGACGTAGGATATCTGACAGAGTCAGAACGAGATGCAATTCTTGATGTTTTGCAACGAGATGAAAGTGTTCGTCAAAAAGAAAATAACAGAATATCGTATGTTGTTGTACTTGATAAATCATAATTATTTATGGCCATGAGTTCACGAAAGAGTTGCAAAATGATTACTGAATAAGGAATCAAATAAATAATATAGTAACATAAAACAAAGTCCCAGTATAGTCGTACATTATTAAAATTTAAAGAAATCAAATTTTCTACATTACTATAATACACAGATATAAATATTCATCGCTTCATTGAAGAATTTTCCTCACATATAATTTTTCAATGCATGTTGTAATTACCTCATTAATCGACGGACAGGAAACATCATTCAATCCTTTCCAATTCAGAGTATTGAAGTCTGAGCTTCGTGATGTTCGAAGAAAAGGTGCCAAACGAGCAGAGAATTCATATTCAACAAGAATTTGTGCAAGATGTAATAATAAAACTGGAATTATATTTAATTCGGCTGCTCAGTGTCCTATTTGCAAACATAAGGTGATATATTCAGTATCATAATTGTATCATGGCCGATATTTTTCAACCTGTGATAATATACTTATTTTTAATACAAACATATTTTGAAAAAAAAAATATGTCTTTACTTGCCTAATGCTTTGGAGTACACAATATCAGTTGTAATAATCTTCAGTAAATTTGTATTTCTGTTTTAATCCAATATCAATTTAATAATGATAAAATAAATGGACTGTGTGAAACTCCCAGCGCTTCATGTTTTGTTCGCGATGATCACTTATACATACTTCTGTAGTTGTCAAATGCAATTACCGGTTTTAATTTTTTTATCTTTATAATACAAAGGTCTGCCAGCAGTGTAGGATGACTGGAATATTCAGTAAAGAATGGAAATGTGTTGTCTGCTATCAAGAGGCGTAAGTTTAGTCTTCATATTCCTTTTTTACATGTGGATCACATATTGCATGGGCAACATTATATCTTTTGGATAGTTCAGTGTTAAGTTAGCTTATGAAAATAATATCATGTCACAGTATATCAGTAATTTGCTCAATTCGTCTGGTATTAGTTTTACAAAACAGGCTTTCTTATCCCGAGTTTGTTACACAGAATGTTTTACAAGTTCCACATCTCAGTACTTGATTGACAGACATATATGTCACTACTGTCGTAAAAGAGAAACAATAGGCCTATAGAATTTCAACCTGCTACAATCATATGAATGAATTTCCTATAAGCTATTCAATATTCTGATGTTGATTGAATTATATCGCTCTGGTATGTAATACACATTATAAGACACAAATTTTTTTGTAGTGATATTCTAATTAGGCAACCTTAGTACTGCATTTGTTAATGAAGTCAATCAATGGCTACAAAGTTATTTGATTATTACTGTAAATTTATACCAATCCCATACAGGGATGTCTATAACTAGGTAATCGAATATTCCGAATATTTAAATTTTTAATTTTTGGTTTTAGAGATATTTCTAAGTAGCCCATTTCATTTATAAAATTATTATTTGGAGCAATTAAATTTTTACAGTATAACAAAAAGGATGTTCTGAAAATTTGATAAAATGTAAAACCAATCAAATTATTGTTTATCTTAACTTTCCCGAGAACACATTCTTAAAAGTAGTGTGTAGTTTTTATTTTATTGTTCATAACCATGTGGGTGAAAAGGAATTTGTAAGTATTTGATAAATGGGTGTGTCATGTTTGTTGCTATCGTATTTTATTTGTGCCAAAATGGATTCATCTCATTTTAATAACTTTAGTATTTATCTAATGTTGGTAAGTGATCCACCCATTGTTCTGATGCTCAAACAATATTTACCACAACATTTTACAAAAAATCTTGGAATCTGCTACAGAATCTTATTCTATTTCCCTATTTAGTTTTAAAATCTCATATTCCAATTGCTTCAAGGCCGATTCTTAGCTGCATTACTTAATATCCTTTAAAAAACTGTCTATGTATTTATATTCTACAAGTCGTACACATTCTATTTTCTGCAATTTATATCCTATAATGATCATCTGACTTTTGGTTATTTTCCATTCTACAAGCATTCTTATTCATTTTTTTTTCATTCAAGCAGCTGTTATGTGGATTCATGTAAGTTGAGAAATGCAGTGTTGATTACAAGATATAAGTGGTGTTCATTAGTTATTGGCCTGGTTTAAAAGTTAGATTTTGCATGACATTTTGTGTTCTTGTTTCAGTTGTATTACTGTTTGAATGAAAAACACAAATTTTAATTTTGAATCCCTATGTATAAAATATAGATAAAACGACACATCAAACTTATTTTAGGTATCCAATATATTAAATTGTGTACCATTTCGTTGAGAGGCGAACGAACATTTATTCCTGTAAACATTTTCCCTTTTTTTAATGTCTTTCCACATAGACAATACAAATTCTGCATTTTCAAGTAATTTTTGTTAGACAGTTTCTCTACATGCAGGCCAGTGCGTTTTCAACAATATGGTATTATAAGTATGGACCAGTAATATATATATATCAATAATTATTTAATATGTGGGTTCTCTGAGATGAAAAAGAATTTTTAAAAGTTCCTGAAGCCTAGGTGAAAAATTGAGTGTAAATCCTAAATCATTTCATTTTAAATAGCTGAATTTTCTAAATTTGCAGATATCATAAGATTTGTAAGGAATGATACTTCTTGATATTTGATACTTTATATTTATTATTTCTGCATGAAATCACGAAAATTTCTAAACGAAACATTATATGGCTTTGAGATATAAAAATGATGTGTTATAATTGATTCATTATTTTGTTTTAGAAAAAAAAAAAACGCTTCAGTTATGTTTTCTGTGTTCTGTTCTGTTAGAATATGGATATTTATTTATCAATACAATTGAAAAAAAAACGAATCACTTGAACATGAGAATTTCATATCTGAATTATCTTGACTTAAGAATTGAAACATCATTTCCTGTCTAGTTCGTGTTGTCAACCTATTTTGAACGGAACTGAGTTTCATATTTCTGCAATCATGCAATATTTACAATTTGTTACAAAACTAGCAAATTCATTGTTATAGTAATCTATTTCTACCAGAAATATCATTTTGTCAGATGTTCTTTGGTATTCTTACTCAGTCTTAAAATGTTTTTTTACATGTCATCCAAATAGCAGCAAATTTGTTAAATATGCTTATTTTTCTGTGTAATCCGACATCAACCATCGTCTTTCCAAAATCGTAATATTTCGCAGAAACAAAAACAATATATTTGCTTATAATGCATTTGTTTCAAACAAAATTTTGAAATATATTTCATGGAAGTAGGCCTATTACTTAAAGCGCAAGTTTTTCAAAATTATTTTACTGAGTTATGATTCAAAATTTTATTGTTTATTTAACCTATTTTATTGACAGTGGCCAGTAATAGCTTATCCATATTGTATTATCTGAAAATATTGCACTCATTATGGGATCATAATTTAGAAAAATACCAGTAAATATAAAGTCGATGTAAAAAATTTTTATATTATGTATACATTTTTTAATTCTAATATTTATTTATACAGATTGTTCATAGAATCTTTTTTTTAATAAGTAAACCACCCTTTTAACGCTTAGCAAAACAAATTGTGTGGAGTACATGTTTTTGTTGTTATGGTTATCACCTAATTAAAATCCAATCTTTTTAGTCCACAAGTCACAGGAAAAATAATCATGGTTTCAGACACAATATAATATTTTATATGCGATGTTTGAAATTTGTTTCAATTTTGACAGAAAACTTAAAGCTGAGACTGGTGAATGGTTTTATGGTTTGATGCGACCTGAACTTCGAAGTATGCAAGATGGTCCAACCTTAGTTAAACAAGCTGTGAATACAAAACCCATCCATTGTAAGTCTATTTCACTAAAGTCGTAAGAGTGCAATACTATAATCCAAGATGGAAACAATTGTTTACCTGATACAGAATGACTTAGCAGGGAGTGAGAGTTTGACATGTTTTTATTGATATTAGAGCCAGTGTTGTATTTTGAAGCTCTCAGGATTCTGAGCCAAAGTAGAAGTTTCGAAATCATCATCATTTTTTTGATGCCAATCAAAGTCATATTTCTTGTGGAAACTACAAAAAGCATGAAGTTCACCAAGCATCCCTAATTAATAACAAACAATAATAGAAGACTTGCATAGCCAAAGTTTTTATAAAATCCGTGAGTTATGATACGAGTTCAAAATTGTTTATAGCCTGGATTCAAAAGTCTATGTTGGAGCTTGGAACATTTTTTATTTAAATTTTGTTATCTTGTTCAATTGAGGCCGCAAATTGTACATTTTTATGATTGGTAATTAGCTTTTTATCTTCTTTTAGTTGATCAAAGATCAGATGAAGTTTCAAATCATTCAAAATCTGCTCCTGAAATAACTTGTACTCCGGCATCTTCGTCTATTTCTAAAAGCTCTAAGAGAGGTATATAGACTGCCGTATAGTTGTGTAGTTTTGTCATATTTTTGATCACAACAGCAAATATTCAACAACCAGAAAATTTTTTCTTGTCGACTTATTTTATATATAACAACAAATATATTTTATCAAATCTTATTTACCAGTCTTAGATTTCAGAAAAATAAAATCTGTTATTAACATCAATAGACAATAACATAATAATACAATCAGGAGATTGTGTATCTGCCAGTTTAGCAAATGTTTCTTTAATTCCTTCAGATACAGTCAGTCTGAATAGTTTTGACACCGAAGATACAGGCAGTTCTACAGAATCTAGGAAACAAAGATCTAAGAGAGGAAGACTAGGTCCTGCAGAGACTGGTTCTATAGGTGAATTGAGAAGGTATGAAATCTATTATTAAAATTTGTTGTTTCTTCTTTTTGTCTTGATGTGATCTTTGCTGAATGTTAGTAAAGCTTGCCGAAATAGAGAACTTTATTGGTTTGGATGATTCGACCAACTCTCTACTCAAAATTTTTTGCAATGAATTTTTCAAGACAGCCATGCCATTTTTGTAATGTGTTCTTTACATATTTCATGTTAAATGCTCAAAGTATTTCTGAGGTGTTCTGTGAATAGCGAGTGAGAGGTAAGCAAAATTATTTTATTTGTTTTAGACCAAGTCCGGTTCGACACACACGTTCAGGTAGTCCTCATGGGAGCCCTACTCTTTCTCCCAGACATAGAAGAACAAATACTCTACCTTCAACTTCCAATACGCCTCCTGGGTATTTTTTTTTTTTTCCCTTATCTCAAGTATGCAAGTCAGATTTTCCTTAAAAATCAATTTTTATATATATACCTTCGTGTATATGAGTGTTAATAAATCAATCACCAAAGTCTGAATGAATCATTTGCTTCAGATTCTTGCAGTAAAATGTTTATAAATTTAGAGGTTAGATTCAATTTTTCGTAAGGATTGTTGTAACAGAAGATTTTGCTCAAATTAATTTTTCTTTGTGACGATTAGAAAAAGGCTCTGTCAGTGTAGAACCTATTTTGTGTGTATATTGATAATTATCCGAATTATAATAGTCTGAAATTCTTATAAAGTTAATAATTTTACCAATATCTCAGACCTGCCAAACCACCAAGAATTGCTGACCTTGCAACTATTATGCTTGCTAACAAAAAGAAACAACAACAACAAGAACAACTGCAACATACTAAACCTGAAGTTAGAAGACAATACAGTGGGATTGAGGAAATTAACACTCAACCATTCCTGCTATTGCCTCGCAACAAAGCTGGGTAGGCGTCTCCGAGTCCATCTTGTTTTCATCATACAATATAATCATTGAGCCGCTATAATTTATAAAAATTTGCTTCATTTTTATACACAAATACACACCAAGATTGATGTCAAAGTAGAAGCTGATTTTATATAAAATGAAATTGATTTGAAAAATATTTTTGAGAAATGTGCTTCCTATAAATATATTTGTGTTAAACAGGAATTACTTATACACTCACATATACAGTATAAACTCGAAGTAGAAGCGAAATTAATTTGTCCCGGAAGCAGTTTAGTAAGCAGAAGATTCCATAAGTAGGAACTCATTTACCCTATTATTGTCCTATTATTGCAGATCCAAGCCCTCACAAAAGTGCGTTTTACAAATTTTCGGTTTTTCTGTCTTTCCTATTCAGAAGCATCCTTCATTATTCGGAGCAAAATTCTATGAAAAGATGTCTCGTAACTTGAAAATTTCGTAACCGGGGTCTTTCGTTAGTGGAGATTCCACTGTACTTGTCTTGAACCACAAGCTTTTATTCATGTAAAAAACTCGATACTGACCATTGTTCATGAATTTTGCTGTACATTTATGTCAAGTTTTTAAAGAATTACGGTAGTTGTTTTTACTGTCATTATTTTTTCTTCTCAGAATTGAGATGGCAGATCCTGCAAATGACGACAGATACTCTGAACATGATTCTATCAGTTCTGCTGAATCAAAAAGCATAGATGGTGTGTTTGAAGAATATATTTCTCAGAAACAGCGAGGTATGATGCATTTTAATCTGCTGTTATTGACTTTTTATGTCGAAAAAATATTCATTTCTAGCAGATTTTGTATTTGTTTATTTGTTAGACTAGGGGTGTACAAAATTTTGAATTTCAAAAGGATTGTGAATAAAAGAAGGTTTTTAAAAATGCAATAGCTGAACTTATTGAATGTCCTGTAAAATATGCCATTTCCACTGTTGTGGTTTTCCAAAATAGTCTTGTATCCTATTTGTTTTAAGCTGAATATAATTTTAATACAGAAATCCAGAATCCAAGGCAATTATTAAGTCCGACTTTATCGATGTTGGAATGTTTAGTTTTCAAGCATTTCTAGTTGATTTATTCCTTTGAATTGTAACATGAACATAGGGGGTGTATGACACCCTTGCATAAATAGTTGATGCCAAGTATGGAACAATAAAATATAGCGCACATAATATATGCTGAATAACAAAGAGCCAGAAAAAAGTATTTGTTAATGGATTATTTTACCACAATCAGTGTATGGCTGTTTCAACAATTTCCACGCTTTATGTGACCTGAAAAGTAATCCTATAAATTTCAGTTTTCGATCTACGTTAATTAATAATTTAGAGAATTTAGCACTCAGCCGCCATTAGCTCGGCCCATGACTCTAATGGAATGCGTTATCTTCAGGGGAGTATGTCACTGCTCTTTGTGAAAATTATATGGAGCGTACTCTGCTAATATAAGGAAATTTCATGCATTGCGTTTAAGCTTAGTGAAGCATGAGGTGACTTATGTTTTGATTAGCAGTGTAGTATCAATGATTAATATAAGTATGATATGTATATAACTATTACTGGCCATATATTAAATTGCACTCCAAGATTTATGAAGTTTATACTATAATACAGAGGAGCAGAGGCAGAATTCGGCTTTGACAGAAAGATCTGACAGTCATTACTCATCAAATAGTAGTCTTTCCAGGTGAGTTTTCATAGATCTGTTTTGATTTTATGCTTGATTCAAGTTGTCATTTGTTGTTGTGTATGCTTTTTCCATTCTTTCTGCTTGTTCTTTTTGATTAATATAGTGTTATTACCGCTAGTTCCTAATGCATGAAAGTATAGTTTCTATCAATGTAGTCTATGTCAATATTATACATGAAATTAGTCTATGTCAATCTCCGGGGAAACATACCGGTAAGTCAAATATTCCAATAGATGAGCAATGGCAAGATAAACTTTTTTTAATATCTAACTTGAGGTATTTTTCAAATGGAACTACCATAGTTCTTATTTAGTGGAAATCCTTTTTTTATTTTTCATATTTGTTCTGCCAATATAATGCTTGACTAAAAGATTATGTGAAAAGGATTATTTGAATTCCTGTGTCAGTGGGAACATGAGAAATCATTTATATTACATCTTAGTTTCAGATCTGCACAATCAATGCCTTTTCATAGTTTTGACTTAATTTACAAAATTATTCGTCAGGTAAATTAACTCATATTATGCTCTAGGTTATTTTATCTTATTAATTATCACTTATCAGTGTCTTATCTATTTCCAGTAAACACACGAGATCGCACAAGTCTAACCACAGTGAAAGATATCTAGGAGAAACTGAAGATCAAATATCACAACTTCCAGAACCAAGAGTTTCTACTTTACCAAGAAGATTAAACGAGAAATTACTCCGACAAAATAAACTGAGCGTATCAGTACCTACTGTATATGAACCAACAAAACATAATAGAACGTCACAACCTGGATTGGTAAGTGGAATTAGTCACCTCTTCAGTATTGTGTTTCTTTGTATTGTTGTTTCTAGTATTTAAAATATGTCATCTTAAAATTGGGGGATATGGAAAGATGAATTGTTTTTGATCCAGTCCAAACCTAGAATCAATCAGCATTTCCTGTTTTCTTGAAGCTGCCTTGGTTGGGTGCCTAAACTAAAATGGAGAGAGGTCATTAAAGCACACCCTGTTTTTTATTTACTCATAACGATTATCGTTATATATTTGAATATAAAAGTCTCTCAACTTCTAGGAATTATCTTTTCCTTTGCAACATTGGTAGAATACATGAATGTAGGATTTCGGAATCTGTCGAAAGTCTTATCTATTCCTAGTGGCATATCAGGACATTCGAAACAATTTTAGAACATTTTAAAGAAAATAATGTCGTGTTTCATAAATTTTTCCAAATTCAGGTTGAGACAGCTAAGTCATCGAAGGTATATCATGCAATAACATTGTCATCCATTTCTGTCGATTTACTTTTTCAGTTTTCGCTTGTATAATTTTTTCAACATCACTAATCTACGTTTTTATCTCAGTATTATTTCATTTATAGTTATTAAATTAAAGTCAATGTTTTAGATTTCATATTGATTATGCTTATATCATGAGATTTCATTTTATTACTCTGATATTGGTATTCCTATTTTTACTTTGAACGAAGCTTAATAAAGGTAATCTCAGAGATTTCAGAATGTTTTGGGATCAGAAAATTAAAAATGTTATGTTACCCCATCCTCAAAGTACTCAGGCAGTACTGAGTAAGTACCGAGGCACTAATCACCAGGCAATATTGTTATATATATACCAGACGGAAGACATAATTTTTTACATTGTTGATTCATCATTATGCTATTCCATCAAGATTTTGTTGTATGCGTCCCACTTTTTTGTGAAAAATGCATCATGGATATTTATGATCACTTGAAATTTCAAAACAAATTTGTCAAATTTGCCTGTCATCTATCGAGCTTTCACTGTTCCATATCATATTGCTAATTGCATGAAAGGAAAAAAATCCTGTGCTACTAAATGCGATGAATGTTCATATTTGATATGCTGTGGTTTTTATTCTACCTCATAATAGAATGGCCAATTTCGATGAGCACACCTCTGATTACCCTATGTGGGTTCGCAGTTTCAAATCCCATGCGGTATGGTTATGTGCGAGAGGATTGCTGGACTCCTCGCCCGCCGTAAGGTGGTTCACGTAACCGCTGGTCGGTATGGCTTCCTCCATCATCAAGTCCATGCTTCCGAAAACAAATAACTGGCCAACTAATCCCATACCTGACATGGACTGGTAACCGGACAAGAGGCCGTGGTTCCTCATATGATTAGGCGTCCTATCGGTTTGCCTCTCCCTTTGGATAAATATGTAAATCCTATCCCTATACTATTTTGCAGTAAGACATATTCATTTTTTAAGAAAATTTGCTTTTCTCACTCAGAAGTGAACTCATCTGACTCTGAGTAAAGTTATGGACTACAACTGGAAATTGGTTTTAAATGATATCATTTCGAGTTTGAAATTTTCATAAAAAGGAATTTTTCAATACTGCTTTTTATAAACTAAATGTTATGGACACTCTCATTATGTATATATCATTTAGCATGCACATTAATCATCAGCAATTTTGTTATCACTATTTCATTTAGGTTGATGATAATCACAGTAATACAGATCATGAAAGCATGGATTATTCACTTGCTATGAACAGAGATTTATCAACATCTGTACCAAATCTTACGGTTAGTGAGACAGAATTTTAGTTCTTTCAAATTGTTATCATGTATGGACCCGAACATTATATTTTTTGCTGATTTGCTGTAAAAATTCTTGTTTAAAACATTGTCATAGTCTTGTGTATTTATTTTATGAATTATTTGTTACAAGTTATGTATATGGTGGCATGATTTTTTGTAATATAATTTCCAAATTTGTTGTTATGGTACAGGGCGACCCAAAAAAACAGGCAATTTCTCAATTTTTTTTTCATAAATTTCTCAATTATTGATTTAATATTTGAACATTCGAACTTCTGTTTGTGTATGACTAGGATTGTACTCAGAGGTTTTAGTAATGTAGACGAAAGTAATTTTCTCCCTAGAGTGTTCCAAATTACCTGGGTTCTGTTTTTTTGGTCATCCTGTATATATTTAGCCCTATCTAGTAAGTGTTAACATTAATAGTCATTATATGCCAATGTTTATTCAATTTTCTTTGACTCAGTATAAAAGTTTAATTTCAGGCTTTTCTGGTATTACAAATACTCAAATACAAATTGAAAGAATGTAGCCATAGGATAAGATCACGAATTGGTGGAGGTACACCAGCTACTTCCCTTTTTGCTGTTTGGGAAAATTGATAGTAAAAATTATTGGTTTCCGGTTTTGTTACTTTTTTGTTAAACAACTATTACCATAATGATTTCTGTTATCAATTTTAGAAAAGTACAACAAGCTTGAACAGTGTTGGTCATCATGATTTACCCATCACAGGAGAAATCAAATTTTCTTTAAATTTCAATTATAAGTAAGTACCAAGATTAATGGAGGAGACACTGTGGTAAACTAAACAACTTTGCCTGGCAAACTTCCAAGATTTGTGGTTATTGAATTATGTCATTTTTTCTCGATACAATAGAACATACTCAATGGTACAACATTCAGTACTCCCGAAGTGTGTGGGCCAAGATGGCGGACACCGGAACGTAGTATGTGTACCAGGTTAGGGTTAGGCGACTCCTGTAGTATTTGTACCTGAAATTATGGCCTAACCCTAACCAGGTACATATACTTTGGGAGTACCCATAATTCATCACATGAAAATTAGGGTGTATCCGAATTGTTACCAATTTATATGTGTTGGACGCCTACTTAGCAAATATACTTGACCTTTTTCTATGCAAGTTATTTATAAATGTTTCATTGTATTCTTAGAACAAATATCCTTCTTGTCAACATAGTCGAATGTCGAAATATAGCAATGGCAGACAAACGACGCAAGAGATCTGATCCATATGTCAAGGCTTATCTTTTACCTGATAAAAAGAACAAACAAAAAACAGATGTGAAGAAACGAACAACTGATCCCAAGTACAATAAATGTCTCAAAGTAAATAATTTTGCATGTACTTTTTGTTTGCTTTTTTCATTATCATTTCAGTGGGACTTGAAATTTAATGTTGTGGTTTTGTGGTTTATCACCTTCAGTGTCGTGACTGTATAAGATATAAATTGGAATGCAATGGAAAGATAATTTTGTTAATTTGAGGGAGGTTGAAGGTGAAATGGTAGAATACCGGTATTAAATTTTTTGCACTAAAAATATCATTTGAGTGAAGTTGATTATTGAGTTGCATTCAGTAAAACTTAAGTTCATGGAACATCATGTTGTTCAACGCCTACAAGATCTGAGGTTTTCACCACATTTCCAGTCCAAGAAGTGTAAGAGATAATTGGGAAAATAAATTTTCATTTTAATACTCCAATTAAAATGAGTTTTCCTAGTAAATTACGTCATTTCTGTTACTATATTCACTGTGAAAACACAATTCTTGGACAACTTTTGAAAAACATTGAATCATTCAGAAGTTGACATTATGGCACATCTTGCTCAGTGAAAGGAATACGCTAGCCATCGTACCTCTGACTTTTCTGCGAGGGTTCGCAGGGGTATAATTATGTGCAGAAGGATTGCTGGAATTCTAGCAATTGTAGGGTGGTTCACGTAACAGCTGGTCCGTTACAGCTTCCTCCACATTATTACTTTTCATATACCCAATATGAACTGGTAACCAGACAAGAGAGTGACTATCCGTATAATTAGGCCTCCTTACTGACTTTCTTCACCTCCCGGAATGAATATGAAAATCCCATCTTAGACATGACTTCAGTTCATTTTCGAACAACTCTATCATTCAATATCATTTACTTCGAAAAAATTTGATTAATTATGGTATTACCATATTAATGATACACGATTCCTACTATTATGATAACTCGTATATATTTTTTTCAGTTTTCCGTCAACCACAGCGAGCTGAGTACACGTGTTCTTGAACTATCTGTATGGCACGCTGGTACGTTTACAAGAAATTTATTTCTTGGCCAAGTTCAGCTTCCATTGGATACATGGAACTGGGACAGCACTAATCAAAACTGGTTCCCACTGAGACAAAGGGTAATTAATATAACTAAATTTTCATATATATTTTAAATATGTATATTTATCATCTAAAATCAGATGTTGTTTAGCCTGTATTTTGGAGATCGCTCATTACTTGAATAACTCAGTGGGGGGCTTTAGGATATGCTTAAGAATATATTGCAGCTGTATGGGACCATGAAATGTGAGAAGTATTTCAACCTTCCCCTGTATTTGTTATGATAATATTTCCTGAGATATTATATTATAGCTGATTTTCCAAGAGTTAGGATATGGTACCTGCCTATAGTTTTTTTTATTATCAAAATGCCTGACATCCGATGATCCGAATGATCCGGCATGGGTAAACCATGGCTCCCAGGCCAAATTCAGCCTGTTGATGATTCTTCAATCTGGTTCGCTAAATGTTGCAATCAATTAATGTTTCGACTACTAGTCATCCGAGGCTTATAGCTTCAATGAGTGAATCATGCTGTAGTAATTCCTGGTCCTTAAATATTGTCTGTCAATGCAATTTTGAAAATTTCTCTCATAACCTTTGCCGTATTCTGCTGAACATCATTATTATATTTGAGTAAAATTGAACTAAAACTTAATAAGCTATTGTTCGTAGAAGTTGTGTAACACTATTACTATCCATGATATATAAATTAACAAACTTGCGATCATTTTCAGGAAGCAATTAATGCAGATTTTGTAAGAGATACAATTTATAAAGGAGACCTAATTGTGGGATTGAAGTTTGTGTCACCTGGTTCAATGACTCCTGGAAAACATAAACCTCCATTTGGAGAATTGAATGTCTTAATAAAGCAGGCGAAGAACCTGACTCCTGTACGATCTAATGGCACAGTAGATGCTTATGTAAAAATGTAGGTTTTTTTGTTTCTTTCTATTTGTTAAAATGTCTTTGGAAAAAATTTAAGTTGGAACAATATTTTAAGTTGTCAGGTAACTAGTAACTTTCCTATATTGCAAACTAAACGACAATTTTGCCATACATTAAATGATCTTGTGAGTGAGTGGTAATGATAAATAACATATGCACGGTTCTGTGAGAGCGAGTTATCTGTTATTCTCTACATTAGTAGTGTATGTTTTTAAAACTTGAAGCATTTCCTTCGGAAGTTATTATATTTTCATGTTGTCATTTGTCACACAGACATCCTTCCTTGTTGTTTTTAGAATGCTTCAACCAGATAAACAATTCCGCCAAAAAACTCCAGTGATTCCAAAGAATGCTTCCCCTGAATGGAATTATAACATTCGTATGCAACTTTACCAACCTATGGAAGAAAGCGGTTTACAACTATCTATATGGCATAGAGACAAACTTCAAGGATCAACGTTTCTTGGGGGAAGTCGTCTCAATTTGGGGAAGGCTGTCGGTGAACAAAAATGGTTGGATGCAGAAGGAGTCGAAAGAGAGCTGTGGTTGTCTGCTATCAATTCACCTGACCAATGGGTTGATGGCAAGTTATCTCTTAGGCCAAGCATGTGAAATAAATAACTGTCAACATATTTGTTATATTTAAATTATTAATGATTTTTTATCATGTCTGCTTCAAAACTTCCATCAAATTATTGCTTGTCAAAAATTTCAGCATCACGAACAAATTTTATCTTATCATAGATCCTGAATCCTGATATATTCTTTTCGTTTCCATAAGTCAGTAAGGCCGTACTGTGAGGTAGTTTTGTTTTCAAATTCCATAACCATTTTGAATTGATTGTTCTTAACTTAAGTATGAGTGGCATTTTACAACATTGGAAATCTATAGAAAAACAGAAATTTCAATGATAATTTAGATTTTTTGAAAACGCTTTCATGGTGGGTTACAATTAAATTCTAATCTAAATGACATGATTATTCTAGTTTAAGTAAAACAATTATATCACTTTTTTATACTTCATAATATTAGTCTGCCACTTATAACAGGTTGGTTAAACATGAATTGTATTGTTGATTCTGCTAATCGATTGCATAAGCTAGATTTTTCTTTATTTTTATTAATTTTGTTGGGCAACTCAATTTGACTGGCTTGGTGCGCAAGTATATTTTAAATGTATTTATTGGGCATTCCTTTACCATTGCACCTATGCACTTCATGTACTCAAATCTGTACTATTCTTTCTACTCTGGAAACTGAAAATGCACAGTGTCTAACAATGAATTGGTACTTAAAATAGGGAATAAAAAATATAACTTTTTGGGGCTTTGCAGTTTCCACTTACAAATAACCTGAATTCTTTATTCAAACTTTTTTCTAGCAACTTTCTAAAGCAGTATCTTTATTTCCCATCGATATTGTAAACAGGCTCATTTTTTCTTTGATTTGCTAATTTCTATAGTCGCTTGCACATTTTGCCAATTTCGTAATACTCATTATATTCATTATAGTTTTGCTAACTATTAATTTTATTATAAATAAAAATAGTACATAGATGTCATGTTTCATTAGTTATTTTCTTTGGATAGTATAATGTATTGTACACTGTATATTGTGTAAACTAATGTTTCTAGAACGTGAGGTGTAACACCAATTTTATCAGCTATTTTACGGCTGCTTCAAATAATAGTACTAAGTTTTGCTGTGTTGATTCAGTTTAATGGCTCTATTGTGAGGATTGTGAAAATCAATTTTTTTGCAAAATATGTTATCATTATCCTGCTGCTTGAAATCCCACATATCTTGCTGAAGAGTACTTCCGTAGTGTGTGTACCATGTTCGGGTTAGGTTATAATTTTATTCCGATTTTCCTTGTTTTAGTTCTATTAAGAGTTCGGGGATTGTCTGTGTTAGCCAAGTGAATATACCCCCTGCCCATAGGTTTCCTTCCCTTTACACAACTTGATGTGAAGTAGGGGAACAAAATTAGGTACCTTCATATTGGTACACATACTTCTGAAGTGCCTTTTAAAGTTTACTTGGTTTTGGGTTGTTCATATGGCCATTCTCTGTCTGATTCTCAGTAAAAACTGGTGCGGTTAATATACTGTACTCAGTCTGTCATTTTCTCACAATTTTGCGTAAATTGCGAATCCCCTTATTTACATGGTCATATCAATGCTAGATAATTTTTGCAGTTGATAGTTGATGTTTTCATTGGGTTGTTGCAATAAATTTCGGTTTTAAGTGTTCTCATTTTGTCCATCTTTATTCTTATAGTTGATGCAATTATGTGTTATCTATGATCATCATGTTATTTCAAATCTTTATTGTTACATCTCAATAGCATTTTCGAAATATATCACCCTTGCTTCTATGCATGTGCGTGATCTAGGCGTGTTAGATAATGTTATTAGCATTATGTATTCATGCCATATGTACTCAAATATTCGCAGTATATTTTTCTACCTATCACACAATAGATAATACTTCTTTCTGAAAATTTGTATAATACCACTAACATGTTTCTATAGTAGTTATGTTGCTAAGTATAGCTAAGAAGACGAATAAATCGTAACCTATAACAGTGTTTCTGAATTGCCTTGCTGTTGTATATTTACTATATATATATAGGTTTGTCGTTGGGTTGGGCATGGACCTGAATAAAGAATGACTTTCCATATTCGAAAGCGTGGACGAAAAAAAAACGGAGTCACAGTGAATATAAGTACACGTGTACGGCCGGCATCGAAAGCACAACACGAATAAATACAAATAAAAATTAGGTACAGTGATATAAATACACTGGTACATGCTGTCGAGGAATAAGGTCACATGAATTTAACTCTCTTCCAGCTGTTGACCCAATTTATTTGACATGGTCTTTTTAAAGTTATTTTTTTTGTCAACCACCAAGCCCTAAAGCTTCTCTTATGGATTTTTAAAAGCGTGTGCTAGAGTTCTATTCAGCAATATATCTTTAAAACACACTCCGAAAAAAAAATTTTTTTGCAAAAATATCTCAAAAATTTCTAAAAATAAATATGACTTTGAGAAATTCTGTGTACAGTAGAGGGTTAATAATTAATTCCTAATTAATTAATTTTTTTTTCAACGTTTTCGTCAAGTTTTTCCTAACACAACATCACCGAAACGCCTATTATAGCATAAATGGTTATTACTCTGAAATTCACAATTGTATTTACAGGTGTATCAAGTTCAAGGCTAAAATTACTGATTTTGATGACGTCACAGCTCTTATTATTACTGCACAGACCACCCCCAACGCAAAAAAAATTAAATTTTTTCGACGGAAATGCGCGTAGAACGGCGTAAACAATCCCATACGTGCATTTACGCGTTAAAATTACCATTAATTTTACGTTTTTTTAACTACAAAAAATCTCCATACTTCTGCCAACTATGGAGCAGTCGAAATCATATTTATCAAAACAACACAGCGCCAGGGATAGTATATATGACTGAAAATACATGCTAAACCAGTGTTCTTCAACCTTTTTCATCGAAGTATACCTTTTACAGTTTTTCAAGAACTTTGTATACCTTACAAATACCAATGTTTATTTAAGGCTCAAATATACAATGAATTTTAAGCACATATTGTACTGCAATATCATCATGCAATCTAATAGGCTAGTGACCGCAAGTTATAAATTTGACGGACTGCCTTAGCGTCGACGGGAATAATGTTCGACGTAAAAAAACAAAGTGCATGGCAGCCGAAATCACCAACCCAGACACATGACCGTATTATCTATATATATAATTTGTGATGAAACAACGTGCTCGCGTCGGTTCTTAGCGTTAATAACATTTTATATATCATGTGCGCCGCGTTTGCATTGTTGTCTCTAATTGAATATTTTATAATTTATTACATATATTAGAGTTTTGATTTCCTGATTTAGGCTGTACACCTTTCGTATACCCTTTATTAGTTGTATACCCAACTTATGGTCTGGTATACACTTGGGTATACCGTATACCCGGTTGAAGAGCACTGTGCTAAACCAACAATAAGTCATTACAAAGGAGTATTTCCTGTCTGAGCTGAGTCGACATTTTCAGACGTCTGACAGGCGATTTTGAAATCCACGCTATTTATAGCATTCGCATTTTGCGTCACGGCTGGAAGGTTCTTTCGCTTCTCTCATATCAGGCGATAACGTCAACAAAGAGCTAAGAGCGATATTAACAGTAGTTTACCGAGCACAAAATTAAGCGTAAATATTCTCTCATATGAGCTTAGCCGCTGTAAAAAGATGAAACAGAAAAATTGTGGATTGGATATTGGCCCTTCCATTTGCAGGCACTGGAAACTAGGAAAGATTTTTTTCTACGGAGTTCATTGATTGAGGTAGCGTTAGCACACCACCTTTTTTCTGTTAAGTACCCCCTGAGTCGCGAAATAATCAACACGAACCCCCAGTAATCAAACACTAAACAAAGTTGTAATAATATATTGACTAATAATTTTTAAACTGTTTTAAAGCAGTGGTTCCCAATCACTGGTCCGCGGACCGGCATCGGTACCGGAATCTTTTTTGTCGGTCTGCGAAGTTCGGCACATGTATTTTTTCTGTTCTGCATGCTTTTCCTGCTTAATATGAACATCCAATTAAAAGGTTATGAATATTTCTTTGTTCAAGACAGTCATGGACAGTATAATATTCCCGGGCTTTGCCTTGACATCCAGTAAAACATGGGCCGCAGAGATCTTTCCCAGGTGATGCACAGCATGATTGTTAACCTGGTGCCAAGTTACAGACGACTTTGACATATTTTTTGTAAATTCATTTTGTTTGATGCGTAGATTGAATGCAGAAGGATTAATATGAGATCAGTTAACCACCAAAGAATTTCGATATTTTTTAACAAGAACGAGAGCAATAGCTTTTCTTCTGGACAAAATTTGATCTACTTATTTCAATTTTTGGCCGGCGCATTATTTGTTTTTTTATTCATGTGAAATGTTTTCAAGTGTGCCTTTCTTAGAAAAATAGAAAGTGCCAGACATTGCATTACATTTCGCAAATACCGGTATAATATATGTTATTATTTTCTATTCCACTCATTTCAATTTTTTGCCGGTCCGCGAGTACATTTTATTTAATTTTACCGGTCGTCCAGGAGGGTTGGGAACCACTGTTTTACATGATATTAAACAAAAGTATTCATTTAATTTTTACAGAACTTTTTTTTTTCATAGTAAAGGAGATTAAAAAATAGCAACTCATGAAAACTCAACTGCCATCCAAGTACCCCCTGAAATCTTCGCGAACCCCAGGTTGAGAACCCCTGCGTTAGCAGATACCACATTGTGACGGACACTCTCCGTGCTAGAAATGCCTCGAAGTACATGATAAGCATTATTGTAAGAAATTTTACATATATATATAGCAATAATGCGTCCGAAATATAAGATTTTTCACTACTGTGGATATTTTTTTTATTGTAGTAAGGGCTATAAAGTAGACAGAATGGCATTGGCGTTTCGAATCGAAATAACTTTAAGATCATTGGACAGAATACACAGAGATGTTTAGTAGGCTTAACATGTTCAATTATAGAGCTTGGTGTCAGGCAGTGTATCCATCAATAACATCTTACTCTAAATACACATGCAAACGTATTTTTTCATCTTCAACATGCTGTCACGCTTATTAGAATATATTTCCCAAGTGTAAAACGAGCGCTGAAGGCCTTTCGCAGAAAGGGAAATGCTCATTGATAGAGAATGGATCCGACATACAGTTCCCAAGTCAAGTTTATTTTTTCTAACCAGTAAAATAAATAATACAAGCACAAATTGCAAGAAAATGATAATTTACACAGTTTTTCTGGGGAAGGAAAGAAGCGGGGAACCAAAGCTGGTCATCGAACAGCGACACCCGAGGTTCTAATATCTAATTCAAAAAGTTAGAATTCTGTAGTTTTGAAACTACTGATATTGACGGCGAGTACCGTATGAAATATCTAACAAATAGTTATTGACTGCGATACATGAACAGTATAAGCGATAAAAATTGAATATCCTTATTGATCAATTTACGAAATCAAGACCAATGATCTTCGAATGCAAGTTGGAATCATTATTTGTGCTGAAGCCGCTTGCTCAAATTTATTCATCTCTACTATTATTTGCCCAGTTGCGTCGTGAGATTCATGAAGAGACGACCTTGTGAATTTGCATTGAATTCCCACCAATTTTACCGTTTTGCCTGAGCTATTTCTCAACAATATGTTTGCATCAAATATGATAGTTGCGTATGCATTGTTCAGCCGTACAAAACTTCATAGGCAAATTTATTCTAGTCGTTTTTCATTTGATATTTTCAACTCTTGAGCTTTCCAAAATTTGAACCGTGTACCGGTTGTGTAGCGAGTATATGAAGATAATTACTGTGAATTTGAATGCTCTTAACCACCCAATAGTGCATGAAATTTGCCTGAAACAAGGTCTTTGCCCGGTTGCATTTCCTACATGATAATTTCATACAAGGTTCCATGCTAAAAAGTTGATGACTTATTTCCCACCACCTCACTCAAGTGTTGCTTTCTTGGTTAGTTAGAAATCCGGTTTCATCACATGTACTTGCTTTGGGGTTTTAAGTTTATTTCGTTATCTGCTCATTTTGATTCTGCATCTTTACAACATACGAATATTTGGCATTACAATCTATTGTTTGCTGATTTCATCTCTGAAGTTGTTAGGTTGGAAACACTCCGCTATGTAGGCTACGCTTTAATAGTATATATTAGGGTTCATCTATCCCTTCACCATAATCGGATAGGTATATATTGATTTGAAGACGAAAACGAAAAGGTACATACGTTTAATACAGAAGGGAATGCGGCAGTGCTGAGAAAGTTTGGTCATCACAGGCTTCAAAGCCCTATATACACCTACAATCATACCCTTGACTTTATGAGATAACAATTTCAGGAAAAGATTATCAGCGGGAAGTGTAACGTCGAGTGGGCACCTCATTCAACGGACTTAAAAGTTCCTTAACTGCGAATGTAGCGAAAGTCAGTGAAATCCGGACAAAGATTTTGCGCAATGGATGCTGATAAGCCGAGGAGGTTGTTTGAAACATAATTTCGTCGGAGTAATTAAGAAATTTATGAGTTCTGTTCTTTTGGGCCACGCTGTACTTGGACAGTTTGTTGTTTCGTCCCTTTACCATACTTTGGATGAGTTATTCACAAAGTCATAACGGACTGATGTAGTTCGAATTTGTGTGAGATCATGCGCTTAGAGATGGTAGGACTCCTTCTATTGCAATGTGGTTCATGTGTAATTTGGGTATCATAACAACAAACAAATATTCTGTTTTACCTGACATACGGTTTCTAAAGTTTGCTGTACTTAAATAAATTGATAATAACTATTGCCATATCACGAGACGTTAGGAGCAAGAACTGTCTCATTGATTTTATAATAAAATTGTCTTGAGCTATTTTCGAACGTGACTACGCAATAAAGTATGCAAGCGGAAAGTTCGATCAAGATAGACTGGCTGACTGACGCATCCATCTACGTAGCAGTCGGTAACCAAAAATATTTGCGTAAAACGTCAAATTGTAGCTGTCACGTATACGACTCTTGTTGCTTCGAGTGGCGCATTCATGACGAAGTCATTTGTGTGAATATAATTGTGCAATTTATTGTTTTAAATATAGGTAAGTTGTCACCACCCGTTTCACTTCCGGACCAGTTGTGTCACTTTTGTCATTTACCGAGTTGAACATGCCGTGGAAAATCTCTCCTAAAAAGAGCATAATTAGCATCAATTGGTTACGCATATTTCTCTCCTGCTTACATCTTTTGTAAAATAGGAAACTTTGCCAGATCATTTTTCTTGCTCAAAGATTTTATCGCTTACCCGACCGAACTTCTTTCTGAGAAATAAATTTCTCAAAAGCATAAAGACACATGGATCAATCACATATTATTTTCAATGAGCAAACCCTGTCACACGTTAAGTTGATAGATCGATCCGTGATCTATTTTTTATATAGAGAAAGGGATTTAATTGTATAAAGTTTTATATATAGATAATCAAGTTTTTATATATCTTCTATTTTAGCAGCAGTAATTAATTTTAACAAAGTTCATTGAAAAGGATTAAGTTCAAATAGAAATATTTTAGCATGCGAATTTCATATCTTGAGGAGAAAAGAATCTTATCAAAATTATAAAAAAAAATGATAATTTTTACATATCACGAAATTACAAATGCGTTTAAAATAAATATTGCAGATGCCCCATCCACCAATCCAATATTCACTACCAACGATAGAATTATAATGTGTATGTTCGTTGCTTTCATTGTTGTGTTTTATTCATTACATCAATGTCTTGCGACACTTTCAAGAAATAAATTGTGTGCAAATTCAAAATGTTTGAAACCTGTCCAAACTTTAAGTGACGGGCAGATTCCATGAAATTAATGTAATGCCGGAAGTTCAAAAATATTTCCAATACAAGTTATTGTCTCAGTTGTCTATGCACGCAACATGAACATTAATTATTAACAAAATATTTGAATGATATCAAATATGAAGTATTGCCAAATAATGAAAACACTCATAATTTTACCCAAAATCTCAATGTTACTATCTCATTCAATAGTTATTTTTTAATTGTATAGTTTTTCTCATTCCACAACGTGTATATCGGACAATCATACGACGGAACGTTAGGTCGATATTGATGGAGTCTATCACCTATTGATGCAAAATACAAAATGAATGTTCAAAATAAAAATACTTTGTGTATAATAATTTATTTTAAATATAAATGTATAAATTGTATGAATAATTATAAATATTCTGGATACGGATTTTATTTATTTATCTCGATTTAACTACTTTTTATTCAATTCAGAAAATATCTATGTATGATAAATCGATAATGTCGTATATTTAATCAATGCAGTAACACACTCATTCAGCCCCAACATTGTTTAAAAATTGTCAAGCACAGATTTTTGAACTCGCAAATTAGATAGCCATTTTAGTGAATATTTATTTTTGACTCGCGCTCAACTAAGTCCCATTTGACCCATGCCTAAATAGTTCAGGTCACGACTCACTTGCTGACTTTACATCATTGGAAAATACCTATACGGAAGTCAAGTTCTTCCGATTGTTATTCAACTGTCATGTGGGTTTACAGCCTTTTATTTTTGATGGAAGCCATCATTCAATGTCTCGACTTCCTGAACTGATATCAAAAATACCTCCTGAACATTGCTCGACTATGACGTGATATGTTACTTTGGTATATTAGGTAGCGAGTAAAGTTTAGACTTCTTCTAGACTCTTCGGTTAGACTGATCATGTCACTGACAAATCAAACTGTGATGATTGGTTCGGATGAGAGTGTCAATCATATCAGTCTTGACAATAAGAATGAGGGAATTAAAGTCAAATTTGAAAACAAAAAAAATTGTGTCGAGTAATATATATATAATCTGTGTTGTTCTTTCTTTTTTTAAATGATGGCCACCATCGACTTGGATACTTTATATTAAAGATAGACGAAGAGCAGTATAATCAAGTTGGTGTATGCAGCAATGTTAAAAATTTACTGAAGAAGCATGCATACTATACCGTCTGACCTTAAAATGATTAATTAATAATTGGAAAAGACGATGTCTGCCACAAAGCCAAGTGAAAATGTCTGATGAAAAAATTGACGCACGCTTCAGAAATTGACATAGTTTATTTGAAATAATAGTTCTAATTTCTGTTGTGAATTTACATGCTATTTTTGAATCATATAATGAAAAAAATGCCTTGAAAAATGTATACTATTTAGGGACCTAATTATTCTTGGTACGTTTTTTCCTATTTCCAAAATATTTTCCTCATTCTCTCGAAGAATTTTTAGAGTTTATATTGGTATGGTAAAGAACCTGGTATCGTAACGCAGTCACAGACGGGCGGGAAAACGGACAAGTTGACAAATTTGGCTAAAAGTGATGAATTCTGCCTCTGACATAACAAAGAGTGACAGGGTTTTGTTTAGATAGTCCTATTTCATAAAGTCTATAATTAGAAAACCTCCAGTTCAATTTTATATCAAAAATCAATTCTTACATAATGCAAGTTTCTGCCAAAAAAGTGTAAAATACAGATGTTTCATAATTTTTCCGAGCGTTTGTGTTTCGCATTTCTTCCAAAAAATCTTTTGCCTCAATAATAAATAGAGCATTGTAGCTTGCGTGTCAATGTCAAAGTATGATGACTGGTCATGCAATTTTTATAAACACTCTCAATGTTGCTATAGATACAGTCTCAAATTAAAAGTAAATTGAAGGCGTTCTTTGATGTAACTGTGTACGCACGATGCATTCAAAATGTAATATCTTATCAGGAACAAAATAAAACTCCAGCAGGTCACTTTGAGGCAGTCACGGACCAGTGCAAATGATCTGTTTTCACAAGAAAAACGCTCAAATCAATTTCCCACAAGTATAATAGCGAGGCAGTACTAGTGCATAACAGTGCCGACTGACGAGTGATCGCATTCGTGCACGTATTGCGACAATCAATATTTGTTAGATTATAAGGAAACAATAGAAATGAGTGGCGACTTGCTATCATAATTCAAATGATGAAAAGGCAGCATAACAGTAACAAGTGATATTTAAGGTGCTTTATATGTTTTATATTATAGAGAAATTATTTATAACTTCAATAAAAATTGGCTTAATTTTAATAAAAATATATTAGACAAATATCAAGATGATGGAAGTAGATTTGAATTTGTCCGGGTTAAGTGAGGAGGAATTACTTCACATAAAGAAAGTTTTATCTCGAGACCGACTTCTACAAGAAAATAAACAATTTATTCAGTAAGTTTTGGTAACTTTACCAATACTCTGGCTCTGAAAATAATTCTTATATGGATTTTATTAAAATGAAAATAGGTAAATTGCGGTTTGTTTAAACATCTGAAATATATTTTGGTGTGATTTCATGCCATACGTTGTGTATTTTATTGGTTTGAAATGTACAATTCGACAAAATATGAATGAATTTCCTACATAAACGCTAAAAGAAATTCAGTATTTCGAATATGAAAATAATTTTTTTTTCTGATTAATCCATTGCAGTATAATTAGAATTAAATTAAATCAAAGAGTTTCCAGTAATTCAAAGAATTCGAAAGTCCGATTCCCTCTATGAGATTTAAAGCGCTGTACACAATCACGCAAATAATATTTTTTGTCGATGAATTGCTATATGTGTTTTTCATTACTTAAAATTGTAACAGATAACAGGAAATAATATTGCGTTTAGTATACATGGTTGGTAACTTTTATTTCACGATCGCGCATATTCATGTTCAATTATGTTGAATTCAACTTGTAGGAGTGCACGATTCTCGTGAATGATCAATGCTGTTTATTTCGTGATTTATACAAGCATTCTACAACATTCACCTTAACTGTGAACGTTCAGTTCTCTTTTATTGATATTTTGTCTAATTAATTATTATAGACCATTTGAATACTTTTCTCATTCATGTTTACTTCTCGGTAGTGACGTAACTTGTGAGTCAATCTTTGCTGACGTTTGTTTGTTGTAACGTGTATTATTATACAAACATCAGGCAATCTTCTTTTTCTCTCAAAGAATTATATTTCGACTGTATCAATTAAAATTATTTACTCACAATTTTTCATGTAATGCTGTTTATATTATACAGTCCAACAATCAACAATAATGTACGTCAAGATACCATAAAAGAGTCATCTGTAAATCAAGTTGTAATGGACGAAATTGACCGAGTTAATAGATTATCACCATATTGTAGATCAGACAATGGAAGTATAACACCAGTGTCTCAATCTAAATCAGGTGAAATTAGAACCTTAATTTATTATAAGTACTCTATACATCACAAATCGTTTTTAATTATTTTCAATGTCTATGTTATTAATTGAAGATATGGTGAGCAAGAGTAAAAGTAGCAAGATTTAAAAAGAATTGTTGATTGATCACACCCTCGGAATTAGAATTTTTAAAATGAACAATGAATTACACAGTTGTAATTGGCTAGTGGTCACGACATGTAATAAATATCTGTGCAAGTAAATGACAACTTTTGTTATCTGGTCTAGACTACCGCCTAGAAAATATTTTACTATAGTGAATGTCCAGACGGAAGCGTAAACCCAGATAATACACACTCTTGACTATTGCATAAAATAAATTTTTCAAAATTGATCCGAAGGACCAAAATGACATTTTTCTGGCACGACTGCCACCTGGTTATCATGGCCTTAGCACATAAAGATAACATATTACGCAACGCTTTTTGGCAATTTCTTTTAAAAGCTGGTTTGATGGATTTGTTGGTGATTTTCCTCTCAGTGCTTATTATACAAACCTTTGCGTACTGTTAATGTCACGCTAATTTTTCGATATTTTCATGCGTCAAGTTTTTTAAAAATAAACTTATTCTTGTTCTGATGTCAAACAGATATGTTCCCTAATGAATTTAATAAAATGAAATTATTGGATTAATGTATTCGAACAACCGGCCACCAGTGACTCTATAGATCAAAAGTGACCGTGAAAAAATAAATTATGATTTTGCAGTCAGGCATACGACGAATTAATCAAATTGTTAGTGTAATCATTTATTTATGATGCTGATTTTTGTGAACTTCACAAGAGTCAGAGGATAAATTTTGACAACAGCACAATCCATGTTATATAAAACGGCGTGACACTGATCGTTAAACTATTACTGGTTATCGCGTCTTCCTTCACGTTGAAATGCGTTTTTTCACTCTTCTTTGACTCTTTTTCTTTACTCTGTATGTGCACCTTGAACTTTGGCTCATCGTGCTAAAGGTTATGGATACGCTTGCCACCAGCCCACCACACCTCTGATTACCCTGCGTTGGTTGGTAGGGACGGAATCCGTGGGGGATATTTGTCTCCTCGCTGCCGTAGGGTAGTTCACGTAAGCGCTGATCGGTTACGGCTTCCTCCACCATCACGTCCATGCATCCGAAGAATATAACTGACAAACTAATTCCATACCCTACATGGACTGTTAACCGGGCGAGAGGCCGTGGTACGCCATATGATTAAGCCGTCTAATCGACTTTCCTCTTTCCCAGGATAAATATGTAAATCCTATCCTATCCTAAAATATGTTATATATATTATGATGCCATGAATCACCAAGTACAGCAACACAGGAAATTAATATATATATCAATCAGGTGATCAATTTTGGATCCAAGTTTTGATTCTCCACTCTTTATTGAAGTTTTTCAATTGAGTTTGAAAAAATATCTCCCGAGAAAGGAAGTGAAAATACCTTCTGTTATAATTCTACTGCTTCTGCCATTTTCACGATTATCGTTTATTTTCAGATGTTGAATCATCAGCAGACGAAACATTCTTTTCTTCGTTTGCCGATATAATTTCCCGCGGAATGGGAAAAATGGATATTAGTGGAAATGACAGCAAAAAACATAACACTAGTTTGTCAGCATTAGCCGAAGCGGTTTTTAAAATTAACACTCCCAAACCGGCTTTTACTTACAGCCCACGTGAAAGTGTGAAAAAGAAACCAACGCTTCTCGAACTCGCAGCAACGAAACGTGCTAGCAATCCAGCATCTGTTGAGTTGAATATTATTCCAGAAAATGAAACCTACCAAAGAAGACCTCGTGGTAATGCAATGTTCCAATCATTACCTGCTAGTATTGTAAAAACACTTCCTAGGAATTATAAAACAAACGACATGCCCACTCGGTCGAGGAGTCTTGGTGTTGCAATGCCTTCCCCTAAGCACAAAAGAAAGTTCAGTGGTGACAAAAGCCCTGCCAGAACACCAACGAACAATCGACGAGTAGCCACCCTCGAAAGACGAAAGGTTGCTACTAATGTTTTGGAGAACAAAACGCAATCGTCTCCACAAAAAGAGGTACAAAAAACGGGGACGCCCACGCCCCGACCAGATTTACTACCCGCATTATCCCACATACACCAAGTTATCGTGTCGCCCGCTAGTCCAATGGAAGATACCAGGATACCAGAAACTATATTGGAAAGAGAAGAGTCGATAGCAAATCGTCGAAGCCAAGACAGTGGAATTTATTCTAAGCCTGAATATTTTATGAGGAAAGACGATAATGATAGTCCATTGGAAGACGAAACAGATATTGGTGGAACACTCACATATGATTATGAACCAGATACGGAATCGGTATACGATTTAGACTCGAGAAAATTTAACGCAAATGACTTTGAAGACGTCGGCAGTTTATATTCTTTCTCATCACCATCCGCTGTTCATTCCCCAGTACGACACGGTGGCACCGGATATATACAAGATAGTTGGGACGATTCAGATGCGAGTAGTGGCGTCTATGTTAGCCACAAACTCGGCATACGCAATTCTGGTAGTAAGAACAATCATTTGACCGAACACTCCACAACGAACGCCGAGAAACAGCATTGGACTAAATCGCGTGGGAATAAACACAGTAAAGATCGTCGCACCTTATCTGATGGTAAGAATTATATCCTTAGCCAAAATGTGTATGCATGTGCTTTTGTATATAGAGTTATTCAATGATGCTTCTCGCTATTACTTATACTTTATACACACAGATGTACACAATGGAAAACTGGCTTCCATTTTATATATGTCATAAATTTTATACTTTAAAGGCAATGACATAGTACCGTACCGTGTTTATTCGTGTGATCCGTCGGCTTTTTGAATAAGTTCTATTAAAAATCGATTATTTAAATTCCCCGGAGGCGACATTTTATACTTCATTAGTCAAAAGTATATTTGACAGCAGAATAGACTTGTTCATTGAACAATATCACAGGTCACAGAAGAAATTGATTTTAACAATTATAATTTCGTAATTCTGTACAGCATTTCTCAGCTTTATATTTTGGCCAATTCCCTCCCTTCCACCGTTCATTAACAACCGCTGTTGAATTGAGAAAATGGTTAAGATTGGGTTAACTTACAAAGTGATATTCGCCTCTGTTCATCTGTCGCCACCTATTGACCATGATGATGCCCAAATTGTCCGCAATAAAATTGATTCTCATCCCATGGATTTTATACATTGTATACGGAAAATGATAATAAGGATATCTATTTTAAAATATGCAGAAAACCAGCATGGCATGCTAATCGGTCCCATCTGGTTAATAAAGAGTTTAATATCTTCTGATTTGCAAACAAGATTGGAATAAAATAAAATTCGTTTACGGAATATGTTGCACGCAATGAAGTAGTGGAAATTCATTTTCTAAACATGCTATTTGGATACAGGCCAATTGAAAATGAAATACGATATGTTGCCAATTTATTCCGCTTGATTTTCTCACATTGAAGTTTGAAATACTATAATACGAATATAAAAAATAAAAATTGAAAAGTTATCTGGTAAACTTTGCATTCTGAACTTATTTGATTTTGTTTCATTTTCAGCAAACTCGTTAACGCGTTCACCGGCAAACTCACCGTCGATGTCGCACCGAAGTTATTCTAATTCCGGTGCCTCGTCACCACAGGTAAAATTTTGTGAATATTACAAAAACAGACTAAACCGGGGTATATACGTATAAATGTGCGAGAAAGTCAGATAAACATTATTGTGGTAATAAATTGTTTTTGATCAAACGAAGTTAAACATTTTTTTGGAGAACTCATATGTCATGCCAACATATGAGATGTAGGTAGGCGATGCCAACGAATTTTAATACACTGCACAAACTGCGCAGATAGATAATCAATACTTGTTTACTCTCGTTAATAAATATTCTTGACATTTGCTCACGGTTTATGACATATGAAGACAATTCATTGCGTGATACGGTATTGTTGTGACGTAATCAGATCTCATGCTTCCGGAAATCGAGACCAATTCTAGTTTACATTCATAAAAAACATTTTATTAAGTAGATTAAATGAATTGCTTCAGGAAGAAATTCCGTGCCACGAAAAACAATTTCATGTAGGATGTGTGAATCTACGAAAGTAAAAGTAATTAACAGTTTGATAATTTCCTTTAGATTGAACACTTTGACACGATCGGAAACCTTGAAATTTCTCTGATTTATTATTCTGCCGACAGTTTAGCGAGAAAAAAAGGCGGCAAATCGAAGATACCAGTTCAGGGAACGTAGGTTTTTTTTTATAACTATTTTTGATACATATTGGTCGGTTTTTACTTACGAGGTAAATATGTTTAAATGATCAACTTGATTACCAGCATGTACTGTGGGGATTTCTATAACGCGGTATAAATTAGCTAATTAATGATGAAAATTATGATTTTACAGTATTACAGAAATATCGTCCTGGCAAAATTAAATATATATATATTGTTTTTTCTTTCATTTTTATTACTTAATTGATCATTCTATTGACAGGAAAAGTCCGAACGAGAAAAACTGTCACGTGTTGAGTAGAAGAGAATACGTGGAAGTAACTGACGCTAAGCTGGAACTTAGCAACGAAACAAAAAGTGGTGCTCCCCCTGAAAAAGATGGTGAATTACATCTTGTCGTGAAAGGAGCAAAATTTCAAGACGACAAAGGGTTAGTAAAATATACCAAAAAAGTTTGATTTTGTTAAACCATAACAAAGTGTGTTTGGAAAACATCTGCAGTGAACTATGACGTGGTCACGTAGTAGTTAGTTTCTTATTTTTTATACTTCGTGTTTTGAAGTCAAGCAGTCTCGTGCTAAAAATACAAAATCATTCCCTTATGTTCTAGACATTCTGGAGACCGCGTCCTCATGACGTATAATTGAAATAAACCAGACAGTTGGTGTCAATTAACGATAACGGAGACAAGAGACTCGTCTAAACTAATCTAGTTATTCACTGGAACCAAATTGAAACTAATCTAATTCATTTTCACAGAAAAATAAGGACACCGAATACATACGTCAAATGTTATTTATTGCCTGATAAATTTCATAATTCGAAAATGAAGAGTGGAATCATTAAGAAAAGCAAACAACCAATGTGAGTTTCTAAAGTAGTTCCAATGCAAAGTCATTTCAAGATCATTAAAAAGATTGCACGATTTTTCGAGGCAAATCAATTACGCCTTCTGTAAAATTAATTTCCCTTAACTTGATCAAACATTACTAATTTAATAATTAAATTTTTTTGGCAATTCTTCAATCAAGTATTTACCAAGTATATTCAATGGACATGAAAATTTTTATATTTGTATTTGGGGGAGAGTAAGCCAAGTTTTTGGTGTTGATCTTGCTCGGGTAGAACAGTAGCGATCTATTGATTCGTTCCAAGTGCAAGCACGTATTCGATTGAAGTCGATACAAGCGATGTTTTGCAAAAAATACAAATGATTTCCATCGTCCTACCTCAGTAATGCTTATGTTGGAAATCACTTGGTGCCATCGGTGTGTGCCAGGTTAGGGTACGGCCATAATTCTATTCCGATTTTCCCTATTTTAGTTCTATTATGAGTTCGTGGACTGTCTGTGTTAGTCAAGTGAATATCCCCCCTGCCCATAGGTTTCAGTCTCTTCATACAACTTGATGTAAATTAGTTACCTCCATATTGGTACACATACTTCTGGAGCGCTGTTGGAATACGAATTTTTGAAAGTTTTTTTACTTTTTGCAACATTAAGGTAATATAAATTTAGATCTTATACTTAAATAATTTACAAAAAGATTTTAAATTTTTTAGATGGGATCACAAGTTCATTTTAGCTGGTTTTACGCAATCAGAATTACGAACAAGAAGTTTAGAAATTATTGTTGGTAGCTGGCATTTTAAAAAGCAGGAAGTTCTCGGTGGTGCAATTTTATCAGTTGGACAAGGTAAGATAATATTTGTTTTTAGGAAACGATTTACAAAGTTTACCTACATTACTTATATATATATATATATGAGTAAATATCGAAGACTTTTGCATTCGGTATATTTGATAATGTTTGTACTAAAGCATTCACCCTGTCCATAAATGCAAATATCTGACGGTACTGTGCATAAAGATCTGTACATCCTAATGTTAAATAATACTAAAATAACTGGAAAACACAAAATCGGAAATTATAACCTGGAAAATGAGAGCCATGATTCCAACGTAAACCATATTATTTGAAGTGGGACCAATGGTTCAGGAGCTGGCGCGATAGAATATATATATTCTTGTCTACCGAATCTTATTTTAAACGTTATTCCAAGTTTTAGTCAAAATCGTACAGTGCCATCGTGGTTGTATTTAAAACAAAAATTGCAGTTACTCATTTTTGAATGGCAAAGGAAGACATCACCGACATTCCCGCATTTGGCAGAATTTGATGCAACCTTTTCTTTGTTGACAGGCGGGCCAAATCAACCATGGATCAATTCGTCAAAAACTGAGTCATACGTTTGGACAACCGCATTACAAATATCCGGAAACAAAGTCAAGTCATTGCTGCCATTACGAGCTAATATGAAACCGACTTATTTATAAACTAACCTATCACAAATCTTTATAAGTATCTGCTTCTTTGCAATTTATTCTCAAAAACGGCCTTTAACAGTTTCGTACTAATTCTGATACTGCTGTATGGCAACTATACGACTAATAATAAATGTTGAAGTCTATATCCGCTTGTTTAGTTTCATGTAACGTGTCTTTTCATTTATTTATTTATTTTCTTTATATTTCATAGATACAAGTAATTGCCTTACCCCATTTTGCACATTCATATGCAACCAACGCATATTTTTTAATTCAATTCTGTAAGTTTTTATTATGTACATGTTGATCATGACTTTTTTCAAATTATATAAAATACATTAAATAAAAACTTTCAAACAGCAAATATTTGTGTCGGTGGTAATTTAAAAAAATAACAGCATTATATAATATCGAGACTTTATTGTGGACATAAATACCCTCATCCTCACAGATGACATATATTAGGTTTTTATTTAATTTTTCTTGAGTGAGAAGGGGCAATATATTCGGAAATACATTATCGGGTTTTCAAGAAAATTAAAAAAAATTTCAAGATGAAGATGATCAGTACCATCAATAAAACGGATCTTAGTAAATAGACAACATCAGAATGGAACATACAAAGCCGCGTCATTACGACAATTTTATTATAGCAATTGTGTATGTGTGTATTTGTCGTTGCTAAGGGTGGGAATTACAGGGAAAATACTGTAACCGTAATTCGGGTAAAATTAACTAAAGCTGGGCGTTTGGCGTAATAGGTGATAATTTAAGCTTGTTGGGTCCCAATGGTTCCGAAGCAACTTTGCGTGATCTTATCGCTCGAAATTTATTCAGGGGTCAAGATAGTTTCATGGTCGTTCATTTAAGAAAAAAACGATTCCGGTATTAAATGTCATTCATGTGGTCTTTAGTGTTCGATGTGCAACTTGAGATATCAAAAGAAAAACAGCATTAACTGCGATCAAGAGCGACTAGCTCTAACAGTTCCGCGCGATGTGATACGAGTGTATCATGAGAGAGTGTATTCAGAACGACCGTAAATTGTACTAATTCAAAGCGTTCGTCACTTCACCCCGAAAAAGTCAATATGCTTATACATTCTTTTAAAAAAATGCGCATTTAATGACACTGAATAGACGATCCTGCAATAAAATCGTGAACAATATATTCTGACTGGAAAATTCTGAACTTGTCATTGTCAAGTTTTGATGATCACCAACACTAGTACTGTAGGCCCACCTCAATTATTTTTAGCATTTTCTGGTGCTTGCCAATTTAGTTGGTCATATTCTGTTGCATTAAACGCTACAAGAGATAAATTTGCGATGAAATATTCATTTTTGAGGAAGTTGTACAGAATGAAGGTGATTTGTGCTTGTGATGTCAGTTAACAGTCAAAATAAATCCCAACCGTTAAAACCATCAAAATCGGTTGATCGATTAACTGGTTTACCATTCCCAGCCCAAAATGATGCAGAAAATTGTTTGATTGCTTGTTAAATGAGTAAAAATTACTATCTTCTCAGGTCGATGAACTCCATATCCATGTCAACGAAGTGTCTTGTTCTAATAAAAGTAATTTAAACCATTTCTCCTGAGTCGGCAGTATGATACTTTTAATACAAAATACATTAGGAATTTTGGATTAGATGATATAGTCAAGATACAGCTTCCGTGGACTACGCCATAAATACACATCAATTAATTTAAAACTGCCAACTGGTATGTTAGCGGAAGCCGGAACTTTCGGCCATTTTATTGGAGCGAATTTAATTGATCACGTGTAAATAAATCAATCGCAAATATAGTTCTTCAATTTTAAATTCAAATTTTTAAAATTACCATTGTCTGTGACAAGCGCTGTTTCTTTGCTAAAATACCCGACCATGGCTATGAAATGTCACACATCCTAACATAGACATAACTTCCAAATATAATTAATTTTAATACAAGACCGCCACGATAACTTGGACTCGTTGTTGGCCTTGGTTCACTTTATGTCTGGTACAGTGTCAAAAAATATAGAGGATGATGCAATTGGTTTGTGCACTCCATGTTTTTGGCAATTTTATGCACTCTCAACACAATAGGGTTCAACGCTTCAGTGACGTTTAAATTAGACTTACGACAATAATTGGCAAACGTAAACAGACAATTTTGGGAACACGCGCAAAACTAATCAGCATCCTGAGCGGAGAAATGTGCTGTTCAAGTGTTACCTTCATGTAAGATTGGCTTCGGCGTACATGAATTATCTCTATTTAGGCTGTAGATTTAAGTTTTTGCTATCCTGAGCTTGGATCTATTTAATTTATATTGTCGATTTGTAAATAGGTCTTACGTTGTTAATTTCACTTCCAATAGTCTCAGACAATAAACTCGGTTTGCATGTGATACGTAAACAAAAACAAAACAAACACGGCATGATCCAATTAGTTATCGTTCTTTGAAAATCCCCGAGACATGACTAGTTTGGATAATCTCATCTTATCAGAAAGGTGTCGGGTCAGTCAGGTTACCCAGTGGTGATTATGATAAGGTCAAATCGTGGTCATGTGTAAGAGAGTGTTAGGGTTGTTTCTCAAAAACAATGTAATTCAGATGTTTTGGTAATTCCGGTAGACATGAACGCTTGATTGAAGTTGATTTTTTAGTTTTGTGAATCGATTTATAGTCTATATTTCACAGTTTTCTGTTCAATTCATTTTCACGTTCGCCATGATCCCATGGACCCGGATTTTAATTTTAATCGCTTTGACTCAAGCTGCAATCGTTGTAACAGGAGAGGCATTCAAGGTACAGCGTTCAATTTTTATATTACATTATCGTATACTAAAATGGCAAGCCATTGATTTTGTATTGAACTTTTGATTGGTTTTTACTGGTTAGTTCATATGCGCCCCATAGTCATTTTGAAACTAGAACTTATGGAGTTTGCTCAATTAAACCTCGTGTCTTAAATTGGTTTGGTTTTCTTGAAGCACCTATGTAACGATTCATCTCGTTGTTTACTTAATATATTTTTTCAATTTCTACGAAGGTAAACAAGCTGGTTTTTCGTAATGGTGACACGGAACTGAAAATTAATGACAAAGTTACGACGAAAGATCATATAACTAAATCGGTGAATTATTTGTTGTTCGCACTACTTTACATGGGTGATGTTATCGTTATTCTTCATACTTATTATTATCGTGTCTTGTTTAGTCTATTTTTGTGCTATCAATTACCCACTGATACTGATATGATATTGATTGATTACCCACTCAGTTACAGCGATTCATAATTGATGGGTCGCGAAAAATGGAATATTACCATGGCCACCAAACATTACTGAATGGCACATGAAATGTTAAAATGATTGCGTATATCGAATATATATCACAAATAGAGCTCTCGTGACTTGTTAAAAACAGCAAATTTAGAGGGAAATATTGGGCTCTGCAGGACTCGTGAAAATCTTAGCCCCTAATTTATTTTTCAGTACTAAAAATTTACCATCTGTTGACCAACTAAAAATGAAGTTCATTAGTTGGGGTGAGATTTTTCTACAGCAAGAGCGATTTAGTAAATCTATCAATATGTAAACTACCGTGTCTAGAAACAATTGCAACAGTGCACGAATGTCAAAGCAGTATTCAGAATACGTCGATGACGAATCTGAAAAAAATCAAGGTCTGGTCCACACGACGTTGTAGAAGTTGTCAATTACAATTACAGTTAATTTCAAACCTTCTTTACAGGAACACGCACCAGAGAAATTTGAAGACGGGAATTGTTTACTTTGCGTCCTGTTTGTTAGGCATGGAATGGGTGATCTCAAGAAGCATGGCAATATTACAAAGGTATGTGGTTATATCTTAAATTGTAACACTGGCTGATGGGCAATGGTACAAAAAGGCTCTTCGTCTGCGTTTCGGTCAAAACAGTTTAAACGTTTATAACCTTATCGGGTACTACCCAAGTATGTGAACCAAGATGGCGGACACCGGAACGTAGATGTGTACCAGGTTAGGCTTAGGCCATAATTTTATTCCAATTTTCCTTATTACAGTTCCGTTACGAGTTCGGTGACTAGCCAAGCGACTCCCTTAGTATTTGTACCTGAAATTATGGCCTAACCATAACCTGTTACACATACTACGTTCCGGTGTCCGCCATCTTGCGTTAAATATTGCGAGAATACACCCGATCGGTCTATCAGAACGAGTAGTAGATGAAGTTGGTCGTTTAACAACGTTAAACAATTAAATACAGTTTAATTCAAGAGTTCTAGATGAAATATTTATGAAGTTATTTTTTGATACAGATCATCAAGTTGATCGAGAATGCTTGTATATACTTGCGACTCGAGGCACCAATTGTATGTAAAGGAGGTGTTGATGTTTTCGGACAGCAAGCTGCAATGCTTCTAAGAGAGGTTTTTGAATGTCTAATGTCAGCCGTATAAAGATAATTGAATACATTCTAAACTGTCACTATAAGCACCCAGAATTTGTCTGGAAGCATTATATCTAAAATAGTGTTTTTGCTTTAAAATTGTTAGATAGAATATTTCAATGTGTACTGTGCAGTAGAGTAGCATTTGCGTTCTTGGTCCCCCGTATGTTAGTTTTTAGCAAGTTTATGTCCCGAACAAATCTTTACGTGTTTCGTAGGATTTATGATGAAAGCATTAATTGGCGATTTATACCCTACTTCCATCCTTTCACATCTCCTTTCTGGGAGATGGACGTGCCATATTCTGACTATTGTACATACGGCCTCTGTCTTTTGTATTATATACTAATATTTTACTCATATATTTTCGCTATTTCATGTATGTTGTCCTACTATAACGCAGCGGTTCTAAACTGCTGTTATATATACTTATGAATTGTGGTATATCTTGACTAACAAAGAAAAAGAGCAACGAGGCGGCTAGTGAAGTTTTTTAAATCATACAGTAAAATCAAAGTCCTTATTAATAACACACACACTTTTGACACGACTAATACTTGTTATAAATTCTGACTGTTATCGACGGCGCGGGTGTCATTTATTGTGCATGTTGCACAAATGTCTCGTAGGCCAGTAAGGGCTTGATGCAGATTCTGTTGCATTTTTGTGGCAAATAGAATTGAATGAATGAATTAAACTGGAAAGTAATTTTTGAGGCTTTTCTTATGGCCTTTCTTCATTTTCAGGTGGATCTGTCTCCAGAAGAAGTATGCTTTCTTGCGTTTCCTGACCAATGCTCAGTATCGAGAATCAAGTCATCATCACAAGATTGGAAAATCGATTTACCTCCATATTTGTCACCCAAGGCAGCGTCCACTGAATCCAAGATCCAAGAAGACAACGTACTAAAGGTAGCTTAATATCTCTGTACATATTCACGTTTACTTGGGAAAACCTTGAAACAGCCTAAATTCAGTATTAAGAATTCAGAATTTAAGTTACTCTCACGTGATCTACAAATCCTTTATAATCGGCTCAAGGTTTCGCATTAGACTCGGGACGAAATGAGAATTATTACCATATTTATTCAGAACCGGGATATAGAAGAGTGTTCCAGGAGTATTGATTTAGAAATGCTTTTCAATATGAACGTCATACAGCAACTTTGCGAAGGCATACTATCACAATCTGTGATTTTTACAGTTTATACATTAATCATTTTTAAATCTCACAAGGATCGAATCTAAACTTGAACCCCGCCCTTTCAAACTTGTAAAAAATCACATCCAAGCTTCAACTCTCAAAATCCCTCATTTTAATTTACAATTAGGTATAGACCTACTGCGTTTTTTTTTTATCTTCTGTTGAGCTCATTTTTTTTTGAATATGTTTCTAGGTTCTGCACATCTCTGATGTTCATGTTGATTTGAAATACGTACCTGGCGGAAATGCTGAATGTGGAGAACCGTTATGCTGCCGCGCTAAAAAAAAGCCGAAGCAGGGATTTTTGTCAAAATTCGTTGGTAACTGGACCAGCAAAGCGTATTCCATGGCGTCAAAATTTTCACCAAGTGAACACAAGACAGAACCTGCCGATGGGGCAGGTTATTGGGGTGATTATCGGGGATGTGACCTCCCGTCGTGGACATTTGAAAGTATGTTGGAAACAATCGTAAATGGTTTAGTTGATAACGAGTTCAACATTAATGGATCTACATCAAATACACGACATATCGATTACATCATTTGGACCGGCGATATTGCTTCTCATGACATATGGGACCAAAGCCAATTAAGTCAAAAGTTTTTGCTCAAATATATGACAGCAATGCTACGAACATATTTTCCTAATACAAGAGTGTTTCCAGTAGCAGGAAATCACGACTCGTTTCCTTCTAATAACTATCCCCCATTTGGAAACACCAAAGAAAGTAGATCATCGAGTTGGATATACGAAACTCTTGCTGAAGTGTGGTCTCCGTGGTTGCCAGAACATGCTTTGCGGGTGAGAACCACTTGCGATCTTCAATGTAAACTTCAGGTTTTATGATTTAACATTGGACATTAGACAAAGCCATGTGTCAATTGTTGTTTATTCAGTTTGTGTCATAAGACGGTATAGAAGAATTGGAAACAAGCTGGCATTAGAAATCGGTTGATCAATATTATCTATTCCTTCTAGTGTTGTTTAATGGCTTAATCTTATTGAAAACCATACAATATTTCAGACCGTCAAACTTGGAGCGTACTATACCGTTGTGGTTCAACCCGGTTTTCGTATAGTTTCCCTCAACACGAACTTTTGTTACAGCGAGAACTGGTGGGTGTTTCTAAGCTCGAGCGAACCAGCTGGTACGTTTTATATCTAAAAATAGTTTTTATCATTTGCTTGTAACAGGTAATACGTATGGTTGTTTTACAGGTATGCTGAATTGGTTTGTAGATGTGCTGAGATCAGCCGAAGAGATTGGGGAAAAGGTACACGTAATTGGACATGTGCCACCCGGTCGCTACCCCGACTGTCTGCCTAATTGGAGTGAAATGTATTTCAGGTTACTACATATCATTTTTATTGCAACTCATCTGCGCTCGTTGCTACTAGGTTGTATTACATATATATATTGTGATAGTTGAAAAATATTTTGCAAATCTTCGTTATTTCCTGACAGTTTTTATTGTCTTACCTTCTTTTTCGGCATTTTATTACAGAATTATTGAGCGCTTCCGCAACACGATAACAGGTCAGTATTTCGGACATACACACTTTGACGAAATTCAGTTATTTTATGGGAGTGGTGATGAACCTGAACCCATATCTGTTGCTTATCTTGCTCCCAGCGTGACACCATACGTTGACATGAATCCAGGATTCAGGTAATATAGAATCTAATAATCCTCTATATCGAGTTCAGTAGACTAAATAGTTATATTTGAAGTAATATAAAGCCAGTTTTTTTATTCTGATTTGGAGTGTCCAACATTAACCGGCAATTGTGCACTGCATTGATTTTATCACCGACGTGAGAAATATAAAGAATACTGTCTGTTAACTTTTGGTTCCGATTTCAGAGTGTACGATATTGCTGGGTTTTACCCGAATAGTAGTTGGTCGGTTCTAAATCATCGAACCTATGTGTTAAATTTGACTGAAGCAAACCATTCAACTAAGGAGGCCCCCAAATGGAAGCTGGAATATGACGCTCAAAGTGCGTTTAATTTAGAATCTTTATTGCCACGAGATTGGGGTAAACTTGTACGCAAATGGAAGGGATACTTTGAATCGGAAAGAAAAGGTAATCCAATGGAATATGTATCTAAAGTTTTGATAGGAAAGTTCTGAATTCGATGCCAGATGAAATTTAATATTTTACCTCGATTCGTGAATTCGATCAAATGTTTTTTAACGAAATATTGTTATGACATTAAAAACAAAATGCCACCGTTTTAGGCAACTTCAGCAAGCAATCTTCAGCTTATTTTTGAACTTGATTGCGTTATCGGAATTCGAAAATGGAGTCTTGCAGCCAAGCAACGCCTTGATGCTGCAAAAGAAAACATTAGGAGTACTGCAAATAAATTTTCAAAAATGAATATAGGTCCTATACTTGTTCTAGACATTATTTTATTTAGTGAACAACTGTTTAGTAAGTGACCTTGTGATTATTTATTCTAAGGCTTATCACGTTTAATTTCTGCTTCAGGCACTTCACCAGCGACACTTGAAAAATACGTGAAGTTTTATTCGAAAAGCAGACTTCATGGGTCCACCAACGAGGCGTCGTCGCAAAATTCTAATCTACCATGTGAAAATATGGCTTGTGCAAGAAAAATCGTCTGTGATATTATTAAAAATCGTCTGTGGCAGATATGTTTGATGTAACGTCAAACCCGTCATGTAGATTTTGGCATAATGGTGCAGTCTCTATATTTTCTACGCAATAAATGTCGCATAGATTTACAAACTTTGTAATCGAGTTAACTTTTCATCTAGTTGAAAATTAGCACGCAAAATTTAAGAAAATAAGATTTGAACACCCGATTCACAAACTGAAGCTGGTTATAAAATGTTGACACGTTCCAGTGTAAGACTACACGTTTATTTGCAAGGTCTGAAACGGTTTCCGCACTGTTATTGTTGGTGAGCGTGGCCTTGGGCAGTTTTAAGAAACCAACATTGCGCACTACTGAATATATGAGATTACATTCGGCCCGCTCTGTAGATCTGGTATTATGATTGTGAACACTGCATTGTTCGCCGAAGTTGATATTGAATTCTTTCGGAAGTCAACAAATATATCGATGCATCAATTCATGAATTGTAGTTTATATAGGTCGTCATGTGTGAGGATACCGATTTTGTAATACATTGTATTCATGTAGATACGAGTAGTGCGCTGATAGAGAAATTAACAGCCCTTTTCTGTGAAACTCTATGGAATTCCGTATTGACTTCTGTCCCTGATGGGCAACAACTGCGTATGAGATATACATTATAGAACGAGTGAATAATGTACTGTTTCTAGTCTACCAAGGGATGTACAATGTTCAGGTTTGCTCAGAATTCCTACCTTTCACTTCAGGGAAGGCCAGATTTTTTTCACTGCCGGTACCCAAATAGGGGACTGACTAAAAATAGGTACTTCTTTGGGCACTCCGGAAAAAAGGTAAAATGGGCGTACTAACTTATTATTATCACCAATAAAAGAGCGAAAAATAAAAATATTAATCACACTAATCAGCTTATGTGAATATGCGATAAATGCACTTCAGTTTATTGGTGATATTTAAAAATTTAAATTGCTGCCAGTAGGCACCATCGATTAGGTACTTAATTATGCACTTCGGGTAAAGCCTAAAGGTTAATGGGATTATTAACTTTCACAAAGATAATGAATTAGTTAAAAAATAGTTTAATGAATTAAATTTTGAACATGCGAAGTGCACAAGTAAATCCAATAATGATATTTAAAACGTAGTATAATAAATACCACAATATTAGTAATACTAGTCAATATAGCTAGCTCAAAACGCCAAGGTTCAAAGAGTTAAAGCAATGGTGATACGCCATTGTTTGAAAACAATATATGTCTCAATCAATTGCAATTGTCAATGCGTTCAGGTTACTACTTGATTTAGCCGTTTTTTTATCCTCTTCGGATAATTGAACTTTATTAAATCCTATTTTTATCATTTTTCACAACTTTTCGTAACAAATTAGCAATGTAAATCATTAAGTAGTATTTTACAAGCGTATTTCATTATGTATTTTTAAAATGTGAGATTGTGGACTCTTTACAGTTCCCGTTAATTTTTGGATTTAGAGCTGTTACGAAACTATTCACCTGCGACTGTATATATATCGACATCAAGTTTTACGCAGCCTATTTACAGATTAATTCTCGCTATAAATGTTCAAAATTTATTAATTTTAAATTGATTTTTGACAGCACTGTATGTTTGTTTTGTAAAATAGTATACAGTCTCCCCAATCACGATGCCCTGACTATATCAATTAATCGTGCCCTCGAATATCACTGATATATATGATCCCATTGTGTTCAAGCCAAATTTTTCTTATTCTGCAAACGTTGAATTTCAGTTCTACAAATTAGAATATCTTATTCGATTTAGATGCAAATGACAGTAAACTTTTTTATCTTAAGTCTTCGTGATTTTGGAAGTTATGTTTCACTCCGAAGTAAATCCGACACATAGCGCTTTGACAATTACTTTCAGCAAAACCATCTAGACTGCAATTATAACAATGTCTTGTTTATAATAAGAATCGTTTATCCAAAATGGCAGCCATTTATTTCTTTTTATTCTATTTCGTATTGCGTTTCTTTCAATAGTCAGGCCAATTTCATTGTGTATTTTATCTACATACAAAATTTCATAAAAATAAAACCAAAAAACAAATATTGATTCACGCTCATATTGAATCATGCAGTTTATGAAATGAATCAGAAAGTATGATTATGAGTGCTTCACAGCTCTCAGGTTTCGCCGATATATGGTAGTGAAAATATAATAGAGCGACATCAATACTATACAATAAATGCTTCGTTTTACCAAAGAAAGTACTTTCCAGATAACAAAACTTATTAGATGTTCGTTTGCTATGTGAGTTTGATAAATGCTATGATTAAAATACTAAAGTCGTATATAATAGTTTTATATGCAACGCCCACTTTCCTATTTTCCAAAGTACCTGCAATAGGCCGATACCAATTTAACATTTTTAATTGAACTACTAGAATCAATTGTATATCATCGATATGAATGTAGCCCTATATCGACTTTGTAATCAGCTAAACCGACAATAAATCAATCGACAAAAAACAGCATAAAATATGGCCCCGGATATCTGTTATACCAATATTTATTCATGACCTCTTATTGGCGTTAAATCCCATTTTCTCTAAGGATATCAAGCGCGACACCGTCTGATACTACATTAAACCCCATTTATTGTTTACTCATTGCACTTAAGATGTTCAACATTCAAGTTTTGTAATGCATTTAACTAATTCAGTGTATTTAACTAATTTATTGTGTTTTCAAAAGTTATACACCCACTTTCCCCTTTTTCCGAAATGTCCAATCAGTCGTGCCTGCCGGTACGCAATTATATTCCTGAATAAAACGGCTAGATGCAAGATGCCTTCATCGAGATCTTCCACCGAATTCGACTATTTTTAATAATCATATATATTTACGGTATTACATCCATTTCCCTTTATTGTCGAAGTGCCTAAAAAGTGCATACCGTTAACAATTTATTATTCTCAATTACCTGTACTAGACTCAATTGCATTCATTGGATATTCATCTAGGCTAATCACTGTCCTAATATATTACTTTCTGTCTTTTTATTGGTGATAATTCCATTTTCTTTATTTTTTCGTAGTGCCAGAATATGTCCTAGCATAAGTGGTGATAGAGCGCGTGCGCTTCCTTGTAATACTACGTTTCAAATATTATCATTGTGTTTACTTGTTGCAATTTCCGTTTTCATATTTAATTTGAATACTTCAAACTAATTCATTATCTTTTTGAAAGTTATTACGGCCATTTTACCTTTTTTGCGAAGTGTCTAAATAAGTGAATAAAAAAGTGCCTACCGGTAACAATTTATTATTCACAAATACCACTACTAGACTCAAGTGCATTTATTGGATATTCACCTAGGCTAATCATTTTGACTAATTATTTTATTCTTTTGTCGTTTTTTTTGGTGATAATTCCCATTTTCTTTATTTTTCGAAGTGCCTAAATATGTGCCTAGCATAAGTGGTGATCGAGCGCGTGCACCTCCTTATAATACTTACGTTTAAATTTCATCAATGGGTTTACATGTTGCAATTTGCATGTTCAATATTTAATTGAATATTTTAAACTGATTCATTATCTTTTTTAGAGTTATTACGCCCATTTTATCTTTTTTGTCGAAGTGAATAAAAATGTGCCTATTTTTCAAGTACCTACTTTCAGTCCGCCCCCCGAAGGGAGTTCAGGAAAAGATGTGGCCGTGATCGTTTAAGGGGAAACGAGCGTTACAGACGAAATGCACACACGTATTCGTGCACACTGGTAACGAATAACTTCAACTGACGCGGTTCGTACTTTTGCAGTAAATTTGGTCGTGTGTATAGTGTGGACATATGATATGGATATGGTGGATTATGTAAAGCATGATGTTGTGCAAAGAAACTTAAAATTTGTGGATCTCATTCCCGCTGTGAAACGTTCCCTACAGGAGTATTCATCGCGGGAATCTACGCAACCGTTGCGGGCAGTGGTTTGGATGAACAAGAACAGGTGCTTAAAATTGTCGCAATGCAAAATGTTGCGATAGAAGTCAGTTAAGAGGTTCAATTCATGCCGTGTATGTAGCGCTAAAGTCGATCGTGGCAATTATTAGAATAATTGGTTACAGTAATTTACAGGAGATTGTTCGTTATGCCTTCTTACGCTAAATGGGAAAATACGCTGGCCACAAAGCTTCTCAATATAAATCCTGATTGTGCTGGAAGAGGCTTGCCAGTCCGAAATTCTTATCTGATGTTATTCGATGCAAATGATGGCCAATTAAAATGCGTGAGTCGTAACTTCATGTTGAATTGTATAACCAAGATAGACTACGATAGAATAACAGAAGTCACGCACCATTGAATGAAGGTTTGTTGACGTCATGTGCTATACCACGAGCACCCAAATAAGAGGCGTTTGTGAACTCGTACGGGTTAAAACTTAGCGTTATGCCAGATATATTAGTTATTACTGTATTGGACACGTAGTGGACATAAGGATCGTTTTGTTGTTCTTGCTATTCTTTGAGACGTTTTGAAAAAATCGCTTTTCTCTTCGATTATTGGATCAATTGCTTTGAAATTTTCAGTGGTTAAAGATGGAAGTTTTCTCTAGAAGGCTATTACTTTTATTTTTGCTATGACGTCATCAAAATTATGTGGCGCTACGTGTCCATATTATATTTGAGCATATCTCTCTTGTATTATATTAGGTAAGAGTTAAAGTATAGGCTACCTGGCAAACATTTTTTATTAAATAAATCTAGTGCAACCTCACCTAAATATACCTGCTTGTCTCTTTGTCAATATTCTAATTTTTTCTGTTAAGCACCGAGTTCGTAATAATTAAAATTTTCCCTTTTATTTGAGGTTATGGAGAGTGAGGCTATATCATGGATGCGAACTGCTGCTGCATCTGTTGTAGCGTCGCAGGTAAGGCTCAAGCGAAAACTGTAGTTCGACCAAGTCTAATACACTAATGCGAATGAAGGCCAACAAAAATACAAGAGGTCCTGTGAGTAAAAAAATGAATTTATTTTGTCACTAGGTACTTGTGACGAAAATACCTAAAGTTCTTGGTTTAATTGGAACTGGCAATAGTGCTTTCTCTCACGTTCTTGCATTCAAAGAAGTATATAATTTTGAAAAAGTAAGTATTGTACTTAATTATTCATATTATCTGGCGTGGAATGTCGCCGGATTCATATCATATGATATTCTTCCATAGGTAAATCGAGCTTGCCTGTGAAACAATTATTGAGGACATACCGTACATTCGTTATATCGTAAAGTTGCACAATCGATTTGAATTATTTCATGTAACAGTTTATTATATATATATACTCTTAACAAGTTTATAATTAAACCAAGGCTAATTATGATTTGAAGCCAAGTCACACAAAGAAATCACGTAATGAAACTACGACACCACCCCCATTTTCAGCGTATCGTTTATTCGTTTTCAAGATTGCATTGCCTAACTGAAAATTGAAATCATAGAAATGGTTCGTATTATGACCCTGTTTTGCGCAGCGTATTGAGCACATGGTTAGCGTGACCATCCGTCTTCAACTCGAGATTGCTACCACAATTGTGCATTATCTCCATTACTTGTAAAATTCAGGTAAAGGTATGGAGCAGAAATCCAGAGAATGTTGTTAGATTTTGTGAAAAATTGAAAGATTTTAATGTAACGCCGTGCCGGTGTGCAGAAGAAGCTGTACGGAATGCAGATATCGTTGTCGTTGCGACGTCAAGTTCAACTCCAGTATTAATGGGGAAATGGTTGAAACCAGGATGTCACGTTAATGGTGAGTATTTTCGATCAGTGTACCAAAACCACCAATAATATGTGTGTCGAACCGCGCTATTGAAATTACTCGGCGTGAATATTCATGTTGATTCTATTTTTCTTGAGTTACACGTGTGCTTATCTTCAGCAATTGGTGCTATCAAATCGACTTGGAGAGAACTTGATGACAAATGCATGAACGAAGGCGTAATTTATGTTGACAGCATTGAAGCAGCCCAAAAAGAATCAGGTGACATCATTCTATCAAAAGTGAGTGTTTTCATATAATTGAAAAATGTGCGTTATAACAGAGAAATGCTTCAAAATAAGTTTTTATTTTAGGCAGAAATATGTGCGGAAATAGGCCAATTACTTTTAAAAATGAAGTCACCAAAAACCGGAAGATACACAATCTTCAAATCATGTGGTAAGTGGATATGCGTTTTATAATCATGTCTATGAGCATGTCATCCCCGACGTGATATCGAAATAAACCAATTAGGGGTAGCCATTCGTGTTCCTTCATATTTGTAAGTTATAATTTCAGGGCTGGCGATCGAGGACGCGTATGCCGCAAAGTTGGTATGGGAGAAAATATCTTCCGAATACAATACCTGATATAGGTGATTACAAGTCACAATGAGGGCAGCCATTTAATTCCCTTTTTATAGTGGATTCCGCCAGTTGGGAGTATTGGGAAATGAATTCATTATTTGCATTTCGAATCGAAACGATAGTTTTTTGAAATATATCTAAAAGTGCAATTTTTGGTTAAAAGCCGTTCAAAATTATCTATGTACCGTATAAACATATTTCACTTGTTATGAATAAACAAAATTATAAACATTACTTTGTAATGATTCAATAAACAGTAAAAAGTTCAGTGACTTTTTGGTAATAATACTTCTTGCTCTGTGTCTCAAGCGTGTCGTTTCTCAATTTGGACACCCGCATCGCGCTATTAATTACGGCCGTTACGTCCAATTGACATCGCATATACCCACTCGCTAGAAAATATAGGATGTGTTTGTCGCTAAGTCGATTGTTATTTTTGGAGCTTTTGTGTAGCCTTCACGCCGTCGTCGTAATAGTAGAAGAGGATGCTTTAGTTAGTTAACTCATTGACAATTTACCAATTTTTCTTGCCAACAAAAACCCAAGGTAAGGTTTACGATATACGGTATATATATGAATATTAATAGGGCTCATTGATAACTACCGTAACCAACCCTGTCGTGTTCATAGCCATTTTCATAAAAAATCCCGCTTTGAAATTCTGATGCCGCTATATACACCGAACTCCAAACTTATGTCTCCTGCTAATTGCCTGATTATCTCGCGTCTTCACATTTGGGTTTACATTTTGAGGGCCGGCACTTTATTTAAACAGCTACGACAGGTTAAGCATCCTAAAGCGCAAGATTCTGCCAGATTCAACAAGCTTTCTGCTAAATTCAAGTTAAGTCAATTTACATTTGGGTTTACATTTTGAGGGCCGGCACTTTATTTAAACAGATACGGAAGGTTAAGCATCCCAAAGCGCAAGATTCTGCCCGATTCAACAAGCTTTCTACTAAATTCAAGTTAAGTCATTTTATCTTGTCGTTTCGTACGTTTAATATATTTGTCATTTACGTCGTTTCAACCGGAAATACACAGACAGGACAAAGATTTTACTCGTTTTATCAGAAGTTGAAACACTTTTGAGAAAGCGTTGACTCCACCCCAGAGTGCTATGGGAGCAACCTCGCACCCAAAAACATTGATTACGCCAAGTCGATGTTTACTATCATTACATCAATGGAACTTGTATCGTAAATATTCAAAACATAAATAGAGAATAAATAATTGCGGCGGTGACTTTATCTGGTGCAGGCACAAGTCAAAATAGTCACAGCCCAAAATTCAACTAGGATACCAAATCGTTATCTATTTATAAGAATACAGGCATTTGAGTTGAGTGTGGCCATTACAAAAAATAAATCACATACAATTAATATCTCCCAAGTATTCGAGGAAAATATTCGATTCTGAAATCATAAGGTATTCGAAAATGTACAGCCCCAAGTATGCATTACGGGTATAACAAGTGTATACCTATTTATCTGTTATCTTGAAATAATTTAATTCAATTGGGCGACTTGAACAATGCAGTGACGTTTAGAAACCCTATATATATATATATATATATATATATATATACAGGAAGAGTGTGTTACAATCTACCTCCAATAGGTTTAGAATAGACTATTACGTTAAATAGTGCAACGAATAGAACACGCAGAGTGTAAGGTTTCTTACACTACTTTCAAGGATGATTCTTCGAGACTTTCCTAGGAAAGGGGTCCGCAAATAGTGTTTTAACTTGCCATAAATATAAGCATCGCGTCCGTGTTTAAGTACTACAACTTTATAACTCTCCATGTATAATTATCACGTAGTTGTTTGCATTGTTATTAGTCTTGCATCGCCGTGAAACTATGCCAAAATCTTGCGTTCTGGCAGCTGTCCATATAAAGCAGGGGTGGCCAACACGTCGATCGCCACGTCTCGAGCAGGCGATCGCGTCTTATGTCGAGTGAATTTTATTGAAATACCCCCCAAAATTGCCTCAAAACTGTTGTGTGTTTTACAGCGGGGAAAATACAGTACTTTACATGTGCAAAATACAATATACACATACAGTATTTGAGTCTGGGCGAGCCCGTTAAGGGAAAAAATTATTACGCAACAAATGCAATCGATCCGACAATAACATCCGCAGTATGTGAAGGTTATTGTCTCACACCAAGAGTAGTGTGATACAATTCATTCGCAATGGTAGCACTGACATCAAAATGCCCAATTTGTTCTAATTCTAGGCAAGCGAAGAATCGCGTTTGGAGGAAATTGTAAATTAGATAATGAAGTTTGAGCAGTCATTGAGGAGAATATTTATTTTTCGCTATTCTATAATACATGAACGATTTCTTGAAGAATGTTCAACACTCACGACTAAAAAATAAGCACGCCCTTTATCTTAATTGTATGATTTAAATAAATCTTGAATAAATAATGTAATATTTACTCCGGGTACAATTAAATAATTAAATCAACAACTTAAATGAAACATAGCAAATACAAATTGTGTGTCGAGTTTATTAATAATGTGCCCATAAAGACTTCTTAATGGAAGCGGTGTTATTTTTTGTATGCGTGTGCGCGGCCGTAAGCAGGTTGGCCACTCCTGATATAAAGCACGGTACCGGACAGATAATTTCAAACGTGTAGAAAAAATTCTTGCTTCAACTTTTACTTTCATCGCGTAACTTTATCGCCAAGTTAGTACCTGCAACAAAGTAATAAGATTTCAATAGAAATGTTTATCAGGGAGATGCTTTAAGTAGAAAGGCAAGAAAAATCATGAAGCATAGATCGGGAGCCTAATACAATACAAAAGCCGTTGGATCAGGGGCCGGATCTCCGCTTAAACAAGTGCGTTAATGCAATAATGGAGAATATACTTAAATCAGCACCAACATAATTATGTATGTTCTCCGTCAGGGCCAGATTTAGACGACGATTTGGAATGAACAATAGGTAAAAAGTGATTGCCAAGGCTCTCGAGGCTCGACGGGCGGGTTTTCAAGGCCCTGGGCTTTAGCCTAACTTTTCTAAGGGTATATCAGGCCCGGATCCGAATCCTGTGAGTGACGTGGCAATGTGCAAGGGGATTGCTGGACTCATCGTCGTCGCAGGGTGGTCCACGTAATGGATTGTCGGTTGGGTCTTCCTCCACCACGTTTGCGGGCCTATTGCACTACAGCTTGAAAAGGGGTGTATGGGTAAGTCATCGATATTTATGGCGTTTCGAAGGGTTTATTGCGAATACGAAGCAATTGTCTACTTTATACATCCATTTTTCTTGTTTTCAATTATATTCTCACCAAATGTTTGGGTCGCGAGAAATTAGAATATTTTTTTAGGATCGCGTCAACGTGTACCTAGAAGACCAATATAGCCAAATACTCGAATACGAATAAACAGTCGCATAGCGCACATTAGGAAAGCGCTGAGATAAATAAAAGGACAAAATTTGGGCCGCAAACAATTTGCATTACCATAAGATTCGGTCATCGAACCCGCGATGAGAAATAGGTTCTTTGAACATTGAATCTAAGTCACATATTACATTTTTATCGCAAAAATAAATACTATGGGCGTGGGTAATATATTATATCAACATCTCGGATAATGATAAGGTTAATGTTGCTGCGAGCCTTATATTTCTAGGCTGCTATTGTATAGTTTTATAGGCTTTCCACATGTAGTTCTTGTATCGATCGGGACTGAGGCTATTTCTAGTCCCCGATTATTATGAAATTTATGTTTGAGAGCTCAGATTCGCATGAATGAATATGAAGAACGGAGAAGCGTTGACATTACTACTGAAAATCTTCATCAATCTAAAGAAGTTCATGAGGGAAAGATTTTCACAACATGAGAACTGTTTTCCGCTCGGCGATCACCCGCACTACCATCCAGATCCAATTTCATTAGTTTTCTTTAGGCGTTGAATTTAGTTTGCTTGTTTTCAAAATCGCACTCTTAAAATTGTATCATTTCCATTCTTGAAAGACAAAGCTATTTGAACCTCGACACTTCGAGGCGATTCTCGAATTTAATGGTATGCGGGGATGGAATGTACTGCAAAATGTTGTTGCGAACTTTCCTCACGCTGGACAATCGTTTTTGCCATAAATGTGCTTTCTGCCACAAAATCTACACTCACGATTATTGAGTTATTTCTTTTCAGCACTCATAGCTCCAGAATTCCATCGTAGATTCTTATTTTGATTTCATTAAGTTGAGTTAACATTTTCCATCGTTGGCTTCATCGTTTCAACGAATCATGGGAGATTCATAACGACATTATTCATTACACTTTAGGTATAAGTTTATTTCGACTCTATAGTCAGCATAACAGGCAATAAAAGAATCGATAAAAACAAATAAATAAAACACTGATCATGAAATTAGGAGAGCAAACAAAACCTTAGATAGGATTTAAAACGTACATATTACAGGATGGAAGGTTTTTCCAGGAAGAAAGAAGTGCACTCACCTAAAATTATTAAATTAATTGGCACACGCACCCACACAACCACAGAAAAATTATATAAAGTAAGAAAACGCGATAAACTTAAGATAAATTACATAGTAGACAAAATAATAAATAAATGAAAACTACCTGTCACGCCAAAATAATAATTTTATAATAGTTGACACTGCAAAATCGATCAACTTTCTAAACGAGGTTGGCAGTCAAATGCCGAATTGCCCCACCAAAGTTGCGTGCATTGGATGCATGAAGTGGTGGGCTAGACGGCTATGCCACTTCATTCCCCAAATTAGAGCCAGTTATTGGCAAATTATAGTCTAGATTGTAATAAGTTTTTAAAGTTACCTGTAGCTGTATAAGTTGGTATACTTTTAAATTAAAGTCGGACAATAGGGTATATGAAAATATATTGGTTATAAAGAGTGCAAGTAAGGTTTTTTTCGTTCTTAGATATTGACTTCAGACAAGGATTCAGAAATTAAGATTGGTATTTTACAAGATCACTTCGAAATTAATATGGTAGATTCATCAGAGTCATTGTTTAATTTTTTTTCATCATTTATTCACTGTGAAGCAACCTGAAAAACGAAAAATAAATCTGCGAGGAAATGTAGACAAAGTTTAATTGCGTTGGGGAGGTATTGTCATTATATAGTGATGGTTAGACGATTCATATGGAAATTCACAAAAAGAAATTATCACACCATGCACAAACACCCAAATTCGATTATATCACACTAAGTATGCATTGGCTATCAAGCCAACTCCACACCAATATCCTACCTGAACATAAAAGGATCCATAGGTAGGATCCATTACGGCTCCACTGCTCGCATAGTTGCAATAATCAGTAATCTTGCAGAAACTATATTATACTATCTGCAACCCTTATGCTATCACTCAGACAGAAAGCCAAAACCATGCATGTGTAATAAGAAAAACCGGTACTCCTGAAGTATGGGCACCAAGATGTCGCATAACCTAAACCCTAACCTGGTACACAACCAGAGTTCAGGTTGTGCGCCATCTTGGTGCGCATATTTCAGGAGGTCCGAAAAACCCCACATCAGAAAAGAGTAAGAAACGTGCGTATAAAGAGGTTAAAATGTGAATAGCTATTAGAAGCAAAATACCATTAAGGTATGTTAGCTACCGTGTGATAAACAAACGGTTCCATTATCTTTGAACCCACGTACATTTGCACCGAGGACAATTGCACCTGCATACTTTTGTACCTACGGACATTTGAACCAATGAACAATTGCACTCATACATTTGCACCCGCATATATGTGCACCTACATACAGATTGCACCCATAAACATTTGCACCCACGGATATTTGCATCTATGGACTGTTGGGTGCAAATGTACGTGGGTGCAAATGGCCACGGGTGCAAATGTCCGCGAGTGCAAATGTTCATGGGTGCAAATGTACATGGGTGCAAATGTTCGTGGGTGCAAATGTTCATGGGTGCAAATGTACGTGGTTGCATATGTACATGGGTGCAAACGTCAATGGGTGGAAATATTTGTATGTGCAAATGTACACGAGTTCAAATGTCCGCGGGTGCAAATGTACATGGGTTCAAATGTCCGCGGGTTTAATCTATATGCGGGTGCTAAAATCTATGGGTTTAAATGTACATGGGTTCAAATGCGCTGTTACCAAACAAACATAGGCATGTCCCAATCCCAGTGATTTTGTACCAGACTTGGTCAAGAAAATGCATGCAAAATTCCCCTGATAAATTATTATAGTCAATGAACTGTTCGAAACGCCTCTGACCATTACGTACTGGTCGATGACTTGTCCGTACACGCCCTCTCAAGCTGTAGCAAACGCTCAAGTCTAACCACACCACCAAGTGTTGGAGTTGCGACCTGCCAGTTTCACAAAGGCAGTTTATTTTTCGGTTTTTAGTAGGCTTTCTCGTGTCGAACGTCGTATATTTGCAGAAGATAGCACTGTCTGGAGTTCGTGTATTACCAGTTATCCATACGGATTTCGGATTGAATTTGAAGATGATATTCCGGAACTGGCCAAGCTGGCCCTGGCCCGCCTTGTCTTATCATGCTCACCACACGTGGAAAGCTGTGAAGGATGTGGTCAGCAGCAGCTGCTATTGTAACAATGCAAGGGAATAGAATGAGAAAAGAGTAGTTTGAGATGATATCAATTGTCAAACATCACTGCCATTTGAAATCATTACAAAAGTTAGTTGACATTGTGAAACGCGACGATTTTGAGGAATTCAATATTGTGAATTTTGAAAGTGAAGCCGAGAATGAACATGTGAAAGAAAACGGGGATGGTGTCCTTGGTAGAGCGAGTGAGATGATGGGAAGTTGGGAGATATTGTGAACGCAGATTTCATGATCTAGTGGGAATATGTGGATAATGACATGGAAACCAATATATTAAGACTTGTGGAGCACATCGCCCGAGTTTAGAACCTATGATGATCTTCTTTCTTATTTGATATGCTGAAATTTGGATCCAAAAAACATAGGTGAAAATTAGGGCCGCTTAATCACATGGCTCCACGTTTAATTAAAAACCCGACATGAGTATGGAATTTGGCTGAATTATTTGCAGTGATCCGTATGCTTGGAAGTGGATGACACGAAAGCCGACAAGTGTCCTGATGACGAGTGGTCCAGCAATCTGCTCGCACATTGCCACATCGATCAATGGGATTTGATTCTACGTTAGGCACCTAGTGTAAGTTGCCGCCCGGCCAAGTTTATACTCGGGTATTGTACTACCACTCTGGTTTCACGTGACGAAAATTTCCCAGGTCTACTTGTGTTGGAGTTGCAATTAGCATGCTCGTGGACTATGTTTCGTGAGTCTCTTACTTTGTTTACTCAAGCTTTTCTCTGGTAATTTGAATGAACGTGTTGAAAAAATTCCATGACTTTGATACTAACATTTGGAGGGGCAGACTTAGGATTTTTTTTCACATTTTGGAAAGTTTTGTTCCGACAGTTTACGCAGATGCTGAAACGCAACATTTTGCCAAAGTTTCATAGTGGTGCGGGAGGTATTCCAAAAACAATTCTTAAGAAAAATCCTTGTCTAACTTGTAGGCAATTTCATAGTAGGCCTATGCCCGATTACGTCACAGCGTTGACGATCTTTAATGGTGGTACAGAGTACGGACATCTTAATTGGTCACAAACGTAGTAACCATTACATCGTTCCTGAAATTCCGAAATGCAAACACATAAGAACAAACTCATAACAATCTCATAGCTGAAGATTTGTGGCCAGTCCGCAAAAAAAAAGTTTAGTTTGAAACCGTTCATCAATTTCAAAAGAATTCCCATCCCTCTGATAACACGTATAAGTTCTGGAATGAACGAATCGATTAGGACTAGGTTGATTTGTGATAACAACATTGTTGTCAGAAGCTGCACATATCGAAGTTACTATAGTAGTTCATTTATTGTTAGATTGAATTACGGTCGGGCTAATTACAAATTTTTTAACACTGAATGGTATACCCTTTCGGCAATATATTGTGACCGAACCGATTGATTAGGTCACCGAAAAAAAAGACGGATCACTTTGTGACCCGCGAGTCAGTGGTTCGCCATCTCTGTATTATATTCTTGATAGTATTAACCGGCTTTTAATTTCTAACGCGCTTTTAACGCCTTTCACTTCAAACAATGCCATATACAAGCGGAAATTTGGGCGTAGTGAGTATGCAAAATGAAATGTCAACCACATTTTTTTATAGCTTGTGAGCACATCACTCACACCTTTTAGGCGATACTCGTTGATTATTCTTTCCGTTCAACTAATTGTAGCAACTCAAAAGTGTACTCAACCATTGACTAACTCAGTGGTTCCCCAAACTTTTATTTTGCGACCCCAATTTTCATAAAATCAAAGCCTACTAAGTACTAACTAAAATAAAGGTACTAACGACCTCACAACTATAGAATCGTTCAATCGTTCGTTCGGCGAAACATAGACGGGGACTTGATAAAATGCTTTAGATTGTATAGAAGCGTACGAAATAGTGAGATTGCTTCTAGATATACATAAATTTCAAATCCCATTTAGCATATTACAGCAATGTCTTTATTACTTTTAGTTCAATGTTAGCATATAATAGATTGCTCCATTATTAATTCGAATGTAAAACAGAGCATGAAAATAAAATAGAAAAAACGTGTATTGAATCACATATTTTAAGTCCCTTTTAATATGCTAGAATTTGTTGTGATTTTGTGTTGAATGCTCGAAACGCTTCGAAATTATGTATGAAAAGTCTAAATACGTAATATTGCAATACAAAAATGTTCATTATTATGTAGAGGCGAGGTGACAAAAGACGTCAAACACCTAGTTAAAGCCCATAAATAATGCAACTTTTTCGATAAATAATGCAACTTTGCTTTGTATATTCAATAACCAAGCGGCTACACTAGCACAAAATAACAAATCAACATATTTTTTTTAGTTTGTAAATCTTTTAGGACTCTGCTCAGCCTTAAAATATTCCTACTCAGGAAAACAAACATTTGCTCAGTGTAATATTTACTTAGAGGGAACACTGCCTCGTCGTGAAACTGTCACTCAATTACATTTACTAACACCGATACTTGCCGACCAGCTGGAAAGGATATATACCACATGGCAGTTTTATTGAGCAATTTTGGCGCCGTTTAGATATATAAATGGTCGAATCATTGCTGAAAAAATCCGAAATTAGGCACTTTTACGATACCTGCCAACCAAAACAAATTTCACTTTTCAAATCTTAGTCACTTGTGTGCGCATGTTTGACAGAAATTAGGCGACCCCGGAAAATCTTCACGCGGCCCCGTATGTGGTCGCGACCCACAGTTTGGGAACCATTGGTCTAACTGACGTACCTCGATGCAACATTTGTTATAGGGATAGTAGTTGATAATCCACCACAGTAAAGGTAAGAAAAGATTTGACGTTTTTATAAACACTTGCCATTTTTTGGGCGTGGTTGGTTTCTTCTATTTAAGCACGTGATTCATATATATAATTAATATTCATTTATCAAGTGGAACCCAATCTGCGGCCAATGAGCGGCCAAAGGACTAAAATCTTTTAAAATAATTGTTAATAATTGACGAAAATTATAACCAGTCAGAAATTAAAAGATTTCGAAAAAGAACTGACTGTTTGTTAGTCATCCCTAATTCCTGCCAACTTAATTCATAATCTATTGTTCTCTTCGCCTTTTCCTTTCTATGTGAAAATCAGAACAGAAATCGAGATAATTATCAGTTAATCTGATCTTTTATTTTCAAAAAAATGAAATTTTAATTTGATCCGCAGGTATAATGATGATATAAAAAGTGTTCCGTTGACGAAAAATCACTGCTATATAACATTCGAATTCGGAAAGCCTAAGAACTTTTATATTTAGAAGAAATCGCAATCCACCCAAAAGCTATTTGGGATCAAATTTGAATTAAGAATACTATGTATTCATTATGGGTACTCCACTCCCGTAGTGTGTGTACCAGGCTAGGGTTAGGACATGATTTTATTCCGATGTTTCTTATTTTAGTTTTATTACGAGTTCGGGGACTGTCTGTGTTAGCCAAGTGAATATCCCCCTGTCCATAGTATTCAGTCCCTTTACGCAACTTGATTTAAAGTAGGCGAACAAAATTAGTTGTACACGCATATTGATACACACACTTCTGGAGCGCCCCTTTATGAGTTATATACATATAACCTAATTAGATGACAATGTTTTTTGTAAATATTACGTTAATATTTTATATACACATATTTGATGCTGATAATATTACACCAAGTTGGAGCAAAAGTTATTCAATAGCTGTAAATTTCAACTAAGATGATCATGATAATTTGCATCAAAATGGAACCTCCTCCGGAAGACTTTCAAATATAGATATTAACATTGGCGTTGGAACATGAGATCCTACATTTGAAGCAGTTGACCATCTTGTGCTTTCCTGCAAAATTATTTCTCTGTATGCTCACTTTGTACTTAATTTAGTTGGAAATATATAATATTTCATTTATTACTTGGACAAAGTTATTTCACGGTTTCAAATTCACATGTTAGTATATTTTACGTAAACAATGGCTAATCAATAAAAAGATGATGATTACATCGCAATTATTTTACGCCAGATTGTTTCAGGCGCACGTGAAAGTCTTTCTGTATTTCACATGCGTACAGTTTGTGTGTTTCAAGACATGTTTCTTAAATAAAAATTACGTTTGCAAATATTTCATTTCATGTTAAATAGAAAAAAACGATATTATATATTGATTTTCTTGCTTTAATTGCAAATACATTTGCACCTTAATTGCACAGTTTGTAAAGCTGTCTACGTTAAAGTTATAGAAAGGAATGAGAAAATAAATATTAGTGTTTGATAAAACACGTGGTTAACATTCATGGAATTGTTTTATTTGAATAATATTATTATGTTTTTTACTTACTTTGATAAAAATATCGTACGCTGGTATCTTTTAGAGTTAGACGATCTCTACAATCAATCTCATATCTTCTTGATGATTTGTATCGAACGCAATACGGCCTACAACGTTTTGAAATTCTGGATTGCGGTCCTGTCTGTTGAAGACTTGCAACCTTTCTCGGGAACCACGAGAAAGTCGTGACATCGAATCTAGTGCGGATTCTGCTAAGTGACTGCTTCCAATACTTTCGTCCACGTTTGGCAGATATTGCTGTTGAAATTAGGAATTTCCAGGTGAATCGTTAGAAATATGTTGATAGTATGTGTGACTTAGCATTGAAGTGAATGAACTTCCACACAACGTTTTGTTTCATTTTACGGTCATCATTTTTCTTTAAGCGAGATATCTTTGTAAATAGAAGGTGATTGTTAACAGTGGCGGCATCTTACAAACTACATTACTTTTTGCGATAAAAATTTAATAACAAAATATGGGCGCGGTGGCCTAGCGGTTAACGAGTTCGACTTAATGGTGGTGGCATCGCAGCTTCAAATCTCGGGTTAAAATCCCATACATACCAGCTGTGATGCTTGAATGCGTATAAATTAAGTTCCTTAGAATGCAAGTGAGATGCATTGAATTAATTGAACGATTTACAAGAAAAAAGCCTCGGGAGACAGCGAAATCCGAAGTCGTATTACATTTGACTATACTACACCTCATTTGTCAAATCTTTTTTCCATTCGTCGTCTTCTTGTTCGAGAATTTTTTCAACAAGTTCTTCCGCTGAATATGGACAGTTTTCCTGGAGGTAAAATTACATGCTTTAATTTGTCTTTATAAGATGATCCATAAAAAAATAAAAACTTACAGTGACTGTTTCCTTTTCCATCTGATATTGTGCGTGTTAGAATTGTTTTGAATAACAATGAATTCTTATGATTAGAGAAACAAGACAGTTATCTTTTTGTATTGCATTGTGAGGTGCGTCATCTTAATCACTAATCATAATATTGCCAGTTCGGCCAACGACCCTGTCAACTGTATGTACGGAAATGTTAATAATTTAATATGCTTTGTAAATTTTTTTCCTAGTTTTAAAACTGTGTTTATTCATAAATTACATTTATTAGTTGCTCACAATGTCAAGTTCACATTGTTGAATTTGTCGGCGCTGCAACTCTCTTTTTGTTTCTTCCATTAAAGATATATTGCTGAATAGAACTCTAGCACACGCTTTTAAAAATCCATAAGAGAAGCTTTAGGGCTTAGTGGTTGACAAAAAAAAATAACTTTAAAAAGACCATGTCAAATAAATTGGGTCAACAGCTGTAAGAGAGTTAAAATGGATTTCAATTTTAGCTCACAGTCACATTCTTCCCTTTCAACATTCCTGTTACGTTCTCTGTAGTTGTACCTATGATATCGTGCCGGATTCACGTGATAACGTTCTTCTTGATTGTGTGAATAACGTCTGTGTTCTATTTCATCCCGTTCATCTCGACCTTTCATCCGGTAGAATTGGGGTGGTCTGTATCCGAATACTTCTGTCGATACGGTATCAGATAATTTAATACAAACAAATATACATTCGGGAATTGTTGATATATTGCACAGTAGGCTTGCACGTAATTGACAAAAATCAATTCCGTAATTACGGCAAAATCAATTACGTAATGACCCCGTAATTGCGATATTTTTTCACGCATTTAAACCTATATAACAACCAATTGAATCCACTTCTTTTCCGAATGGGACATTGAAGTTGGGTTTTCATATTCTTGGCAGTACTACACACCGTCGGCAGACGTTAAAGACAAATATCAAGGAGTGAATTCAAATTAATTTTATTCTGATTTTTATCTTTTGTGTTAGCTTTGGTTTTCCTTTATCACCTTCGCAAATTAACCGTCCCATTTTTATGCGATCAATTTTATTTTATCATTACCGACACTGGTATACGGATATTTATGGAAACGATAGTTTTTTAAAACAACTTTAGTGCTGAATAAAAATTTTACTAAGGACGAGCGTATTCTCTCGTTTGATTATACTTGCGATTTCCTCGCGACGAAGACTTGTTTTTGCAGCGTCTTCTGCATTATCCGACATAACTGCCTTGTTAGCATTTTATAATAATAATTATTGATGTCGACTTATTGACGATATTCCGATTACCATGCTTCATTTTACATTTAATTATTTCGCGGACTGAATGTTTATAACATTATTTGCGATAAATTTAGATCAAATATTATTTATTTGAGTATAATTTAAATATGGAACTTATATGATATGCCTTCTCCGAAAACACAAAGTTATATCGCAAAACAATGCATTTTGTGACATTTATTTTACACTCACGACATTTATTTGCTAACTCAAGTCGACGATCCTATCGGCCAAGATTGACACAAGTTTGGTCGAGTGCCGGTGGTATTCATGTCGACGATAAATCAAAATAAGTTGCCGCATTTGGTAAGACAGTTAATCATTTCATATATGGCCGAAATTGTGAAAAACATCATGAGCAAGGCCAAGTCCGGACTGATATATAACGATAAAACCGTTAACAGAACATCAAGATTATGTAATAGAAAATGGATCTCGCACAATCGCTTTACCGATGCCGAGAAGACGAAGTTGCGTTGGTTCATTACGCAATCTCTCTTTTGTCGTCATATTGCTATTTGATAAGCGCGACATTAATTATCACGGCGAGGTATTGGCGCGAGTGATCAATCGCTCTTTTCGCTTATTTGGTTCCAATTCGTCGCGAAAGCTCTTCGTTAAATTTCACAAGATCGTTGTGTTGAAAGGTTATGGATATTTTCCTGTTTATACCCCAAGTCTAAAATAAAACAGCCTAAAACAGTATGATATTCCATGTTCATATATCAAGTGTTGATATAAACAATAAAGAATGGTTAAGCATTGCTAATCCACACTTGGTGGGGAATTCCCACTATTTAAACGCGTGACTATAAAATAGAATAAAATAGAAACGGAACATATATATTATATACCATAAGTAACGGAAAACTGGAACAAGTAAATCATAAATAAAAGTAAAATGGATACAAATGTTTAATAGACCATGTTTGAAAGATTGATCTCCTGCGTTCATTAGTCATTTCACCCGAAGAAGTTGAAACCGGGCGTGTTAGCGTCCATCGGTCTTAACACAATTCTTCCCCCTATCTACGGTTATTATGTACATTGGCCACGGCCATGCTAGATAAGGAGCGAGAGAAGTTGAAACCAGGTGTGTTGTCGCCAATCGGTCTCAACGCAATTCTATCCCTCATCTACGGTTAAGTTACGGGAGAAGTTAAAACCAGATGTGTTGGCGTCAAACGGCCCTACTCAGTTCTTCCCCCTTAACTACGTTAATAATTTACATTGGCCATGCCAGAGAAGTTGATAATAGGTTAGTAAATGGCAACGCGTCATGCCTTCCTTCACCTACGTAACAAGAGAAAGAAAAGAGAGAAAAAACGGCTGCGAATACCGGAACTCTCTTCTACTTGTTGAGCTTTCATTTTTCGCAATCGACGAAATTGACTGCTTTGAAGAAAGCTCGTTTCAATGCAATAATTACGACTTTACGTAATTCGTAACTTCCCTTCCGTAACTCCAAATAATTACGTAATTCCGTAAATCCGTAAATTACGTGCAAGCCTATTGCACAGAGCTGCATTTTCTGCATTTTTTCATGGCAATATAACTAAAATTTAAGTCTTGCAAGTTCCGGACGAACTGGTGAAAGTTCATAAAGTGAAAACTCGCAAAATATTCAGTTACATAACTGAAGGTAATTAGGATAGGCATGCTGACGGACTGCTAGACTTTCTTTCTTTGTGTAATGCATTGTCACCAAATAGGGATTTACATATCGTCGTTTATACCGCGTGGAATTTAGTCAAGTCAATCATTCTAAATCTACTATTTTAAATTCCCCAACTCTTAAAAAATCGAAACATTCAAATGAGGCTTAAAAAATTTGTTTAATTTAGTCAAATTACACTGCAAATCGAGTGCTGCAGTTTTTTGTCTCATGCATGTGATATAAAATACACAGCGCCGCTAAAATTTTAGTTACACCGCCATTAAACTAAATTAGCTTTCAAAAAACTGAACAAGATTATCACCTTATAATAACTAGAATCTTCATTTCATCCAGTAACAAGAGTGCTCAAATATACAATATATTTGAATCTACTATTTCACATTTGTGAATTTATTTTTCGTTACCTTGACTGTGGCATAACATTAATAGTAGAATGATCGTTTTAAACTTCATCTTCATTTCAGTATTCTCCACGTTTTTGCCTTTTCACAATTATCTTCAAGTCTTTTATTCAATTGCTTACTGAAGTGAATATATATTTACTGATTACATCTAAAAAAAATATATTAACTGTTCACCTTGGTTGAGAAGATCTACGAATCCCAAGTGAATAAATGTATATTGAATACCTATATATAATGTTACAAAACAAATTGACTTGTCTGAGCGGGTAATAAAACATTTCGTTCTACAAATTTAGTCTACCCGAGGTCCACCGGAAAAAGTATTGTGGATAAGAATTTAAAAAGTGCGTCTATTTACAAAAAAATAATGTCTCTTCGCAGACATCATATTGAGATTTTGGTCTTTGGATTTTGGTTTTGGAGATTATCGGTAACCTATCTCACCAACTTACTGACAACTCTTAAATAATACAGATGCATTTAACTTACATTGTTAACAGTATGAAACGAATGATTCGAGTAGTATCAAATATTTAGGTGCTGTCGTTGTTTGTCAGGTTCACGTGAACAAACATCATGTCCTCACCACGTGGAAGTTATGTAAAAACATCGGTATTTTGACCTCCCGCGATGTTTGCAAATAGCAACCAAACGTTCATTTTAATTTTTTATTGCGTTGCTGCGGTGTGTACATATACATTTAATTATCTTCACACAATGACAAAAATGCGAATGTGCGTTTGAGAAAAATATTCTGTACTTTTATTTATACCCTTGAATACCTTATTGCATATTATTTTGAGCTATGTTTCCTCATCCCCTGACGAACGAACGATTTTTCGTAGTACTTTACCATCGCAAAATTTTCGATGGTTATCACGAGAGTTTGCGCGAGCTTGGCTCACCCACAGATAACCATCAGTTAGATAATTTTAGGTTACTCTATTAAAGCTATTTCTGGACTAATATTTGGATTACTGCAGCGTTATTCAAGTTTCCCTGAAAACAAAATTACCATCGAACTATTTGATTCACCCGAATTTCAAAAACACAGATGAATGCTGATGTAATTAGGCAGCAATTCTATCTTACAACCCCTGCTATATGAAATGCATTATACATACTCATTAACCCAAATCTTCACATGGCGTTTGGGAAAATCTTGAAAATATACAAAACTATTAGATCACCCCGGGTTTAGAAAATATCTTTTTAGTGTGTCTCCGCAGTCTTCAACTTCTGAAAATTTGAAAGCGATTTGTGCTGTAGTTAAAAAAAGGCTATTTCAGAGCAATAACAACAACAATTGTCCGCCATGCTCATATCCGGTATACATTTCTTGAATATTTTCTTAAAGCACTGCACCACATGTCAAGATAGTATAACGTTGCCGTAACATTCAATTGATCGATTGACAAGAACAACGGGTTGCAAACTCCAAAGTCAGTGAGATTTTTCATTAGATCCATAGACGACCTTGAGCAATGTGTTACAATCAGGAAGCGTTATAAAAAATAGTGCTTTCTATCATTGCAACATACAAAAGAAGCTTTCTCAGCATTTGATCAAACACGAATTATTTCAGTTTATATAAAAACGATGAACTGGTCTTCTTTTGTGAATAACCGTAATGTATCAGCCGCAAACAAAAGCTTGGAAATGTTAATTCATGAAAAAGGGAATTATCAAATACACGGACATAGAAATCAAACAACCTACACATCTAACTGATCATCCAATTCTTCAATACAAATTCGCAAATCAAGCCTCATAACTGTAGAAACTCACACCCCTAGCGGAAGGGCCTGGGTACCCAGATTTGGCAAAAAAATGGCGAACTAACATGGTAGCGCAATATATTCAAAATATATGAAATATTGCCTAAGTATACTTCATAAGATTGAAAAAAATGAAAAAATAAGAAAAAAGCAAAATCTCCCCCGCGACCGCTTTCATCTTTGAGTGCTCAAAATTTAAAATTGATTGATCCATTAAGCATTAGGAAAAGGGATTTTTATGACAACAACAACATGAACAACCAGTGGGATTCAGACGGTTTGCGAAGTCTCGTGATAATCAGCAATCCCGTTCTTTTTTTTGCTTTAGAGACGTTGGTTAGACCAGTAATTCCCAAAGTGCCTCCCGGTGGGCGAAAACGATACAGAGGGGGGCGAAAAAGTCGAAGGGGCGATTTCGCGAAACCTGTTTTTGTTCGGGGCATCTTGCACTTGACAACTGTACTGCTTTCGTATGTTTGAATTACGTGTGTGATTAGCACGCGCAAAAGGATTGATGATTGTAGTTTGCGTATTCAAGTGATCGGCAAAATACGGCCGGAGTAAAATAATCTGGCCCTGGACGCTTCACTGAATGGACCATTCCCCGACCTTTGACCCCGGAAAATTTTTCCTATACTTTACCTTTTTCAAATTTTCAGTGCTTATTTTAGGAGTGGTTTCGCAAGTTTGCCACTGCACTATTATTGTTGTAGTCGTAGCACTTAGCTCTTTGATGGTTGCCTGTAACTTTGCTTACAAATCAATCTTCTCTATTTCTGAGTGAATGCGCTTGACCTTGTTCAGACCATTTGAAAATAGTGATATATGAAAAGTTATTTTGTGCGTATCTTGATATATACATATAATGACGAAAACTTATTTTTATTAGTTGTTCAGTTGCACTAATTTAGAAGAACAATTCATGTTATGTTGCTCAAGAAATGCACGGTTGGTTTGGACTGATGCGTGAGAGGCCGCCTAGGCCTAGTTGATGCAAATTCATCGAGGAAAGAAATATATACCGGTACACTTCAATCAATGGTCATCAGAATCTTGAGTTATATCCGAGTTTTAGAAAATGCTTAAAGGTTGAGTTCCAAACCACTGCTGCGTTGAATCACAAGTCGACATTTCATATTATAAACCAATATTTATACGGCATGTAATCTATTATTACGTGAAATTATACAGAGTACTTCTCGCATCTATGATCACTATAGTCTCACTACGGTAGGCATTATCAAAGTTGTTTGTGGCGAGATAAAATTTGGAAGAAATGCTCGTAGCAGATCACATTTTTTTAATAATTGAAAATAAAATTACGTTCTTAACTGCGATACAGAGTAATTATTAGTCGTTCCTTGAAGTCGTTTCTTCAAAATAGTTATATATATGTACTCTTCTTCCTTGCTATTTCCAATTTGTGTTAGTAGCTTGTATTGGGGGGCGAGAAAAACTGGTGGCAGTTGTCGTAAAGTATGTCGTTTAAAAGAATTGCATTTTGAGTGAAAATGGTCGTTTAACATTATCACATTCTCATTACGTTTTCTTTTCAGTTCCCGGTGCCAAAGTACATAAAAGTTTTTGCAAGTGAAGGTCTCCTATCATGCATGTAGTAATGTACTGACTTTTTGGCCATCATTATAAATGCAATTGGTAGTTAAATACAAGTTTAATCCACGCTTTCACTTCGATGCTAATGTATTTGTATCACCCTGTAAATCGCATTGCGATAGTGTAACTAACATCTGTTATCACTGGTTTTGTTTCTAGCGGCATCAATCCTTTAGTTGGTGGACTAATGACGATAAGCTGCATTGCAGACCCTGGTACTCTTTGAATATTCTTCTTTCGAACGAAGTTATTCTTGTTGCCGAGTCTAGCTATCCCCAGTCTTGTTCCAGCGTTTTATAATATTTTATCTTACGTACTCTAGGGCTACTCAACTGGCGGACCGCGTTCCGAATCCGCACCTTTCGAGTGCTAAATTTAGGCCGCAGCTGCTTCTTGACTTCGAATGCATCGTTTTTTTTATCATTTCATAATCGTAATGCATTTTTCGCTAAACCACTGAGGTATAAATTGTCATATCAATATAAGTTTCTCAGAGCCCCGACCTACTTGTTTACCCAACTAGCATTGGTTAATCAGCAAGATGTCAATGGTAGCGTGAAAATTGTGATGTTTTAGCAGCCGTTTGGATATAATTTTCACAGATTTCTAGACATGGTGGTAAACATTATTGGACATTATTAAACTACTATTGGACACAAGATCGACTTATGAATCGTTTTGCTAAAATCGATGTGGTTTTTCTTAATCTTACCTAGGAAAAATTGTTATTCTCCGTAACTAATATCAGTTTTCAGTCTAAAGATAATTCAAGTCGCTAAAAAACTTTTACATATATTTATATTTTACGGATGCTATGGGGACGAATATTTCATATCTATTCAGCAAAGTCGGCGCTCGGCTACACAACTGAAGCACGATATTCAACATTGCTTTTGTACTTGTTCAGATTTATTTTTGGAATGACCGGACCCGGTAGTTTTTAAATTTTGTATACGGACTTCCCATAAAAATAGTTGAGTCGCCCTGCTCTACTATAGTTGTAGTATACCATCATTATAAGACCACACAGACATGCTAAGCGTTAAACCAGTGATTTTCAATCTTTCTGCTTGAGTAGAACCTCAATGAAACATTTCAGAGGCTCGAGAAATAGGGTTTTGTTTTTCATCAGTTCTAAAAAAACATCGTGTTTTAAAACAAGAGCTTGTTTTAAATAAAAAAATTTCTGTATTTTTTATTGAAATACCCCTTGCATCGCCGCGAAACTACGCCAAAACGTTGCATTCGGGCAGCTGTTCACGCAGTCGGAATTATAATTTTAAAAATGTAAGTAAAAATTCCTATTTTGACTTTCACTTCTATTGCGTACATTTATCGTGACTTTCGTATCTCCACAAAAGTCATAAGATTTTAACTGGAATGTTTATCCGAGATATCAAAGAGACGTTTTGAGTGAGAAAAAAAACCCTGAAAATTAGCTCACAAGCCTACTGCAATAATTAAGAATATGCTTACATCGACGGCGGATGAAACACGCTAACCTGACCTATGTTAATTGTAAGAGTCTTCTGATGAAAAGACGCCTCAACTAATCTGTTATGACGCCATGATGTGGATTTCGAGTTCATGTATTGACATTTTCTCATAAAATGAAGGCATTATTACGATTAATACTGTTCGGTTAATTTATGCTTAGCAAGTTTTGTTTTTAAGGTTGAAGTGATAGAGTTTTTCAAGATTATACAAACTCATTTATTCGATCGCATTTTCGCAAGGTGGTTTCGTCGAAGGGTCGTTTACGTAATGGCGTTATTTTATCGGTTGCGT